CTGGCTTTGGTGGCCTGGACCCCCCCCCCGGCCAGAAACAAACTAACTATCCCAGAAAACGTTTGCTTATTGAGGATAAACAAACTATTCCCCGGGCCTCGACAAACCTTGCCTCGGAAACGTTTGTTTTTTACCGGAAACAAAGTCTTGGATGCCATGACTGAAACAATCATTTGTTGGTGACAAACAAACCAAACACCTCTGCAAAACCTTTGTTCTCATAAGTTTTAAACTCCTACGCAATGAGTTTGTTTCGAGCTTCCTGCCGAAAACAAACTTGTCCGCGAAAATCTCGAAACTATAGTTTATTTACCCAAAAACAAACCTTTTGAGAGTTGCCTTCATTAAGCTTGGTATTCCAGTAGTTAGTTTTTCGGCCCCAGAACAAACTTTCCATGACCTGGAAAAGTTTGTTTTTCGCCACTAAACTAACCCTTGCCTCTGTTGCTATTGACCGAGTGTGCTCAGGTACAGACACACAGCCCGTGCGAACGAGGCACCACACGCCGTCAGGCGAGCAAGAACAGGGTCAGGGTCAGACACGCCCTCCACGACCAACTTCTTCCGCGTTTCGCGCCAGCCCGAGCGGCGGCGGGAGGTGTCCTCCGTAGCGAAGAAACGCCACACGAAGCACAGCAGTCGCAAAGGGCTATCTTTTCGGCAGTGGTTCCAACTAAGCAACGGTGGTTAGGTTGCGTTGTTACGATGTTGTTTGAACAGCCCCTCGTACACATCTTTTCAAAAATATTAGCTAGCCCCGGAGCAAACCTAGCAACCTGAGGTCAACCGAGTGGAACGATAGGAGAAGGTGGGTGACGTTTATGATGATGAGGGTGAGGACGATAATGCTGATGATGCGGATGATGCTGATGATGATGATGATGATGATGATGATGATGATGATGAGGGTCAGGATGATCAGGGGCAAAACCCAGAAGCACCCGGGCTGCAGAAGATGAGTGAAAAACAATTCCTCCCAGGTTTAGGCTCCGATGCGTCACCAAGCGGCACTGGCAACTCGGGTGAGGTTAGTGGACCTTGAGCGACTGCGCCGACGAGCGCGCCCGCCAGGCGATGCAGGGCGAACATGCCCCGGCACTGCGGAGCCCTGGCGCAGCACGGCCACGGACACAGACACAGACACAGACACAGACACAGACACAGACAGAGGCACAGACACAGACACAGACACAAGCACAGACACAGACACAAACACAGACACAGACACAAAGACAGACACAGACACAGACACAGGCACAGAGACACACAGAGGCACACACACACACACACCCATGTGCGCAGTCACGCATCCACGCACACGCGCACGCGCAGAGAGAAAAAAGAAAGAGAAAGAGAAAGAGAGGAAAAAAAAGAGAAGAAGAAAGGAGAGGAGAGGAGAGGAGAGGAGAGGAGAGGAGAGGAGAGGAGAGGAGAGGAGAGGAGAGGAGAGGAGCAAAGGAGAAAGAAGATGGCCTGCCAGGACCCGCTTGGCAGTGAAGCCATCTGCTGCGCGCCAGTGGAAGAAGGGTCCTGCATGCGAAATCCAGGGCGCTGACTCGAGCATAATCTCGGGGCCATGGTCAAACAGGAACATAAAAGCACACATTTACAGACATTTCCAGGCTGCGCCTACAACACGTGGTTGCACGTGGTTTCCTGTCTAGCACCTAGCCTCATGCAAGTCTCGCGGGGGCTCTCCCAAAAAGTGATCCGCATATGTTCAGGGAGAGAATGTGAATGCAAAGGCGGTAAAGATATCTCCAAGGGGGATGTAAGGGGACGCCGAAAGTGGCAACTACGTAGTTGGTGGTGGAGGGGGGGTTGTCATTGTCCCATGGCCATCTGTATCCATGTCTCGTATGATCTGGAAGCCTTGCGACAAGAAACAAACCCAGTAGGAAGAGCGAAGCTTCGCAAGAGTACAAGAGGCTGCAAACGAAAGGCAGCTGTTGAGCGAAGCATTCGTTGTTTGATAATGGCATGCGTGGCTCGAATCCTTCGGGCGCCTGCGCGAGGGGTCGGACATGTGAAGCAGGCACCCAGTCGGTGACATCAGCGCTAACTTCACCTGAGTTGGAACGCGCGGCGCTCGAAACTCAAGTTGATGGGACAAAAAAGCAAAACGGACATGGAAGAAGTCAAGTCGCTGGCGCAGAGCTGGACCGAGCCGTCGCGTCGCAGCGCGTGGACTATCATGGCCCTGGAGCCAGCACCGGCCGTCTCCCAAAGAACCTTCTGGCTCAGAGTCAAGACCATGGCGTCAGCGGAGGAAGGCACACGCAAAAGATGCGTGTTAATGAAGCCGAAATGCTTGTTAATAAGGCCCGCCTTCCTTTATGCAAGCCCCCCCTCTTTCGAGTTTCATGAAACTCCTCCCTCCAGCATTAAGTAAGCCTCCCCTGAATTAATTCCTTCCCCCCTCCTCCCTTAACGAAACCTTTCCAGCCCCCCCCCCACTTCGAGTCCCTGCCCCCCTTAATAAGCCCCCCTCCTCCTTAATGAAACCCCGCCTTGTATGAAACCCCCTCCCTGTAGATTTGTGACCCCCCCCCCTCCCCCTCAATTAATGAAGCCCCCCCTCCCCCCTTGATGAAAGCCCCCCCCTTCAAGTCATGAAGCCCCCCCCCCCCCCTTAATGAAGCTCCCCCCCCCCCCTTGAATTAGTGAGGCCCCCGTCCGTCGATTAATCAAGTCCCCCCCCTCCCCCCTTGAAGAATGCAAGTCCCCCCTTCAATTCATGAAGCCCCCCCCCCCCCTTTGAAGCTTCCCCCCCCCCCTTCAATTAATGAGGCCCCCGTCCGTCGATTAAACAAGTCCCCCCCCCTTTGAAGAATGCAAGTCCCCCCTTCAATTCATGAAGCCCCCCCCCCCCCTTTAACGAAGCTCCCCCCCCCCCTTCACGTAATGAGGCCCCCGTCCGTCGATTAATCAAGCCCCCCCCCCCCCTTGAAGAATGCAAGTAGAACCCCCCCCATCCCTCTATCGAGCGGGTCTGCTCGCGCCAGCAAGGTCTGGAGACGCTCAACGTCCCTGATATGGGGGATGAGTGGGGTGGGGTGGGGTGGTCAGCACATGTCTGAGGCATGACCCGCGTAACGCTTCATCTGCGCTCGTTTCAACGGGAGGGGGCAGGTTGAGGAGAACGGGTTGTATCTGCAAACGCCCTTCAGACTTCGAATGTGTGGCTCCTCCAAACAGCGGTTCTCGAGGGCCGCGCGTTTCAACCTCTTGATCAGCATGCTTCTGTTTCTATTCGTTGCTGAACGTGTCACGTCAGCACGCAAACGCTTCTGAGTTCCTAGTTGATTGATACTGCCATTCATGGATTGACGTTTCTCCAGAAACAAGCTGCCCATGCTGTGCTTGGCGAGCCTTCGCTTGCGAAGGTTAAACCTTCTTCTCGCAGCGTCATGTCTTGGCAGCGCATCGTCTGCTACACTCCCCAGGCCTTGATACTGCGCTCGGCGTCTTAGCCCCGTACGGGGATGCACGCGGAATGCGCGGCTGCCCAGCAGCTGCTGCTTTTGACTTGGTCAAACATCAAGATTGGCTTTGGTCCTCAGCAAGTGTGTCTCCAAAGTTGTATGTAAAGACGTGCTGCGCACGCGTAAAATTTGGTGTTCGACCGATGTTGGCTGATGTGGCATATAGCACTGAACCTTGCAGTGCTTCAATGAGTCCAGGAGAAGTGATAAGCCTATGTGGCCGTGGGTCAACACCAATGGTACCATTTTGGGGTAGGTGCAGCACCCATTTTAGCCTATTCTAGTGGGGATTGGGATGTTCACTGGGGGTACCATGTTTTGGATGTTGCCCCTTGGTCGACCATTGACAATACCCAACGGGTGCGGATTTATTTTGGGATGTCTTTTCGGATTTTTAGTTTTTTTTATTTTAGTTTTTCGTCCGGGCCAGTAAAATGTCGTATTTTACAGCATTGTCTCGCGAAATTGACGCATTCTACACTAGCCCGTCAACATCCCCAGCATCGTTTTCAACATCCCCCGCATGTCCGACCAACATCCCTAGCATCAACAACAAATCGTGGGTATCAAAATCGAACAAGTAGGTGGCGGGTTGAAAAAAATGATGATTCAAATAGGAGGGCATTTCAATCCCTGTACAAATAAAAAAAGTAGCGGGGGTAGCTTGGGGGGGGCGGCAGCCCCCCATGATGTTCGAAGAAGTGATGATTCAATAGGGGTGCAATTAAATCTCTGTAGAAAATCTAAAACGTAACGGGGGGGTTGGGGGGGGCGGCAGCCCCCCCCATGATGTTGGAAGAAGTGATGATTCAAGTAGGGGTGCAATGATTCAAGAACGGGTGCGATAGAATGTAAAAGGCAGCAGGAGGTTGGCGGGGGTGGCTTCCCCTATGATGTTCGAAGAAGTGCCTACATACAGACATACATAGATTACACAGATTACCTAAAATATCGTATTTTGCAGCATTTTCTCGCGAAATTGGACGCTCGAAAAAGATTCAAATAGGGGTGCAATGCAATCTCTGCAAGAAATCTAGAAAGTAACCAGGGGGTTGGGGGGGGCGGCAGCCCCCCCCATGATGTTTGAAGAGGGTGCAATTACTCTGCAAACAATCTAAACAGTAGCAGGTGGGTTGGGGGGGGGCTCCCCCCCCATGATGTTCGAAGAAGTGATGATTCAAAGGGCGGAACTGGTGATGCTGATGATGCGGGAAGCCAAATTCAAAAACCAATGAAAGGGTGCAATAGCCAAAAAGCCCAGAGAGGAACTGTGAAAGCAGAGGATGCGAAAAGCCAAAGCCAAAAAGCCACCAAAAGCCGCATAAACCAACAAAAAGCCGAGAACCCCAGAAGCCGAGAAGCCAACAAGCCAAGAAGCCAAGAAGCCGAAAAGCCAAGAAGCCAAGAAGCCAAAAAGCCAAAAAGCCAAGAAGCCAAGAAGCCAAGAAGCCGAAAGCGAAAAAAATAACGAAAAACATATATTAAATAAATACCCCTCCATACCCAACCACCTGCCTCCTCTGCTGGAGTTGCGCGGATGGGCAGCTGCCTTGCGAGCAAAGTCATGCCCACAGAAATGGTCCTGGCTGGCCAGTTCATATGGCCATGGGTCAAAAGCCCGTACCCCCAGTGAACATCCCAATCCCCACTAAAATAGACTAAAATGGGTGGTGCACCTGCCAAAATGGTACCAGCCATATGTGTACTTCCGATCTTGAATGCTATCCTGGACTGGGCTGGGCCCTTGCAAAAGAGGAAATGAACACCCGCCGCACAGTCACCTGCAATACACCGGCAAGTTGGGGCACTAAGTGACTCATGGATTGTCCGAGCTGTTGAGATCACCGACGTCCATTGAATCACACTTTGAGGGCTGCGAATAGAACAGTTGGCCGGGAGAGAGGAGGCCGAACGAGCTGCTCACAAAAACATGTGCCTTGCCTAGAAGGCTGGAACATAGCAGGGAGGCATGCGGGGCTTCGGGTGTTCTGGTTCGGGCTTTGGTTCCGCTGCAGGCTTCTGGTGTTGCGCTTATGGTAAAACTTGAGGGTGTCAGGCTCTCGGTTTAAGATTTTGGCCTGATGCACGTGGTTTTGGGGCATGTAGGCTTCGTCCTAAACGTCTAATAGCTGCATCTTGCATCCATCTCCTTCTGATCTCCATAAACTTCTGGAACCACAGGGACAATCCTGGAACACACTCCTAAGCCTCGGGATGACCATGATGTCAGTCTGCCCAGAGCAACCCATAAGTGTCCCTTGCTTCGCTGAGCCTTGTTTGGCTCCATTTGGCTGTGGGTCAAAACCCTAGGTGGCAAATGGATGTTCATCCACCCCAAAATGGATCGCCATAGGTTATGCCCCATGGCCATCTGGGTATGGGCCAAACTTAAACCACCAGGAATTGGACCGCAGGTTTTATTCCATGTTTCCATTTACCAGGGCACCCCATTTTGGGTACCTAACCAATTTTGGACCCACAGCCATCTGGTCTTCAGCCAGGCGCGTGGCTCGTCCTGAGCCTCCGGGCAGCACGTCCAGGAACGCCGCCAGCTCGGCTTCGATGGCCGGCCCCACCACGCGCTGGGGAACCTGGATTCGGAGCAGCTCTCGGCGCGCGAGCTTTGAGGGAAGAACGGGTCACTTGGCCCTTTCAGGATTTGCGGGCATGAGGAACATGCAAGAACCTTGAAATTGGTGGAGGGGAGCTACTTGCGCCTTTGGTCAAAGGCACTAGTGCTACAGCTGCCAGCCACTTTTCAGGTTCTTCACGGTTTGGTCACAGAAAGTGCCAGCTGGCTTCCTCCTCAGCATTGAAGGGGATGGAAAGAACGGACTTGTAGATCTCCAAAAAAGAATGAGAAATGTGTGTGCTCAAGCAAAGCCTCAAAAGCCCAAATAGCCCAGCAACACCCCGCTAGGCTGATCGAAGCTACGATCGTTTCAAGGAGCTGAACCGAGGTCTCCAGGAGAATTATGACACTGTCCGCCAGGAAAGCACAAATAGCTGAGTTGCCTGCTATGGAAACCAAACACACAAAAGGACATGAAAGCGGGGCAGAGGGAACTAACACGACCAGCTTGAGTTAGCACTTGCAAAAGGTCCCACTACCCACCCAGCAACCAAGCAACCACCCACCCACCACCCAACCCACCCACCCACCCACCCACCAACCAACCAACCCGACTCGTCCCTTTCGTCCCAAGGCGCCTTTGGCCAAAGCCCCGTGTTGAACGTCATCGAGTGGCAGCTCTGCTCCAGGGCATCTTGAACCTCCGTTCCAGAGAGCGGTCACCCCATGCCATGTGCTGAAGGCGTGTCCTGTTCAGTCCCCAACCATGAGCCCACATACAGACTGTGCCAAAGCAGTCCACACCATCAGAGCCACAGAGATACCTTCCCACCAATGAACATGGAACCTGACAGGGAGTCTCTTTAAAAGGAAAATGGTCCAAACCGCAACAAATGGCAGGGTATCAAGGGTTTCAACTGCAAGTTCTGGTGAGCTGGGGCATTCGCCATGCTCTCTGGCTGCAGGTCTCGCACGGCTCTGGCCTCAGACGCACCCAACCAACGACCCATCAGCCAAATAGCGTTGCCTTGGGCTAGTTTCCCAGCCATGTCGCATTTGCCACCCTCATGCCGTTCTCAATCTTAGGGGTCGAACGCCAGTGGAAACTGTCGGTCTCTTGCCTCAACACCAAGTTGCCACAATCGGCAAGTGAGGCAAACGACCTGGTCTTCCCAGCATGGTGAACCTTTCTTTCAAGCTGTTCGCAAATCTCGCGATCCACCACAAGCTAGGCGTCTTCTTCTCTTGAAAAGATCGGCACATTGAAGACAATCATTAAGGAAATCCACGAAAAAGATTGCAACCGTGCACTGTTGCCAGAACAGAAGCGAGCACAGCATGGGCCGGACTTCACCGACATCTTTCGTCGAGGACTTACGGTGTGCAGATGGCCTCAAAGTCCAGGAATCAGGTCCTCAGTCCTTTGCAGAGCCAGAGATCATCTTCAAGGGGCAACATGCCTTCAATTTCGTGTGGCCATGCTGTGACCCTTATCGAGACGTGAATGACTCACCATAACTGCTTTCTACGCGGCGTACCTGCCAGTCCTAGACCCTTCAGGAACCACTCACAAAGCCGAGCAAACAAAGTCACTGCGGCTGAGGAGCTGGCCATTGCTGACTTCAATTTGTTGCATCAGCACAACATTGTTCAACCAAAGTGGGATTGGTGCAAGCCAATCTTCCCAAAAGCTGACAGCTTGCTTCTCAACCTCATCAAGGTGACGGTCGTAGCATTGCCACGACGACGCGCGTGCTAAAATATGTCTGGGCCCACCATACACGCCCCGATACACCCACCCATAAAACAGGTGACGTATCCTGTTTTTGCAGCCACGCTCGAGCTTCCAGGTGTCCTCGAAACGAGCCGGACGATTGTTCTTGCGGTCAGTGCATCCCCCGTACATCTTGCAGCATTTGTGAGTGCCTTCGTCCTCCTCCTTTACCTTCAGAGCAGACATTCGAGACTGAAGGGCCGCCGTGGCAAATGCATAGACCCGCTGGGCAGAATATTCGGGCCCGAAACCGTCTGGAACACGTATCGGTCGCCTTCCGGGCGGGATGCCACAGAACCCGAAAGGTTGCTCATCACACTGACGTGCAACGAGGCAAGCTGGGACAAATAGGCTCGGGCGGTGGCTTTGATAGCACGGCCTGTCATAAAAAGCTTGATGCTACCAAGCATCGCATCGTGCACGCCCTTCAGATCATCGTACATCCTGTCCCTGGTCTTGTTTGGCATGTCTTTGATGGTCCCGTTCGAATATCTTGGATATCCTTCAGAGTTCTTGTAGGCAGTTGCATTCCTTCAATGCAGAGCCGTAGCCATTTGTGCTCGCAATTGCGAGAAGTCCCAGATTTCCCAAGCTCATTGCCATGGCGTGGTGGCAGGAGTTCTTCGTCCTGGTGCTGGCGAACGCCTGCAAAGACGAGCACTGTGATGATATTGTCTGGGTGCAGCTCTCGAATGACACTTCAACGAGGCTTCCCCGGCACGCCGCAGCGAGAGCGCAGCGAGACCGGTGATCGCAGCCCACAAGAGTGATCCAGATGACATGGGTTGTGTGGCAAAAGAACCGCATGCATTTGGCCACAAAGATGGCGTTGGATTGGAACTTGCGGTGCTCATCCCTGTCTCGCATCCACACCCAGATGGACGTTTTCGCAGGAAGGCCCTTGAGCCTTGCAGAAGTGGAGCCGGAGAGGGCGGTGATGTGATTGGACACGAGTGAGTGCTCTGATCCAGGCGAGTGCACCTAAACGAATGTCGCCAAGTATCAGGAGGAACATCCTGGAGCAAAGTATGGAATGACAGCCGCCGCGGCGGCAGCCAGTGCCTCGTTTGACACCCTCAAGCAAGTTCTCCAGTTGATTGCTCTCAAGGGCAGTATTGCTTTGACATGGGTGGGCGCCTGCCTGGGTGCATTTCTTTCCCAGTGCAGGTGGACTTCCAGTAGATCCCTGCACCTTGGGAGAAAAATTGGGGCTGCTGTGTTTGGGAACAAATCAAGCCCTTTGTCCAAGAATTCGTCAGCGATCAGCTGGATGAAGAATTCGAGGACCTGTGGACAGCTACCCTACTTCGCCAACCAAATTTGAATCTGGTCCATAGTGAGCCTAAAATGAGAGTCGTGTCAAAAGAATTCCCGTTAAATCAGGGGAAGCCCATGTGGCTGTGGGTCAAAACCAATGGGATGCCATTTTGGAGATTTCGGTGAATTCACCGCCCATTTCAGAACCGATTTTAGTGGTTGGATTGAATCGGATGTTCACTGGAACGTGGCGTGTGGGTCAAAAATAGGTAGCCACAATGGAACCCTGGTAAGTGGAAACATGGAACAAAACCTGCGGTCCCATTCCTGGTGGCTTAATTTGATTGGTTGGCACCACCCATTTTAGAACCTATTTTACTGGGGACTGGGATGTTCACTGGGGGTAACCGGGGCTTTTGACCCACAACCACGTGCAACGTGGCACGTGGAGATGTCCGCGGCGCAACTTGGTCTCCCACTGCCCAGCCCTCGCGGGCCGCCCACGGGAGGCTCGTCAGGGCCACCTGCAAACAGTCTCAGCCGCCCGCAAGAAGGGTGGGGTGGATTCTCGGTGGCTTTCTGCTCCCCTGCCACAAGTGACTAACTTTTAGTGGTTCAATTCAGAAAACCCATCAGTTGTCAAAAGGTGAAAGTCCTAACATCCGTTGGCAAAATGCAGCAAAGGAGTGGTTTGGGATTCTAACGGGTCCCTGGTCCTTGTAGAAGCTACATGCGAAACCCTCCTGAACCAAACCACCAATCCAAACCACCAATTACAGGCAAGGTTTCATCAAGCCTGTCTCTGGCAGAGATGTCTGCCCCATCCCCGAAGCAAAACAACACCTTGCGCAGCGCGACATCGCTGACAAGTGAGCCACTGATTGTACCTCTGACAAGAACATGTCATGTGCTACAAGCAATTCACCTCCTTTGGATTTCCTCTTTGAGCCTTGGACCACGAGTTGCACAAGCTCGTTGAGTGACTTGTGCTTGCAACGATGCTTGTGGATGCAACCATAAGCCATCGCCTCTGGCTCCGCCTCTTGCCTCAGTCCCCATGGCCCTGGAACATTGATGTAAGTGCCCGTGGGTAAAAAAATAGTATTTGGTAACCCCAAATGGGTTGCCCCGGTAAATTGAACCAAGGAGTAAAACCAAAAACCTGCGGCTTTTTTTGTTGTGGTTTCATTTTGACCCGTCCCCCAGTCACTGCAGTTCGTGAAAAAGCAGCGCATGCTGCACACAGAGCTGAGAAACATCCGTCTGTCTGGGACCATAATAAGCAACACTCCAAGGCAGCTGGCCCTTCTGGTGGCGGTTGCAAATGTCGGCGAATGCCAGTCTCCTGCGATGAGTGTCTCTCACCAAGCCTACTGTGGAAGACACATGCAAAAAGAAGGCAAATTAAAAGAGTGTCTGAGGAAAATTGATGCGCCAATGATTCGCCGATGCTTCACACAGGAGGTCCTTTTCGCTTTGCATGCCACTCAGATGAGTTGTTGCCGTGCTAAGCAATGCGTGTCCTCTGCAATCGCTGACAGGTTTTCCAGAAGGAAGACCTTGTTCTCCACTTCTTCATTCCGGACCTCCGGGGGAATGGGCGAGCCTTGGTGAAGAAATTAGCCTCTAACATCAAAAGAACAATGCTCGAAGAGATACCTAGAAGCATGAGTGTGCCTGTGAAGGTGTGGGGGAACAGCCCCTTCGCAAAGGTCTTGCTGAAGTAGTTGCATTGTTTCAACCATTGTCTGAAATTCCACCAAGTGGTTGTAGATGGATGCATGTCATTAGTCGCAGCAGAGTCCAGCCACAACATTGGCACCGCCTTCTGCGCGAAGTCCGCATTGCCAAGCCAGGCATCGTGGGGTGCAAACCTCACGCTGGGTGGCAGCTTGCTATATGCCTTGAATGCTATACAGGCAGCTGCCAAGCGAGCTGTTTCTGAGCTGTTTTGCCACACTTAGCACCCAGCTCAACCATGGTGGCGGCTGTTCCAACCACCTCTCGCAACACCTGGTCGAGAGTCCAGTTCCGATTCGAGCATTTGACGGTCGAGCTGTGCCGCATTCAGCACCGGGCCTCTAGGATGGGCTCTGTGCTGGCAAGGCTGGCCATCCTGGCTTGAACCTTGGAAGGCATACGAGAAAGTCCCAGGCCGCTCTACCCCTGGAACCAAAAACAACCAACCCTCACCGTGCGGCGGGTTTCTCTGTAGCATGGGTCAAAAGCCCGGTTAGTCCCCAGTAAACATCCCAATCCAACCACTAAAATAGGAAGCCTAAAATGGTTGGTGAATTCACCGAAATCCCCAAAATGGGATCCCAAAACGGTTTTGACAACCACGGCCATCTACCCGGGTTTCCCTTCGCCACACCTTTCCCCACCAGGCCTGCCCTCTCCGCGAATCCGCGCCTGCAGCTCCATGAGCTCGCCCTCCTCCCGAGGCCTTTGGGCTTATGTGATGCGCGGCCCAGTGCACCACATACCCCATGTATACACACATGGGCGTGGGTCAAAAATGGGGAAACCCCAGAACGGAACCCTGGAAAGGGAAACCAGGACTAAAACCTGCGGTCCAATTCCTGGTGGAATTTGGACCCATACGCACATCAAGCTGTGACCAGTCCCTGCCCTTCTTGGAACGAAGCCTCAAGGCGGCACCACTCAAATCTCACACAGCTCCACTGCGAGGAGCGCGGGGAGCCGGGTGCCGTGCTTGTCTGGTGCCGGCTCCCCCAAGTGCACCATGACCAGCACGGCCAAAGGTGCCGACTCCAGCACCGAGACGACTCCTCGATCAAACAGTGGCTCAAAGTAGCTCCGGGCGGGCACTTGGATGCAGGGTCATGGGTTGCCAACAAGCTTGTTTGCCGACTGCAAGGCTTCTGGTTTCCCTGGTGCAACGGCTGTGGTGCCTTTGCGAACAGCCTTCTCCAAATTCCATCCAGGGACGTGATTTTGATTTGGGGACCCTTTGGTGGACATCATTTGAGCATTGATGTACTATTTTGGAGAGAGCCATCCTCATGGACATGTGTGTATTCCGGCATTCTCCATATTCGTGCGTCTCAAAACGGGCTTTTCTCATGTGGTTTCCCTTTACCCTCATTCCAAAACCGGTCCATCTTGAAAAGCATCCAAACAACCGGGTCTTCCGTTTTCCGGTTTGCCACCCCCGCTTTCTTGCTGCTCTTCTTCATTTCAGGGACACTCCAAAGAGGGAAAAGAAAGAAAACCCCGGTTGCGCTGGCCCTTTCTCCTGGGGCTTGGGGTTTTGGAGGGCGTCCGATCAACCAACCGCGCCGACAGCGCGGCCTCTGAGGCGTTGCTTCAAGAGCTCCTCGCTGCCTTCCAGCTGCAGCTGCACCCGCGGCTCCTCGCCCGGCTGAGGTGACTGAGCCGAAACCCCTCCGTCGCCTTTGGGAGATGAGATGAAGGCCAAAAGCTTGGACAGGGTCAATGGGGGGGGGGGGCGTCGGCTTTTTGTTGGGAGGGTGCCTTTGAGAAATGGGGTGGGTTTGAAGGGGAAGAAAGGAAGCCAGACGTTTTGGGCAAACTGGCAGGTCCGCAAAGCATGTCAGGAAGATGAAAATGCCGCTCGAGTGTCTGGAAAACTGCAGAATCAAAGGCTATCTTCAGAAACCTTGCTTGGCTGTGTGTTTTTCGTAGACGCTCATCGGACGAAGATGTGTCATCTCTTCACTCTGCAAGTGGCTTCAAGGAGTGCAAAGCTGGCCATTATTCCCTCTCGCGCCCACACACACACACACAACGTCAAGCGTCACATGGCCATGGGTCAAAATCCCGTACCCGCAGTGAACATCCCAATCCCCACTAAGATAGACTAAAATGGGTGGTGCACCTACCCCAAAATGGTACCATTGGTTTTGACCCACAGCCACATCAGGTGTGAAACCAAGGCAGCAAACATGGTCTGGCTGGCCAGCAAGCGCTCCTCACCATCTGCTGCAGTAGGTGCCGGTGGCAGCATGAACCTGACATCAGGCTCACTATAAAGCTTCACCGGCCACATTAGCTTCCTGGTCTTTCTCAGTCTTTGTGGAACTGTACAGGCAGGCACTTCTGACTACCGAGCAGTTGTTTCTGGCACAAAGATGTACTGTATAGGGACTCCTCAGCTTCCCCGCCCCTGTCTCAAACGCTGAGGGCGTCGCCCGACATCCAACTCGTATAGCACCACCTTGTTGCGTTTGGGTCTGGCTGGGAAACCACAGGTGGGCTATGCAACAAACGTAGTGTGTTCCATTGTCATGGCTGTGAGTCAAAAATAGGTACCCAAAATGGAACCCTGGTAAATGGAAACATGGACTAAAATCTGCGGTCCCCTGGTGGTTTAATTTTGACCCATACCCTCATGGCTGGGGCCTGGTTTCTTTTCACTGGCACGCTGCCTCAGCCCATCACTTGGCCGGCCAGCTCGACTGCCTCCGCTGAAAGCCGACCCAAGTACGGCCTGGCGGAGCGCGCGCGGAGGCTGCCTGTTTTGCCTGAAAAGCCCTGGCTTTCACCATGCTTATGGGAAGGCGAGCAGAGGAGACCAGGCCACAAAGGGTCGTTGGGCAACGGGTATTCCCAGGCCAGGGTGGCAACAGATATTCCGCTGTTTTAGGCTGAACAGCCTGGGGTGAGCGGGGCACTGAGTGATTGCCCTGAAAGCGATGCCCCGCCTGAGCCTCTCTCCCAGGGAGAGGCTGCCGGCGCGGGTCATTCGCGTGGTCAGCATTGCCTCTTTGGCCACAGCCTGGGAAATCACTCGAACGGACCAGCCAGCATGGTGGCGAGTCTCTTGAATCCGGAGTCGAAGGGAGGTTGGGGGTTGGGGGTTGGAGGTTTGGGGGGGTTGAGGGCAGTCAAGAATCGGTTGGGCCTTGAAGTTTGTCCCTCGAGTCGAGTCGAGGTCCCATTGGGGCCGGGCCATGTGCCGATGATCGAACACTCCGAACTTGCCCCACACAAAAAGCCGCTGCAAACAACAGGCCAGAAAACAAGGCAAGCTCCCCGCCCACCCCAAAGTCCCCAAGGGCGCCCCACGCCAAACCTGGCGCAGGCAGGCCCAAACCTCAGCCATTCTGACAAAGAAGGCAGAGTCAGCGACTTCACACTGGACAGTGGGAGATGGCACGCTTTCGGACACCGAGCGGCTTGTTCTTCATGAAACCCCGGCAGAAGATGTCCCGGACTTCTGCCTGACAAGCGAGGCTCAAAGAGCCAAAAGGCAGGAGGCACGCAGATTCGCCATGGTAGGCACCATGAAACGGTATGACCAATTGTTGGGGAACGTTGCCGGCCATTCTAGGCACCTCCTTCTCCTCTGGGGCAAGCTTGGCCTTCCGCTCCTGAGCAAAGACAAGAATCACCTTGTGACCCTGTGCCCTGTCTGTGAATGGCCTACACCTCACCGTGACCTGCAAGCTCACCTCAACCTTGTCTCCCACCATCCGACTTGTGACGACTTCTCAGGACTCAAATCGAGTGACTGGCATGGGGGCTCACGCTTTATTTGCGTGCCGTCTACAGGTCACTTTCCAGAAATTTGGAGGCCTCAAGCTGGAGGTTGTACTCCTCGTGCTGCTCTGGCGAGGCCTCCTCCTCAGAGGAAAACCAAGGAGCTTGAGCTGATTCTTCACCCGTGACCATGGCGTACGACTTTGGGCTGCATCCACGTGCGAGCAGTGAATCTGACAAAGCCACATCGGGCGACATCAAAGCACGCAGCTGGGATGACTCGGCAAGCATCATTCAGAGTGCTTGGCTTGCCGAGCGGCTTTGCGGGTCTCCGTCTTTGGGCAAGTCAGAAGCAAATCTGTCCTCTGGGGGTCCTTTTGGGTCACGCCTTGAATCTCAGGCAAGTGCATCTGGCGGGGGCAGGAACGGCAAGGGCTCCAGCCTTAGCCCAAGACGTCAGGTGCTCAAAATGTGTCAGATAGCCGGCGACTTCTGGCTTGCAATTGCACGTCCACTCTGCACGTGATGAGCCCTCATCTGAGAGCCCAAGCCCATTCCGTTGGCGTGTGGCTGTCCACTTGTCAGGAAGCACAGAGACAATCTCCATGACAGTCCTGAGTGTGGTCGGTTTTTACACCAATATTCCAAATGCCCGCTTGAAACCTCCGGTGTTGCGATGTATGGCATTGGGCTTGTCATTTGCCTCAATGTCCACTGCACAAGTAGACCGTAGACCCTGCATCTAGCTCAATCATGTCAAAGCAAAAATGAAGAAAACATCAGCGTCAACCTCAATTCAGACTTGCAAAGCCATACTGAAGAGGAGGTCTGTGTTCCGACCTTGATCTGACTGAGAGCGCAGCTCATAGGCCAGCCACCAAAGGGGTGAGCGCTCCATGGGTCGTTTCCTTTCAGGGCGCTTGCACGTCCGGAAATGCAGAGTCAGCGGGTGCAAAGGCTGCCTGCGCTGCGCTCTCTTCAATGGAATGAACAGTTTGTTCCACTTTTTGTTTGTTAACGAATTCCGAAGAATTAATGAGTTCGCGGCTTTCAAAGTCTGATCTGCAGTCCTGGCTGATCGCACAGCTTGCTCAAGTTGTCTGCTAACTTCAACCTTCTCCGAGGGCTGGTCAGCCTTGGCCAAACAATGGAGAGGTGTCTGAGGCATACGCTAGATGTCTTAAGTGAACACAAAGACTGCATAAAAAGCTAGGAAGCAATAATCTGCTGGCCCTGATACTGTATGTGGTAAGACAAGCGCCAATGCATGCCGGAAATAGCAAAGCACTTTGGTGAAGATGGAAACTAGGTTTGTCATGGCAAGTCACGAGAAGCCTCGCCCTGTCTGCTGCCTCCAACTCGCATGTTCCGGCGAAAGGCCTTTCCCAAACAGCCGCTCAAATTTGCCGCGTCTTTCAATCTCCAAGGGTTGCTGACAATGCGATTCGCGGGTCAGACTCAAATTGTTTGCAAGCCCAAGGCGCCAAGGCTACCTTCGCTTTCTGGGCCACCCAGAAACTCGCAAGCCGTGATGGGCGGCTGCAAAGTTGCAAGCGCAAGCGCACCAGAAGAATTCCAGTTGAAGTTGAAATATGGCCATGGGTCAAAAGCCAAATCGTACCCCCAGTGAACATCCCAATCCCCACTAAAATAGGTTCCAAAATAAATGGGTGGTGCACCTACCCCAAAATGGTACCATTGGTTTTGACCCACGGTCATATCAAGATGCGAATGCGCACGCGCGCCGCGAGCGGCTCTTGCGGGGCACCCTCACGTGGCGGCAAAGGCAAATGGCCGCCCGCTCGGATGACCAAAGAACAGCCGTGGCTCGACAGACGCAGGAGCTTCATGACACCCACAACAAGGCCATCCACAAGAAGGCCAAATGAAATGTCTGAAAGGGCATTTGAGTAGAGTCGACTGTTCTAGGGGACACTTCCGCATTCTTTCCAGGGATCCTTCTTCCCAGCAAACCGTCAGAACCCCAGGGGAAACAACTGGTTTTTGAAAAGAACGATGGTTGAAAAGAATGGAAAAGGAATCAACCCCTAGAACTGTGCTCAACAAACCTCTTCGCTTGATCTGATACATGTTGACTTCCCCGCGCGTTCGTTCCAAAACAGAACGAGCTACTCGGCGGCCCGGCGCCAGGCTCGGTGCCTGGCAGCTTCTCCAGTTGCGTACGCATCCTGGCGAACTGGCGCAAAGCGCCCAGAGTTCGCGGCCAAGTTGGTTCCGCGGAAGAAATGACTCATCAATTGTTGGCAAGGTGACCATCGGAGCAAGAATCCAGATCAAGACAATGAGCCAAAGGCCGTTATTTGCCCTTTTTGTGCATGTCAGCCATAGGAAGCTCAATAGCTAGAGAAGCGTCATGCTCCTCTTCGAACATTTGGGCCACTCAAAATACGAACGAGAAAAAAAAACAATGGATTCCACTACTTCAGAACGTCTAGAACCGCCCAACTCCCGCCAAACCCGTTTCAGATCTGGGGCTTGCCCCAATCCCGAGTCCCCGCCTCTTCAGGGACGGAACCTGCAAGGAGTCCAGCTGCAGCGGCTCGGCGGCCGAGGGCGGATCCACCTGGAAGGTGTCCTTTGAGGGGAAATAGATTTCCCCGGTAGATGACTAAAATTGACTAAACCAGGGAAGCCAGGAATCGCCACCTGTTTTTTCGACCAACACAACCAAAAAGGACACCTATGCCTGGGAAGGCGATCGCTCGGGCCAGTCGTGTTGCCCATCGACTCAGTGCACTGTTCAGTTCCGATTCGGGGGGAGTTCCGGAGGGGGGGAGAGTTCCAGCAAGTTCCAGAGGGGGAGGAGTTCCAGTTCGAGTTCGAGTTTGGGCAGAGTATGTGCAGTGGTGAATGTGTTCTCTTCAGCGGGTGTGTTCATCAATTGGCAGGCGCGTGTACAGTGGTGAGTGTTAGCTGGAGCGGGTGTGCATATCATGTAACTTTTGCAGGCAGCTGCGCAGTGGTGAATGTGCGCAGTGGTGAGTGTGCTCTGTCTAGCGAGCGCATGTCATTTGGCAGGCACGTGCAGTCGCGGGTGCGTTCTCTTGGGCGGGCGGGAATACCATTTGGTCGGCATGCGTGCAGCGGTGAGGGCGTTCTCTCGAGCGGGTGTCCTTTTCATGTGGCAGGCATGTGCGCTTTTCCTTCTTGGGGACTTCCGAGTTTGAGCTCGAGTTTGTGGGAGGCGCGCACTGTATCGACTTGGAAAAATCATCCGATTCACAAATGGGTATGGGTCAAAACTAAACCACTAGGAGACCGCAGGTTTTCGTCCTTGGTCACCAGGGCAACCTATTGTGGGGTTACCCCATTTTTGACCCACAGCCACATCTGTTCATTACACAAAGCTAACGTCCCTGATGTCCACGCTGAGCTTCAGGAGCTTAGGGGGCGCCAGTGTAAGCGGCGGCAAGCGCTTTGCCTCGCCTTGGCCACCGGCCGCCGGCCCCGGGCTCCGGCGCGCACCAAGAAGCTGGGCGCTCGGCCTGCCATGCTCAGGACAAATGGCTGTGGGTCAAAAATAGAGTAACCCCAAAATGGGGCTCTGGTAAATGGAACCAAGGACTAAAACCTGTGGTCCCCTGTTGGTTATACTTTGACCCATACCCAAATGAGTCAAAGTTAAAATCCATCGGTTTGCTAACGGGCTTTTGGCCAAGCCCTTACATGTCTAGACCATTGGAACAAAGCGATCTCCTTTGAGCCCATAATCAAACCCGGGTATTCAAATGGTCGTAATCCCAGAACCATGTAGAGGACTAAAAAGGCGGCTGCGCCCATTTATGGTTGGGATTGGCACTAAGCTTCATCTACCCGGGTGTTAAGTTTGGCTCAAATGTTGGCCTGGCAATCTGCCGACTCAATGTGTTGTATGCGCCTACCACGTGCCTTCAGGTTTTCCACATAGGCGGCAACACAGCTTCAAGCTCACAAAAACAACTCTTCATTCAACGGACACGCTGGACTTCAGCACAAAGGCATGTTGGCATTGAAACAAGGTAATCCTCGACTGCTGACTCAGTCCAATTACTAACAATCGTAATCCTATGCTAACTCGTTGCTAGATACGTATGTCTACATTGCTGCCAAAGTGTGGCTGGTAGAATCGTGCTTAATTTTGCTCAATCGAAAAAGAAGGACAACACCTCAACAAATGCGTTACCAACTCTTCCGCACCTTCCTCGGACGTGGCTGGCGGCGGCATCAGCTGCTCGACCTTCACAAGCTGTCTTGAATTGCACCGCCGCTCTCGAGCGAAGGAATGCGAAGGACCTCCTTTCAGCAGGAGCCTTCACGCAGCTTCTCCCTTGCTCTTCCCATCTGGCCATGGGTCAAAAGCCCGGTTACCCCCCAGTGAACGTCCGATTCAATCCAACCACTAAAATAGGAAGCCTAAAATGGGCGGCGAATTCACCGAAAAACCGACCAAAATGGGTTCCGATCCAAAACGGTCTAACGACAACCACAGCCATCTGGCCCATCTGCACCCCGCGCCTTGTCCCGCAGTCCAGTAAAGGCCTCCCAGGTCAAGGGCCTCACACTCGCGTCTCACGACAAAAACAGCTCCCCTTTTGCGCCCACAAGCAGGGCTCCGTGTTTGTTTGTTTCTCTTCACTACGAGGTGGACTTAAACACCTCGGGGGTTCCCTGTTGGCGAAATCAAGCACTGGGTTTAAGCGGGCCCACTTTGGGGGTAGTCAAAAAACGGAAACCTGACTCCAAGCCCAGTCCACTTGCAATCGTCCCGCGAGATTCTCTCGGCGCCCCGGCGACCAGAAGAGGCCCTCTGCTGCATTCACCTCTTCGAAGAGGCGCTCCTGCGTAGCAGAAACGGGGCGCGGGAATGACACTCTCAGCAGAGCCTCCATCAAGAAAGGATGGATGACACAGAACCAAATCCAACAGCTGCAAGCTGGCAACTCGAAGTTTTCCACTTTCGCACAGCGACCTCGGAGCCTTAGGGAAATTGGTAGACACATCCCCTGCAGTGCGCTTTCTTTTCCTCGGCCATCTGGCTCCTGCACCGGCTCTTGGCTGAGATCCGGCAGCTGCGGCGGCTGGAGGCGCACCTGACGCGACGGATTCCGGCGGGGCGCACCGAAGCCTTGCGCCAGTCGAGAATTTGGGGGTGGGGGGTTTGAAGGAAGACAAGGGGGGCTTGGGGGGGAGGTGTTGGGAGGGGAGCTGGGGGGGGGGGAATTGAAGGGGGGGAATCGGCGGTTGAAACCAAGGCACGGCTTCCACAATGTCCTCTGCGATCTCTGACGCCAGGCTCAGTGTCTGGCAACGGGCGATGTAAGAACTGCAACACATTTCTGTGCGCCCCAGCGATTTCGCGGCAGCACGGGGCTTGATAACATCGACATGAAACAAGACTGCCGCACAAATTGGCCGTCCTATGGTTGCTTTCATGCATGAATCAATCAAACATGCCTACCCTCTTTCTCAAGCAACCTCTACCTCCACTCTTTCTCTGGTGCAGTGCTACCTGGATCGATGCCCCTGCCATTTCCCGGGTATCGGCCGAAGCCGGGGCCGGGGCCTGCTCTTTCCGCATGTACTCCTGCAAAGCCGCCCGGCGTTCCCAGTGCAGGTCCTCAGCGAAAGAGACAAAATTCAACGCGCGCCGGCGAGCCGGAGCCGCGAGCCGGAGCCGCAAGCCGGGGCCGCCGGAGCTGGACCACGTTGCAACGGCCACAACCATGGATGGCCTTTTGAAAAAATAGATGGCCCTGGTAAATGGAATGAAACCCATCTAAACCAGTGGAACCCATTTAGTTCCAATCAAGCTAACCTAAAAAAGGACACCTCTGGCCACAACATGTCAGCCATTGGGGAATCATGAAAACATGGGTCTGAATTTTAATGGGGGACCCCTTTGGTGGACACCATTTTGGTGGGGATAAAAACGGGCACCAACCACTTTGGAGGGGGTTCCCTATTGAAATTCCTAGCCACATAAGCTTGAGAGAAACACTATAAAACGCCTGGCACACTCGCTTCACAGAGGGGCTCAAGGGAAGTGCACTCCTGTGATTGACAAGGGCATGGTACCATTGCTCCATCTGAGCCTTGCCACTCAACTGGGTGGCGAGGAGAGTTGCAGTCCCATAGGTGCGCTGGCCAACATTGCTAGACTGGCCATGCGTTTGGTACTATTTCTTGCGGGGATGCGGTGTGCGGAATCTCTTGGGTTTGGGGACGCTTTGTTGAACCTGCTTCCTCTGTGTGGATGGAGCAACTCCGAGTTGTTCTCCAGTTTCCTTGGTGTCGTCGGAGCTAATGTTTCGGGAGATGGGCAAGCCATGGGCATGCGTCGCACCGTTTCTCGGGAACGGAGTGGCACCTGTGCCAAACCAAATGACGTTGACGACACGGCGACTGCAGTTGCGACTCTCTGCCCAAGGTAAATTCTTCCCCAAATGACTCAACCTAGCTTGCGAACTGGAGCAGCCACTTCCTTGGGCAAACTTCCTTGGGCTCCTGCCCAGTCAGAAGCAACTGTATGCCAGCGTGTGCATGGCTCCAAACTGGCCAAAAACTGAGAAGCAGGCTCCAACAGTCGCCGAGCCATTCATCGCCAGCTCAGTGACTGGTTCCTGAGGGCTGAGTGTCTATTGGTCGCCTGTAGTCTCCCACAAATAAAGCGCGCTGATCCAGAGAAAAGTTTGTCAGAGTTGTTATAAAGAACACAAGAGAAACACTGCATTTGAATTGAGTCCGCAGACTTTGGTGCTCTTGCTTTGGGGGCAAATGTTTTGGCCATCTGGCCATGGGTCAAAATCCCGGTTACCCCCCCAGTGAACATCCCAATCCCCACTAGAATAGGTTCTAAAATGGGTGGTGAATTCACCTACACCAAAATGGGATCCCATTGGCGTTGACAACCACAGCCATCTAGTCCCAACGCGTTGGTCTAGAAGGATGTGACTGGTCCAACAAGGAGTCTCTCAGCACCAGACTTGAAGCTCAGGGTAAGTCTTCAGGCACCTGCGCTGGGTTGTCTGTCTGTCTGTGTGTCAAACGTCAAGTGGCACTGTCTTATGTTTTAGTGAGCCCCAGGAGGCACCAGACCTCATTCTTCAAAATCCGTTCCCCAGACCTCGAACCTCCCCATCCCGGAGCCTGCCCGGAATGCCCCAAACCCACGGGCTGAGACCCCACAGCCGCTAAGGCGAGAAATCGAACAGAAAACAAGACCTTCATCTTGCTGGTTCGATGGCCAGAGAATCCCTATGAACTATACCCTATGGTTTCCTTAACGGGATTCCCTAGGTTCAACACCCTGGGTCAGTCCCTGTCAATCGCCAGCAAGATTGCTACCCTTAGTCCCAATGATTTTGAACAGGCAAAGGTCGGGCACGATGAGCAACAATTGACACGTACAGCCGCACCAGGACGAGGTGAAGTTGCCAGGCGTGGGCGCAGTGAAGGAGAACATCATGTGCGCCTGAGGCCAAGAAACTCGAAAAATCACAAGATGAGCACGAAGTGAAAAAGAAATGGACGACTTGGATCTGCATGAACCGTGGCCAGGACTTCCGGACAGCGAATAGTAATAACGACCACATGGAACTCTGGACCCTTCGCAGCCCTCAACCCAATCCAGCGGAATCCTGCAGATCCAGATCCGGACTCCAAAGCTTAAGGGCCTCTGGGCCCCGCAGCTTTCAGGCGGGGAACAAGGTCATCTGGCTGTGGTTGTCAATACCACTGGGATCCCATTTTGGGGGTAGGTGAATTCACCACCCATTTTAGAACCTATTTTAGTGGTTGGATTGAATCGGATGTTCACTGGGGGGTAACCGGGCTTTTGACCCATGGCCATCTTGTTCTGAAGCTGGCCGTCCAGAAAAGTTCCGAAGCGAGTCTCTGGGCGCAGGGCTTCATCGCCCGGCAGCACGCGCCTCACAACTTGGCTTCGGCGGGGCGTTTTTTTTCCCCGTGTTTTTGTCTCTTTAAAAAAATTAAAAAAAATGCTGGAGCAGAACCTGTTGTGCTCAGCCATTGTCGGTGCCCCAGCATACCAAGCGCCAAGTAGAGAGAATGTTGACATGTCAAGCCCTGCAGCTGTCAAGGCTCCCACCCGGTGGTTTGATGACAGGTGAAGTGCTGCGTCTCGTCGCCGGGCAACACCGAGTCCTTTGCGGGTAGCCAGCTGTGCCATGCTCCTCTTACAGCTTGTTGTCCCACATCCCAACACTTCTCCGGCCACACAAAATGCATTGCGACACAGGTCCTGGTAGTTCTGCCGAGGAGTGTTTTGGACCCACTCAAACCTCAGTGTAGCAGCATTGCAGAGTCATCGAACTGTAATACGCAAACGCAAGTGTATCAAGCACGGCAAGAAGGTAATGTTAACCCCGGATTGAGAAACCCCTGGTTGATTCATAGGGGGGTGTCCGATTCAGACCGCTTTTGGACGGAACTCCCCCCTAATAATGGGACGGGTTGATTAATCCTGGGCCAAGAAGGTAGGAGAGAGTTTTAGAAACCATCTTTGGTTTGCACCCAACCCTGGACTGTGTGCCCATTCCGAAAAAGGCTTGGAAGACCTCTGCCCAGCCGTAGCCAAAATGGGAACGCACGCCAGCCAAGGGGGGGAATCCATCCCAGCACAGGAGACGAGAGAGCAAACAAAAAACAAATGCATACAATAACATAAAAACTAAAGGGACAAAGCAAAACGAATCCGAACGAAACACGGCAATTCAAAAAATAGACAAGCCCACAGTGTCACATGTGTCTACATCTATATACAAATATATATATATATATATACGTACGTGTAAATTCATGTGTGTATATATATATATATATATGCTACCCCCCCCCCTCCAAGGGACCTACCTTTGGGTTGCATCTCCAGTGCATGATTTGCCCATCTAGGACTGGGAGGAACGATCTCTCAACTAGGACCAGGGCCAAATGAGACTAGAGCCCAGCATCTCTCAACTGGGACAAGGACCAAACTAGGACTAGACGACCCGCTTACAAAATTGAGCTTCAAGTATAACTTCCATATAGTAAACTAGGGAGCAACCTAACACTAGGACCAAGGATCTCTCATCTAGGACTTAACTAGGACTAGACTATTTAACTCTACTTGCTATAGTATTTGGATGTCAAGTATTACATTCTGGCGGAAAGAAAGTCCTGTTGAAATTTGGTTTGAAACAGAATAGCCAATATGTTGTACACGAATTTAACATGTAAATTATGACTGGATAGCTGCCTTGCTTTAGAATTTACTGTTCAGTTGACAGTTGCATAGAACTTGATTAATGTAATAACTACAATTCATAAGGAACTTCCTTTGTAATGTCCCTTATACGTTCTATTTATTTCAGTAAGCTAGGACCATACTAGGCCTAGAACCCAGGATCTCCCAACCAGGACTAGACCGCTAGTTCTGAAAGTGACTGAATTTCAAGTACAATGTTCTATTGGAAAGGAAATCGTTTGTACCAGTTAATTTGACAAAGAACAAATAAACAATATTTAGGTTCGAATCTAAATCCAAATTCTGGCTGGAGTATGTCCTTCTTAAGCTCTATTGAATTTCAATCAGAAATACGGTCGTATTTGATAAAACACAATAAGTGGAGTTCATAAAAAAAGAATCCAACGGTCCCAAACTTGTGCTTTTTCACTAGTCCTAGCACTACCATGGTCACAAACACCGTAAACCACAGTGTTGCGTAGCGTTTTTCATACTCAACTCACATCTCCACCAACGAACGCTTGCTAAATGCTCAGTTGAATTTGAACACGATTTAATTGGGACCCAACACAGATTTTTGGTTCTTTTACAGAATTCCTTTCCCAATATATACTTATAATTCAAGTAGAGCTTAACAGGATTTGATAAGGAAAGAACCCAAGCCTGTATTCAACATTCAAGAATCAATATTCTCTAGACAAGTCTTCTTTGCAAACGCGAGTCCAGGCCCGAGTGAAACCCATTGAAACCGACTCAAACTTCACTTGAGCCTGTGTTCAAAATCCCTAGAAAAGTTTGGCCTACAATCTTGAGTGTGGGCCTAGATTGAAACAGAATGAATGAAGAATCAGGGCTTGGATGCTGGCACAACACTGTGCCACAGCACAGCCGCGCAAAGTGGAATGTTGAATTTGGGTGTCGATTTAAACCGATTGAATTTAAATCGGGCATGGATTCTTCAAGCTTCAAAAGATTCAAGAATCCAGGCCAAACTTGTGCAGGGAATCTTGAACCCAGGCCTCGATTTAAACCGATTTTAACCGATTTAAACTTAAATCGGGCATGGATTCAAGATTCAGGCTTCAAGAATCCAGGCCAAACTTTTCCAGGGCATCTTGAATCTTGAATCCATGCCCGATTTGTGTCTAAGCCGGCTTAAATCGGTTCAAATCGAGGCCTGGATTCAAGATTCCCTGCACAAGTTTGGCCTGGATTTTTGAATCTTGAATCCATGCCCGATTTACATTATATCGCGGTTTGAATCGGTTTAAATCAAGCCTGCAGCTTCCAGAATGTGCTTGGAAATGTTTCTTTTTCATTGCTCTCCCCAAAGCCCAAAAAAGGGTAGAAAACACTGCAAATACCTGTGAATTATTCCAAAAGGTAGGTCCCTGGGGGGGTACCATATGTATATATATATATATGTACATGTGTATACATACATATATATATATATGTATATACATACATGCAAATATATATATATTCATAATGCAAATATATTACAATGCGTACATAAATATTTGTGCATGCATGTACATATATATATATATATATATGTACACATACCAGCCATATAGCGCATGCATCTATGTGACATATATATATATATATATATATTTAGCACGCATGCATGCATGTGTGTGTGTGCATGCATGTGTGCATGTGTGCATGTATGTATGTGTATATGTATGTATGTATGTATGTATGTATGTATGTATGTATGTATGTATGTATGTATGTATGTATGTATGTATGTATGTATGTATGTATGTATGTATGTATGTAATGTACGTATGTATGTATGTATGTGTGTATGTGTGTATGTGTGTGTGTGTGTCTGTACGTATGTGTGTGTGTAGGTACGTATGTATGTACGTATGTATGTGTGCGTGTGTGTATGTGTGTATGTGTGTATATATGTATGTATGTAGGTACGTATGTACGTACGTATGTATGTATGTATGTGCATGCGTGTGTGTATGTACGTACGTATGTACGTATGCATGCATGCATGTATATGCGTAAGCATGATAATGCACACATATATATATATATATACACATGCGTATATATATATATATGTAATGGGTATGTATTGTTGGATGCGCCCGCGCTGGGAAGTTGGTATAGGGGTATGATTTGCAGGTATGGCTCGGGGTATGACTCGCGGGTATGTTTCGGGGCGTGGCTCGCGTGGCTCTGAACTCTTGTTCTGTGGCCTTGGGCGCTGCAATTCTTGTTTACGCTGGCAACCAGATAGCCGCCAGAAACCGAACCGCTCAGTTGCCACAGCTAGCCTCTGACGCTGCCAAGAACGGGGTGAACTAGACAGCTGCAACAGGCTAAACAGCCGTGGCGCGCCAAAGCCCGACGCCTCACCCTGTTTTTGCTTGGCAGTTCCTCCTCGCGAACCTCAAAGCTTCCTTCCAGGCGCTGACAAGAACTTGCTTGCTTTGGCACGCCCGCCAATGAAAGGATGGCTTCTTGCTCGCCACTCCTTCGAGCACAGGCCGCTTTTTGCAGCGCTCCCCGGCTGCGCAAGCAGAGCGAAGCAATTCACTCTCGCAGGACGCAGCTTACAAGGGCTCGAACTCTTCCTTCAAGGCGCTGCAAACCTTCCGGACCGATCCTCTCTCCGCAAAGGGCGGCGTCGTCGTCGTTCTGCAGCCCTCCCCTTTGCACAGCGCAAGAGGCTCTTGATGGCTGCAAAAGGGGGTGACTCGGGGTATGAGTCGGGTATGAGTCGGGTGTGAATCGGGGGTATATGAATCGCGGAGAAGATTTTTGGCTTACGGAAAGACGCAAAGCGAGCATGGCTAAGAAAGCTTGCAATCACACGGGGCTGCTGCAAGCGGCAGCGCCCTTGCACTTGAAACAGCATGTGAAGCTATGAAGCAGAGTGTCAGAAAAGGTTTGGCTAGTGGTCAAACTCTCAACCGCGTAGCAGGAGGGGCGAGATGTCCGTCACAGAGCTTTCAAGCCTTCTTGGTCAATTGTTCGACCCGCGCCGGAGGAGCCGGCCCATGCAAACTGTCAGCTGGCGCGTGACGAGCTGTGAGCTAACCTGTAGCTCTTACCCTAAACGCCAGTTAGAGTAGAATACTGCTTGGGGACAAACAGTTGTATTGCGTTCTCCGCAGGACAAGCTCTACTTGCCTACTCCTAGCTAAGGATTTCTAGTAGGCTTACAAGGTCAGCAGTTCTTGAAGACTCCTTTTTGGATTTTTATCGGGGGTATGAATCGGGGTATGGTTCGGGGGTATGGTTCGGGGTATGATTCGGGGGTACGGCTCGCCCAGGTCCCACTTCCCGCGTAGACGAAAGAATGGGCACGGCAAAAAACATAGACCTTTGTATATACTTTTGTTGTATGTGTCTAAACACATATTATATGTATAAATATGATATATTGCAATTCTTCATAATATTACAGGCGCCCGCTCTTGCTTTCTCCCACTTTCTTGCTCTCTCCCTCTCTCTCTCTCTCTCTCTCTCTCTCTCTCTCTCTCTCTCTTGCTCTCCATGTTCCTCGCCTGCGTGGGCATGAGCCTTTGACTCGCCCTTTGCATGAAACCAGCGTCCAACCGCACACGCCAAGTGGCTGAAGCACTGCCGTGCCAGAATTTCTCAGGCGGATGGTGCGGGTGCACATCCTGGCCGCAAAGCATAACCAGGCGCAAGGCTCTCAAAATCTTCCTACTTCCTGCATGTTTGACCAATACTTGGTCTGCCTGCTGATCCAAGCAGGAAATGAGTCATGGCGGCTTCTTCGTCTTCATGCAACTATGGGCTACACCATTTGATGTGAGATTCTATCTTCGCAGTCCACAGCTGTAGCTGGCGTGGGGTGGTGCACTTCTTGTGGAGTGAGAAAGGCTAGATCTGCCCATGCCACCCTGAAACCGGCCAGGGCGGCTTCTTCACATCTGCTTGAAAGTGCAGGCAAGGTGGCATCACCTGGCATTCGGGGAATAGCCGGCAAGCCGAAAAGCACAGCGGTGGTGAAGGCCGCTCAACAGTGGACAGCATCAACTTGGTCAACTCTCCAGGCGACAAGAAATGTTGGGCAGAATTCTCCAAAGCCGAATGTTGAAATGAAGTGACGGCACAAGCTCGAAGCTCGAAATTTGAAAGGATAACGATACAAGGATGCACCCGAGCCTCCACGTGGGGCCCCTCCTCCAAAGGAACCTGAAAAAGCGGAAGCATTCCTGTTTCACAGCAGTCACATGAGGATGTCACAAACAAAAACAACAAAACGGGTCCTCCAACGCATAGCTGTAGGAGACAAATCCATGTTTGCCAAAAAACACCAAAAATCCACTGATACCGCATGCTCCGCAAGGGAACAACAAGTCAAACCTCCTTCGACAGTGCTTATACCCCAGTCTCTCTGAGCTACTGGCTGTGGCAGCATCGCATTGATCCTGGCATCACATGTATGCCCAAACAGGCAGCGCCTGGCCTGCATATTCAAACGCGATCTGCAGTTGGTGCAGGCTTCATCTATGGTAATTGCTACCTTTAACAGAATGACTTCCACTTCCATTGCCGAACCAAGCGCACCCGTCCTCTGCATGGAGCAGGGTGTTGTCGACCGCACCACCACCCTCTTCCATCAGGGCTGCCATCAGCTCCTCTTCAGGGTTGCCTCCACCTGGAGCGCGCTCACCAATGCGAGCTCGCGGGCTGTATGCTGCAAGAAGAAGATTTGATAGCACGCGCTGCCTCCCGCAACTGGAAACTGGGGAAATCTGCCGAAATACGGAAACAACAACAACAACAACAACAACAACAACAACAACAACAACAACAACAACAACAACAACAACAACAACAACAACAACAACAACAACAACAACAACAGAGGGCGGATTTACATTCGACAATTCCCACTGCTGAGGTCACTAGATGTCTTGGTCTCAAGCCTACAGGTGCCAGAAGCCGACTGAAACAAAAGTCTCAAGCCCAGAAATTGCCACCAAACCCATCGCAACGCCTCCTTCCGCCTCTGCAGCGCGTAGGGCTTGAACCTGGCGCAGCTTGGCGAGAGATGCTTTCAGCTCAAAGTGCTTCGAAGTCGGCGCATGGCCCGTGGGGGCCGAAGAAAGATTCCCCTTCTGCGGCCTCAGAAAGTTCTGGGCAGTGGAAAACATGTGGCTATGGGTCAAAACCCGGCTCTGCCAGTGAACATCTCAATAGACTAACATGGGTGGTGCACCTACTCCAAAATGGTTCCATTGGTGTTGACCCACGGCCATGTCGCCGGACTCTGTTCAAGGAGCACCAGGTATTGCCTTCTAAGCCTCTGTAAGGAGCTGTAAGCCCCTGGGACACGTCTCAGACACCAGACGCCAAACGCCTCTGGCTCGAGGATCTCGTCGTACTCCAGCAAACCGGGAGCCATCTCCTGGCAGTCTAAGCCATGGGTGAATCGGCGTATCTCTATTTGCGGGTGGTTTGCGGGTGAGAGGATGCGAGCCCACCTATTTCTGCCTGTTGTTGTTTCTAATGTTTCCAAGGGGCCCTTGCAGTCCCCAAACCTCCAAGAAACCACTCAACCACAAACCAAAGCCTACTTGACCAACAAGCTGTTCACCTGGCCAACAATTGACCACCAACAGTTCGAAAGGCTGAAGTTTTACTTCACACGCTACGACTCAGCATGGCTGCTGACTGTGTAGAGCGCATCTCCTTCATCCGGGCCCCATACTTCCGGATGCGAGCCAACAAGTACCTTTCCCGGAGTCAGAGACCAGCACCGGCTGCGAGAACGGGCATGCAAACCCAAAAAGCAAAGAACAAACCATCGAAGCATCCAAGAATCGGAAAAGCGGTTCGATCCGCTCAAGCCGTGCCTTGCTTCATCGCGTTCAACGCAAGGACCGGACCTGCGGCCTCTGCGGCCCTCATGGCGCACTCATCGTCCCGCCACGACCGAGGCCGCCTCTTGCCAGATGCTTCGGCAGCGTGCCTGGGGTTGAACGCGCCGTGGCTCAGACGGCCCGAAGCCTTCGCTGGACTTGGACCTTCAGAAACCCAAAGAAGGGTCGCTCTCCGCCTTGCTTGAGTACTATGGTCATCAGCGATTGGAGGGGCAATTTGTACACCCAAGGATGTTGTAAAATGACTTGGGATGCTAAATAGGCATTAATCCAACGCGAGAAAATCAACTTGAAATGAATCAAACATGCGAGTCAGCGTCAAAAATACTTGTCTGGAGTGTACTCGTTCCCACGTTCGGGTCCCGTAACGTTTGTCATTTGTCGGTGATGGGCCGGACCTCCATTCTTGTGCGCCTTTTCTGTCGAGGCGTGTGACGTCTACTAGCACTGCTCTCGTTCACCTGATGAGCGCAGTGGCCTCTCTGCAGCTCCGATATTCTGGTGCTTCGCCCTCTAGTCCTTGCACTCAGGGGGCAAGGTCATGGCGTCACAGAGCTGCATCAGACAGCACAGCTCGGCTTGCAGCTGCCGACAGCGCTGACCAGCAAAGCTTCGACGCCTCGTCAATCGGGGTAGATCATCTTCTTTGTTACACCGCCATCCACGACCCATTCCTGGCCATTGACGAAGCCACTCTTCGATGAGTCTGCCAGGAACAGCGCCAGTTCAGCCACGTCTGAGGAGCAACCAACTCGGCCGCAGGGATGAAACTCGTGGCCCTCCCGTCGCAAAGGCTCCTCTGCTTGCTGCTCCTCTGTAGAAATCCACCCAGGGAGGATAGCGTTCACTCGTACCCCGGATCCAGCCAGGGATATGCTGAGGGCATGCGTCAAAGCTCCCAAGCCACCCTTGGACGCAGCATAGGCCTCGCAGTGCTGCTCCGACATCCTGGCGCGCGTGCTGGAGATGTTGATGATGGTCCCCCTGCTTTCGCGCAAGTGGAGCAAGGCGTGCTTTGCCAGCAGCATTGGCCCCGTGAGGTTTACCGCCAGGGTGCGGTTCCAATCCTCCACCTCCAAGCTCTCCAGGGGCACAGCATATGGATTGGACACCGCCGCATTGTTGACAACACAGTCGATGCCCCCGAAGGCGCCCGCAGCTTCCTGGACAAAGCTTCGCACCGCCGCCTCGCTCGCCACATCACAGCGCCGCACCAGCACAGATGCGGACGGCGGCTCGAAGTCCACGGCGTCACAGGCGGCCACCTGCCACCCAGCAGCAGAGAATCGCTGCAGAAGGACCTTGCCCACGCCACGCGCCGCGCCCGTGATGACGACCGTCTTCATAGGCTCACGCCCGTCTGTCGGCGCCGGACGCGATGCCAAGGCTGGACTTGGTGAAGGCACAGTGATGACGCGCCGCTGCCATGTGAGACCGCCTTAAGTTGCCCAGCGCCACGAGCCCTGGAGCAAACAAGCGAAAGCCAAGGCGAGTGGCAGCACGCGGCAGTTGAATGGTGCCCCTTCTGTAAAGAGAGCGCTGTGGAAACTCAGATGTGGCAGTGCACCAGCATCTCCTGAATTGGAATCGGAACGCTGGCAACGCACGAGAAAAACGCTTGGCACAACAATCACAAGCAGTTGCTGCGCGTTTCTTGATCGTTTGGTGGCGCTCTTGCTTCTTAAGATTTTTTGGCAATCAACTGTATCCATGTACAAAGGGATCCTCAATGAGCCATGCTTGCGCATTGCTCGAGGAAACAGCTCCCTGGGTTGCATGGGCCTTGGTGCCGTGGAACTTTGAAGCGGCCCACACAAGCCAGAACCAATCAATTACCAACAATGGCCGGAAGACGTTGGTTGAGCAAGACACGTTGAAGTCTGACGTCTCAAATCTTAGCCCTGAGGCAGCCACCTTGCTGTCGTGAGGTCCACCATCAATGGCTTCCTGGCAGAGGAGAGGACACCTCTGGTGTGAAGTGCACCCCCCCCCGCACGTTGCCCAAACACCAATCAGCCACGAGGACTGAAAAGACAGACAGCCTAGGTGCGAGCACCAGACTGAACTCAGGGAACTACATAGGGTGGAGTCAGAGCACAAAAGCAATGCATGCCAACAGAGAGGTCGGGCATCAAAGTGTGAGGCGTCAATGTCAACCATCAAGCCTTCAACACGCTGCTTCCCGCCAATTGTTTAGAGCCCTAGCTTCAGGCAGTCACTTCAAACACACAGGACTTTTGTGAAATTTCAGCACGCCTGATCACATCAGGATGCCCTCCCCTGTCGTGCTGCAACCGCAATGAAGTTCGCCGGGCAGACAAGGGCGTGAACAGGCTTCTTCCGAAAAATTCGTCGTTGGGCAGACTCTTTAAATGAAACAAGTCTCTTCACTCTCTTTTCAAGAAGGACAAGTTGCTTGAGGCAAAGCCTCAACATCCACTGGTTGTCAGAAAAGACTGAAGCACCAGCAGCCGAAAGCCTGTCCAGTGACAACAAAAGGTAATTTCATTGCTTCTCCTGCCTAATGATCTCGTGCACATAGTTCTCCTGGGCAGCACAAGGACGCAAAAGGTGACACGCAATGCATCCAGTTGGCTACACGCTGCTTGCCAGGTTCCATAGATTTCCACTTCTTTGTGGCACTCGTGCAAACGTTTTCAAGCAGCGAGGGGGGGCAAGCCGCTGCTGAACCGACCCTTCACCTCCCGTGTCACTTCGCCTTGTGGAGCTTCAGAGGGAGATACAGCCCCGAGAACATGTTGCCCACCTCAGGTGTTTTCGCTGCGGCGTGGCTGGTCTTTCGAAAGATCCCTTCACGCCCCACGCCTGGACGAAGCGAGTACCCTCTCCGCGGAGGGAGTGATACCAGTTGAAGCCTGGCGTTGAAGTCGAGCACAATACATGTCCCTGGACAAAATTGCTTGATTCCTGAGCGGACATGGGACATTTTGAGTGCCCCCCATGGTTGGGTAAGGAAACTTGGGTGGGCCCCCATGTCCTCGCCAAACTAAGAGCAGTCTAGTATTTCTGTCATCTGGCCATGGGTCAAAATCCCGGTTACCCCCCAGTGAACATCCCAATCCCCACTAGAATCGGTTCTAAAATGGGTGGTGCACCTACCCCAAAATGGTACCAGTGGTTTGGAGCCACAGCCATCCCACATCAAGGAAGGTCCAATCAGCAGCTGGAGCAGTGCATGCAGTGGCTGGGCCGCACACCACCACTCTTGATCTCCTCGGGTGTGGCCTGGGTTTGCAGCAAAGATGGCAAGCCGCTCCGGTCCGGGGGAAGTGGGCTGCGTTCAAGTCACAGTCCTTGTGAAGCTAGGTTCCGGCTTTTGCTTTGGAACCTAGATTGCATTGTTTGGACATGCAAATCAATGCCTTTCTCTGCGACCATCGAAACTGTTTGTTCGTAGCTCTACCAATGAAACTGTTGCCTTGTCCTGGACCAAGGACCCGCACTCGTTCGAGCAACTCCATAACCTGGCATGGGCAGCTCCATAGCGAGATCTGCCCAGCGCAGTTCAATGCGTCTGTCAGAGCAGTTTCACCCCGAAATCAACCTTCAAATCAGCTTCCTTCCAATGGGTGAGTTTGGATAGGTGCTTTGGTGCTGCGGAAAGAACCAAAGGTTTTCAGACAACCCAAACCAATCCAGACCACCAACTGAGGCGAACAAGAAACCCGGTGTTCAAGCTCTTATCCTACACTCAAGTGTGTTGAATTCCAAGCGGCGGTCTTCTTAGAAGTTGTGTGCTCTAGTTGGGGCCTCAAAATTGGAGCCTCACAAGTTGCCACTGTCTAAGTATGCGCGCCTGAGAGCTCATAAGCATGCAGCATTGGCAAGCCAGCAAACAAGAAAGCAGGACGGCGGGAAAACAGGCAGGGAGGGAAGGGAAGGAAGAGCAAGGAAGAAAAGGAAAACAGGCAGGAGCAAAAGAAGCATAGCAGCTGGCAGCATAGCAGCAGGTAGGGCTGAAAAACACCAGGGCAAAAGGGCCTGCAGGGTAACCGGTCATGAAACCACCTCAGACTTGCGCTTCCGCTTGCGAATCACTTGCGCGGAGCTTGCGCGAAATCTTACGAGTCAAAACGGCAAGAACGTGTATATCTTCTGGAGCAACCAAAAACAACCCCCAAAATTTCAACGGCACTGATGCTGGCACTGATGTTTCGAGCCACCAAACTGTTCAGGATGCAAATCCCACTTGAGCGAATCTTGTGAACACTGCAGTTTTGACTTGCACGGCCGTCTTGACATGCCGAATTCCAAGCGGCGGCCTACTCACCCAAAGACTAACCAGAACCCTACATAAGAAGTATGCTCCGGTTCTTTTTTGACTCAACTAAGGATTACCTGCACAAACTTTTGAACGCGCACGCACTCAGCCGGCCTCCAGGCGCTCACGATGCTCCTCCGCTCGGGTCACGACGAGCCTGTCAGCTGTGTCATCACTTCCACTTGCAAACAAGAAACAAACAAACATTGCATTAAAAAATGAGAAATCAAAAAAGACTTCCAGACAGGCAGACAAACAAACAAGCAAACAATCGAACAAACAAGCGAGCAAGCCAGAAATGTGGCAAACAAGCAAGCAAGCAAGCAGGCAAGCAAGCAAGCAAACAAACAAACAAACAAGCAAGCGAGCAAGAAAGCAAACAAACAAACAAACAAACAAACAAACAAACAAACAAACAAGCGAACAAGCCAGAAATGTGGCAAACAAGCAAGCAAGCAAGCAAGCAAGCAAGCAGGCAAGCAGGCAAGCAAGCAAACAAACAAACAAACAAGCAAACAAGCAAGCGAGCAAGAAAGCAAACAAACAAACAAACAAACAAGCAAGCAAGCAAGCAAGCAGGCAAGCAAGCAAACAAACAAGCAAACAAGCAAACAAGCAAGCGAGCAAGAAAGCAAACAAACAAACAAACAAACAAAACAAGCGAGCAAGCCAGAAATGTGGCAAACAAACAAGCAAGCAAGCAAGCAAGCAAGCAAGCAAGCAAGCAAGCAACCAACAAACAAACAAACAAACAAACAAACAAAAAGTAAATAAATAAACAAACAAACAAACAAACAAAAAAAGTAAATAAATAAAAAAACAAACAAACAAACAAACAAGCAAACAAGCAAGCGAGCAAGCAAGCAAGCAAACAAACAAACAAACAAGCAAGCGAGCAAGCCAGAAATGTGGCAAACAAACAAGCAAGCAAGCAAGCAGGCAAGCAAACAAACAAACAAACAAACTAGCAAACAAGCAAGCAAGCAGGAAAGCAAACAATCAATCAATCAAACAAACAAACAAACAAACAAACAAACAAACAAACAAACAAGCAAGCAAGCAAACAAGAAATGTGGCAAACAAACAAAACAGCACGCAAGCACGAAATGTGACAAACAAACAAGCAACAAGCAAGCGAGCAAGAAAGCAAACAAACAAACAAACAAACAAAACAAGCGAGCAAGCCAGAAATGTGGCAAACAAGCAAGCAAGCAAGCAAGAAAGCAAGCAAGCAAGCAAGAAATGTGGCAAGAAATGTGGCAAGCAAACAAGCAAGCAAGAAATGTGGCAAACAAACAAGCAAGCAAGCAAGAAATGTGGCATGGCAAACAAACAAGCAAGCAAGCCAGAAATGTGGCAAACAAACAAACAAGCAAGCAAGCAAGCAAGCAAGCAAGCAAGCAAGCAAGCAAGCAAGCAAGCAAGCAAGCAAGCAAGAAATGTGGCAAACAAACCAACAAACAAGCAAGCAAGCAAGAAATGTGGCAAACAAACAAGCAAGCAAGCAAGCAAGCAAGAAATGTGGCAAACAAACAAGCAAGCAAGCAAGAAAACAAGCAAATTCAGGTGGACCCAGTCTCAGCTTGGGAAGCTCGCTGAGTGCCAAGCTCTGCTTTGTCTCTGCCAGTCCTCAGTGGGAACAATGCGACTCCGGTCTCCGACGTTCAAAAGACTTGCCCTCCCTCTCACTAACATGGCAACTGACACAGGGTACCCCCAAGAGGAAAGTCATCTTCCGGGTACCAGCCCACAGGTGCTATGTTGATTGGTGGGAGGGTAGAGATTCATCAGCCCGGTCACAATGGTTGTCTCAAATGCTGCCTCTCCCATGCATCTCTAAGCCCGGATCTTTTGGGCAGCCAAATGCCGGAATTTCTCCCAATCCTGCTGCCTCAGACAGGACAGGAGTCAAGCGCTTTGACAAGCATGTCTCATGCACTCTCCCTTCCTTCTCCCTGTCCTCTCATGCATGTCCAGTTAATCTTCTCATGAGGATCTGGCTGTTGGCCCCAACGGTCGAGAGCACGGTCGTATCTGCAAGTCAGCGTTGCATTTGGTCAATGTTGGCAACTGAAACAAAGAAGCAAGCCGCAAGAACCTCCCGGAAGCCAAGGGAGCCTTTGCACATGGGATGCCATGCAAGCTACCCATCAAAGTGCTTGCGAGGCAATTCCTTCCAGTGCTGGGTTGCTGTTGACCCCTCTGCAAAAAGTGCAACTTGTTGTGGGTTTAGTGGCAAACCCCTTGATCTCCAAAAAAGTTAAAGTCTAAAGATCCAACCCAATAGCAGTCAAGCACAGTGGGAGCTGAAACATACAAGTAGCTGTGAGTCGCTGCCTGCCAGCGACGATCTGCTCCTCTAGCGTCCTGGTTTTCAGGCTCACGGTCTTCCTCTGCTTGGCCTGGCAGACTCGCTGCCTTGCAGCTGCCCTAAGTCGTGTCTGTGCATCCGCATGGTGGTATTCACCATGTGCTCAGAGAGGCAACCATGTTGAACAATGCAACATAATACGTTCACGAAATAGAAACAAAAACTCAACTGAGCGAGGAATGTCCACTCGTTCGGCGTGTGCGATGCGTTTTTCAAGATCATGGAAGACAGTGCATCGCAGCCTTCTGAGCCGGCTGCGACACCTGCAGGAAGCAAACACCACGCTCGTGCGCCCTGCTTCATCCTTTTGCATGAATTCGTGAAACAGCTGTTGCTCGCAAGTTTGCGGCGCAACAATCCTAAACCCTAAGCCCCTGAGCGAACTTCAGTCCCTAGGTGGACCATCCCGACCAAAGCTTCCGCTTTCCCTCCTGCGCTAGAAAGAAGTTCCTTGCAGGAAGGGTTCTAAGAACTTGGCCAAACCATGGCGTGGCTATGTCACCCAGCGCATCGGCGCATGCCTCGGATACCAACCTGGGGCCCGATTCCCAAACATCGAGCCTGAGATGGCGAGGGTCGCAGGTTGGCGGTAAAGGCTGCAGCCGGCGGTGGCCTTAGCCATGCGCAACACGGAGGCTGATAGGCGAGTGTGCCTTCACCACATAGCTCCCTCACCAATGTTGAGGGAAGTACGCACCGCGTGCTGCAACATGTTTGAGTAATGTCCTGTCGATCATCAAAGAAACATAAGACGACTGAACTCTTGACAGCCGCAACAACTTACGCACCAAAATGTGGCAGGCATCCATAAAATGGTCAGGGAATCCGCAAATGAGATGGGCACTACACTAATTAAAACAGCTCATGTTTCTCTCGCAAGGTACCCCCGTAAGCCACAATACGACGCACAATTCCTCCCAGCAAGGTCAATCCATGGAGATGTCATGCGAGAAACTTCTAGGCACCCCTCAACCCTGTCAGCTTGCTCGGGAGTTTGCAACGACGCGCTAAGTGAGACCAGGGTGGGTTTGAGGTCAATCCAGATTAGCTGAAGAGCCGGCTGAGGCATGGCTTAGGGTGTAGCGCAAACGGCCCTGCCAAATACAGTTGAGCGCTCACGAAGCCGAGAAGCCACAAAAACAAAGCGCGACAAACAGAAAAAGAGGCATGTCCCCCCCACACACCACACACGCACACACTGGTGCCTGAAGAGCAGGAACATAGAATAACCAACACGGTCACCAAAAAGGCCCTTTAGTTTGATAGAGCGCCCAAAATGTACAAACAAAACAAACCAGCCAACCAAGAAAGAAAGAACGACCCCCTGGCCCATCCCCCACCAACCCCCAAGTAGGCCTTGCGATCAACAACAGTTCATTGCTGAGCAACAAGGGCCTCTGACTGTTGCAGCACACCCCTAGGCAGCAAAAAGTGTCATGAGGCGAATCCTCTGGACGGACATATAGCAAAAACCCAGACCCGCAAGGCACATTTTCTTGGATAGCGTGTGACCAGGAGCTGCTGCCGTGCCTACGAAGCAACTGAAGCACAGGTGACGCAATGTGTGCACTACCTGTAGGAAACTACAAGGCACCACACATGCCAAAAGCGCGACAAAGCCTACACTGCGACCGCAATGACACACCGAGGTAGGGCCCAAACCCAATGAGTTCAAGAGCGGCACCCCAACCTGGGCTCAAACCTGGCACCCCAACCTGGGCTCCCGGCATCTCTGCTTCAGGCGGAAACTCCTGAGCTACGGCTGGGCCATAGGGTTTGCTCGATCGATTCCCGAACGATCCGCGAGAGCATCAGCGGACGAGGTTCTGCGAAAGGGTCACATCTAACACGAGGTGTCATCAAATGTTGATGCGAAACGTGCGCTTCGCATAGCGAGCAACCTTTGAAGGGCGGATAACGGCAACCTCTGAACGGCCGACTGGCGCCTCATCTGGCAATGCGGGCGCAGGGTCAGAAGGGTCCAAGCCAAGATGCTCCATCTGCTCCTGGGCACAAACTTCTTGGATCTTGAAACAGATTCACTAGGCAAAAGCGGGCTTCAAACGGTTAAAGACAAGTTCGCATCTTCCACAATCCCAGCCTTGTGTCTTTCATAGGTGGCAGATGAGACCTGCCACAGAACTGCACAGAGTCGCCGACTGAAGACACGCGGAAGTCAGCTTCTCAAATCTAAGGTGAGGTTGGTCAACATGCTTTGCCGCTACAGGAACCTCGCGTTCGCGAATAATCCAACTCCGAGCCTGTGAAACATATTGGATATTCCCCAACTCCGTGCTTCGGGATTTGGGTGAGACTTCAAGCCACTCCTTCGGCCGCGTTCGCTTCTCCCGGATCCGTGCCTTCCGCTGGATGACCACCCGCCGCCTTCGGGGCTTAGAACTCAGGTCAGGCGGCAATGGACCTCAGCGAGCCGGAAGTAGATAGAGCTTGGTCAGTATGGCCATGGGAGTTGATGTCCTTTGCGGCCATGTCCTTCAGCCACCTTTGCCTCTCAATTTCCTTTGTGGAAAGCGGACCAGGTCCATTTTGTGCCAGGTGTCCATGGGTCAAAAGCCCGTACCCGCAGTGAACATCAACCAATCCAACTAAAATTGGTTCTAAAATGGGTGGTGAATTCACCCCCAGAATGGTACCATTGGTTTTGACCCACAGCCATATGGGTATGGCTTTCTGTAGGGGACCCACTAAAATGGTAGATTTCCTTTTGGTTTCTCAAAAGAAGACACACACACATATCCCCCTCGGCCCCCAAATGACCACAAATGACCACATGGGTAACTTTTCCACTGTGCGGGGGAAGAAAAGAAAGGTGTAGTGGTTCCCCCAATGATCATCCCACGTTCATGGGACCTTTTGACCAACCCCCATATGCTGGTCCAAGACCAAACCAGTCCGGCGAGAAGGAACCAGGCCAAATGACCTTTGCGATTTAGGGGGCCTATGGCTCTGCTTGATCTGCAGGAATGGGGTGGAATCAGTTCTGTAGATTCCGACTTTTATGTCACCAGCATATGCCAAGAGGACTTGAGACTGAGAGAAAGCACAAAAGCCAGAGGGACAAAGGCAAGAAGACAGCAAAATGAAGACAGAGTGTAACCCTAGGACACACAGAACATACATTGCCAATGCACTCACAGGGCCTGCCAGCCAAACCCAAAGCACCTTTTCTGACCACCAAGGATGCCGCGGCCAGTTGCCTCCAGGCGCAAGAATCAAAATCATACACTTTTGCGAGGGGGCACATCCATAAGAATACAGCATACTGGATTGGTTTGCAAAAGCTGGGTTGACACGTGGGTGTCTCTTTTTGTTGATGGACCCTGTTTGGTTGGTTTGAGAGGGAAGCAAAAGTACACCAACCGTGGCCTCCATCGCATGCAAAGGGATGTCGAGACTTGGTCTTGCTCCCAGGATTCAAGTTCACTGGCTTTGGTTTGATCGTCTGTTGCACGCTGCAGTCATGGTTTCAACATGTTTCAACTGAGACAACTGCAAAAAAGCCCGAACTTTCTGCAATGAAGAGTGTCATGGGGCACCCTACCACACAGCTTGAGCCCAGGCATCAAGTGGCATGACTCTGCGGAAGTTCGTCTGACATGCAGCTGAAACTGCTTTTGCAGGGCAGTCCTCCCCTTACAGTGAAAAGAAGGTGCGTGCGGCCACTGTCTGACAACTGTCCACACGGAACAAATCCACTGGTGGGTTAATGCCAGTATCACAGGCTACACATTCCAGTATGCCTTGGTTTTGTGCTGCATTGGTTTCAATTTGATGGCCACCAAACTGAAACAGTCTGGTCTCATCCAATTCCGCGTATTCATGGCTCTCGGTCTGTTCGCGATTCCTGCTGTATGCACATGGCCACAGCGAGATGTCTCTCAATCGCCGTGGCTAAAGTGTTTGCCGACTGCAATGTTCTGAGGCTTCGAAAGCCGACGTTGACACAGCTTCACTAGAGTGGCAGCAAAAAAGAAACTCTACCAATCCAACCGGAAAAGTCTGGTTTTCACAAGTGGTGTAGGGATTGAAGGATCTGAAGCCCGCCAAGCATAACACCAGCTGAGTCTGCAGCCAGTGGGTCCTACCGAGGTCCTACCGATCCCTGCGGGCCCTGTGCGTTTTTGCAGGGCAGCGGGGCGGCACTCAGAGAGGTTGACGATGTCTCGGCCTGGAGCTGCGGGCGATCCTGAAGGCTGTGGGTCAAAAATGGGTACCCAAATGGGTTGCCCTGGTAAATGGAACCCATGACTACAGCATGCGGTCCCCTGGTGGTTTAATTTTGGTCCACACCCAACTCTTGCAAGGTACCTATTCCGTGCAAAGCAGCATCCCAAAAACTGAAACATATCACCATTTGCGCTCCGAATGTATTGGAACCTCAACACCACATTGCAGTGAAATGCCGCCGAAGCACATAAGCAACGCAACCAAATTGTCGATGGCCATTGCGTTGAGCCCCCTGCATTTTGATATTGTCCCGTGTTTTGATGATGTACATGCGAGTCTCCAGCACAAACCTTTGGCCTTTGAGCTTGACAGCGCTTGACTGTGAGAGCTATGCCCGCGGCTACAAAGCTTCATCCGTTGAAGGAGGTCGCCTGCTTCTCACGCATTGACACTGAATTGTACAGTCTGCCTCAATCGTTGGAGGTTTGATTGGTCCAGAATGTCAGCGGGTTTTCGGGAAAGGGTCAAGACTTGTTGGCCCTGCCGTTCTTCCTGCAAACCGCCCAAAAGCCAACGTGAAAGCGCCTATCAGGAGCGTACTCCGTGGTAGCGGCATCAGTTTGCGGCTGCGAGTCACCTCAGCTCGCAAGAAGCACACACTGGCATGGAGAAGCTGAGCGCATTGCCGGACTATTTGACGGCTTCATTCTTCCACACGACGCGCTTCTGAAATTCTTGTGGATTGCAAAGACTTTAAAAAACGGTTGCAAATGGGTGCGTCTCAGAATTAGGGACCACACTGCTCGGCTGCTTTTGGCTTCCTTTGCACCAGCATTCACAAGGGGCTCCCTACTTTGAGACAGACCCAAATGCTTCCTGCAGACGCACCAAAATTTTGACGGTGGCAACATGACAAGCCGTGTGTGACAAGCAGAGCAATCTTGATGCTGTGTCACTTGACCAGGGGACCACCAATCAACATTGGCTGGTCAACCCGTGGCTCACATTTCTCAAAGGCAAGACAAGAGGACGACGGAAGCAATCCGATCCGATCCTTTGGCCCAATGCATCAAAATTGGCGGTGTCTCAAAGGGAAACGCTCCAAAAACACACAGGCGTTGTTTCGATGTTGGTTTCCCACGGGAGGAAACTAAAAAATCGAATAAAAATGGGTCTCCACATACACCTTTCATGGTATCCGAGGTCTAAAACCCTAAGCCGCAGGCTTGGCGCTGGTGCCTCAGGCTGCCCGGGCGGGGCCTTCGGGCGTCCGAACTGTAAACTGTAGACCCCAAAATGGGTTGCCCTGGAAAATTGGTGGCCGATTTTTGCCCCTGGAAAATCGAAACGGTCTTTGCCCTGGTAAATGAGTTGCCCTGGAAAAATAAACCCATGGAAATGGAATACTGGCAAATGGAACCCTGGTAAATGGACCCTGGTCACTGGACCCTGGTAAATGGAACCCTGGTAACCCTGGTAACTGGAACCATGGTAAAATGGACTTGTCCTCTCCGACGGTGACCGGAGTTCAGCTTTTCAGGGCCAGCCCAGTAGCGAATTCTGCAAGATGTGGTCCGCCCAAACGCTTGGTCTGCCAAAAAGCTCTGGCCTCCGGGGCCACTTCGCCTGGAGAACGTGCAAGCAGAGAGGTGGCCATGGGTCAAAACCCAAATCGTACCCCCAGTGAACATCCCAATCCCCACTAAAATAAAGCCTAAAATGGGTGGTGCATTGAAAAACCCAAAATCGTACCATTGGTTAGACCCACAGCCAGGTGGCTTCAAGCAAGGGACACAATAGATTTTGTCTGGACGCTTGGAACCTTTGAGCTAGTGCGCCAAGGGCAAGAAGCATTACCTGCTATCTGTGTTAGCGCGGAAGACCTGCAAGTACTTGCAAAACCAACATGTGCACGCAGAATGCGGTGGTGGCAAAGCTCAAAATGCTGTGATTGTGAAAGGCCGCCCTAGATGCTCAGCAATCAAGGTCGCCAGCCAAATTGTATGAGGCAAGCTTGCGTGCTGGGAGAAGGAAGCATCTATCCAACGTTGAACCAATGATGTCCGCCCGATCAACTATGATCGGATTGGCATTCCCAAGGCTGCTGCTTGGTTGTTGAATTGCGGTTGACTCAAATCGAGGCACGAATGCCGCGGAGATTGACACGTCACAGGCAACACCCGGTTGTTTGTTGGCAAATGATGTGACAAACTTCGCTGTGTATGTGCTTCCGCTACCCGTTGTGGATCTGTCTGTACTTGTGATGCTCTTCAGCTGGATAAAAGAGACCTACCCTTTACTAGCTGGAAGTGTATTGGTTCTAGTGTTCTATGGACCCGATCCCAGCAAAAGATGTAAAGACAATACATGAGAACAAAGCATGGGGGAGGCGAGTCACGAGATTGGACCCACTTCACGTCCCAGAGTCGTGCCTGAATCCACTGGTCGCTCTGACGGCACATCTTCTCCAGCGGGATCTTCCTCATTCCCTTGATCCCTAGGAGCTCGAGGAACCTCTCGAGAAACGTTCTCTTGAGGAACATCTTCTGGAGCATCCTCCACTCCTGGAAGCGGCCGGATGTTCAACATGCAACCCGGGCCCACATTTGCCGGTTGTGAAAGTGGTGCGTTTTCTCTCACCGATTGTGGATTGGGAGCTGCTTACAATCTGGTCAAGCGCTTCAAGAGCCCTTTGCCAACTTTCATACAGTATCAAGAAAAACCTCAGAAGTGATCGATGTTCATTAAATGAACATGATTGAACAGTGATAAGTCTTGCGCGACATCGTCAACTCCCGGAGGCTGCATGCAGGTGTCTCCAGCGCAGGGAGGGAACAATGACTGCGAAGAGCAAACCCAACTGCTGCGTGAACAACGACCCTGCAGTGGATGCAAGCAGGGCAGACGGGTGCATGAGCTGCCATTCTACAAGCAGCAAATTTCGCAGCTGGTGGGTGTGAAGTCCCTGAATCGTTCAAAAAGTGCAGGAAGTCACACGGCAGGGTGCAATCCCATCCACCCATGCCACAATCCCATTCGCGAAGTGCTTGATCAAAATCGACCTGGCTGTGCCTTGTCCAGCATATAACTGTTCTGGACAGCATCCGGCACGGCCTGCCTGAGATCAAAGCTTCCTGGCTTGCGTCACCCTTCTCCTTCGAGTTGCCTCGGGGAATGCTAAAGGTTCAAACCGGCCATCCGGGTGCTGCGCAAGACATGATGTAAGATATTGATCCTGGGTAAAACGGAGGCCCAAGAACCCTTGACAGCACTCAAATGTGCAAACTCCTGGGAGAGATTGATCGGAGTAGCAGCACTCGTTGACTTCTTCCTGGAGGGATCCCTCAATGAGCAGGTTGCTATCAACACTCAAAGTAAAAAAACTGGCCCACCCCTCCATGGAGACACTGAAACATGTCAGGAGCCCCGGACGCATCACAGCAAACATGCAGGCCTTCCAGCCACAGCGCAAATAACCAGCCCACCAACCAACACAACCAGCCAGGAGTTCTCCCCTGAGCCCCCTTAAACGCCACAACAAACGATGCTTCCCACGTCCATTGTCAATGGGCACATGGGTGCTGAACAGAATTTATGAGGCCCGCACTTCCGTGCAAGCTGTTGTACAGCCTGGGAAGTGCGAAGGAGCGAGCCATGCCATGCATTAAAGAAGCATTCGCTATGAAAAGCTTCGCATGCATACGTGTCTTTTTGCTAAATAGATGGCCGTGGTGGATTATTGAACTACCAGGTGAACCAGGGCCCTCTATTTTTCAACCAAACCAACCAAAAAGGACACCTATGTTCGCATGTTCTCGCTGTCTCCCCGGGCAGAAGCTGCCAACCAGTCCGCATGCACAGCGATTGCCGTGGCGATTTCGCCGAGGCGCTCAAAATCGCCATGGCACTCATCCACAAACTGCCGCGAGGTCCGCATGGCAAAGTCATCGCCTCCGCGTGATCTTGGGTAGGCCATGGCGGGCATTGTTCCAAAGATCCATGAAACAAAGAGGGGAGGGGTTCTGGAGGGTTCTTGATGGGCAGGTTGACTCACCCAACGCGTATGGTACTGTGGTACGGTCGTACATGGAGGGCACGGCTGGTACAGCATGATCCTTGAGTTTAGCTTGGTCATGTCCTCCATGCCGTATTCAGAGGTCCAAAGTTCAAGGCAAGACTTCGGCTCATTCCAGGACTGTGTGGAAGTTGAATTGATCGGGGACACACCTGGCGACTATACTCTGCCTCACCTGGAGCTGTGGCGGAGCTTTTCGGGCCTCTTCTTTTGCACAAAAGCAGCCGTGGCCCTCCAGCCCATCTCGCAGTCTCATGTTTCAATGCCCAGCCGGGGGGACCAAACCTCAAGTTTCGCGCCTTCTGCGGGCCGCAGCTCTTGCGGTACCAAGTGGACTTCCGGCCGCAACTCCTGAGTCACAAATCGACTGGGGCTTCACTGGGCTTCGCAGCTTCACTTCACCGAGTTGCAAAGTCCTGAACCTTCACTGGGCTATGCCGATTCTGTTTGGAAGGTGCCAGGCTCTGACTCACTGCTAGAATCGCCCAATACGACCATTGGAGGGTTGCCTGCAGTGCCAGATGGCCGTGGTAGCTGGGAGCCTTCAAGAATTGTCTCATCCGGACCAACCTCATGCAGTGTAGCGCTTCACTGCAAGAGCAGCCAACCGGGTCCTTGGAATAGATCTCCAGATCATCTCGAACAACTGCAGGGCCGCCGCCGTGGATGTGCATGAAAAGCCACCTGCGCAATAGAAATGATCGCTTGCAAAAGCCGGAAAAACCATGTGGTGCGCTCCATGGAGCAAGGCATGCCAGGGCTGCCAAACACAGGCGTTGACCCCGATGTAGTCCAGCTTGAGCCTGGGGCTAAAAGGTCTTGAGGAAGCTCGGACTGTGACTGAGCGCCCTGCTTGAGGTTTGGTCTCAGCTTCTGGGGATCCTCCTTGTCGAAGAGGCGCTCGTTCGTGATGGGCCCGGGAGCGCACATGTCCTGACAACCAAAACCCAAAACCCGGCCGGTCCGACGGCTGAGCCCACGGCTGGCCCCAACGAGAGCGGTCCTGGATGTTGGTCGCAGGCTCTCCTTTGACGTAACGCTTCCAGTCGTTCACCTTGCGATGCGGTACAGCAAATGCCTGCTGGCTGCCATTGAATCATGCGCTGTGGGATGCGCTAAGCCTTGCTTCGATCAGGAAGAATGCCACTCTGCTGGATCTTCACCCAAACATGTGCGTGAAACAAGGCAAGCAAGTTCTATGCTCTCTTCGGACTCACTGCATCACGTCTTTGTGCCGCAAAGCTACCCAAACCGCGCTCACCAGGTACCAGCCATCACCATCTCCAGTATCCTGCCCAGCCGCCACAATCTCTCTACAGGGATGGACATATTGATACTGCTTGTCTTACAGTTGCAAGTGCCAATCAACCAAGCTTTGAGCATCTCAAGCAGGGAAGGTATGAACGATCGAGTCAAAAGGAATCCGACATCACAGAAATCAACACTTGAGAAAGCGACACGGGGCAGGTTGCAGGTAGATTGAAACCGCCAAAGGCCAGGTAGAATCTTCAAGTAGGCGAAAGAGCAACGGCTTGCATCAAGTGTCAGTCCTTCGTGTCATATCTGGACACAAGGTCAAACCTAAACTTTGCCGCGATCCAAAGACAGAATGACAAAACATGCAGCATCGTGAAACGAGGAATCACAGGTGAACATCTTCCACCTGCACTACGCAACGGCAAACTCGCTTCAGCCGAGATGCTCTGCTTGTTTCCGCGCATTGTAGGCGTTGATGTACGCTTGGCACCTCGTGACGCCTACTAATGCCGGGTGAAGACCGGGATTGAAGAAATAAACCCCTAGCTCTTCTGAACAACAACTTGCTTCGAGCTGACTCAAAATACGAAGCAGTGGAAAATCTACCACAAGTTCTCCAGAGAAAGCAAAGAACTAAAACTATTTTGACTGGACTCTCACTCCATGCCATAGCCCCAGCAATGGCTCTGACTCGAGCCGCAGACTTGGGGCAGATCTCCAGCGCAGAGATCTCTGGGCCGCCGCCATACACGCCTCTCACCGTGGCGGATTTTTCAACGCCTTTCGAAGCGCCATAGCAAAGCGTCCAGTGCATAGGTGTCCTTTTAGGGGAAATAGATGGGTGTCCCAGGGAAACCCATCTATTTTTCGAGCAAAACAACCAAGAAGGACACCTATGGAGTCCAGTCAAACAGCGAGTCCCGAGTCCCCACCCTCCAACCAACCCCAGGCCCTTCCAACCAGTCGGACTCCGCCTATCAAAGCCTGCGACAAGCTCTTGGAGATCGGAAAGAAGGGCTCGGAGGCCATCTCGGCCTCGCCCCATCGATGCTATGAGGACACCCCTCACGCCATGGCTCAACTGTCATGAGACCCGCGCTGAGGAATATCCCAGTTGACCATGCGGGCACAAGTACCTCACAAAACGTGTGGGAAACTCCCCAAAAAAAAAAAACTGAGGAGATGCCGAAACCGACAGCTGTTCGGGCTCAGGAAAAGAAATCTGAACTGATCTTGACACTCATGCACCGCAGCATCCTTGGTCAAGTATCATCTTGCTGCAGCAGCATCCTGACTCTTCCTGACCCCAGAAATCATCCGCCACCTTGTTTGATGCTATCCATCCTTCCGCAAAAGCAGTGCACATCAGGTGGGGCACTCCTGGTTGTCTATGGGACCAGGATGGCTCATCGTGGTCAGCCGTACGTACCTGGATGGAATCATCATTGCGCTTGCGCCGAAAAACTTGCTGGTGCTCAATGGGGAATGACCATTCCGGGTGTTGGGAATGAACCGTTTGGGGATTCCCTTCAAGGAAACCATAGAGGTTTGTCCTCGGGGTCGTTCCCCCTGCCTGTCGAACCTAAGGGTCATTCCATTTCTCATTCCCTGCCTATCGAACAAGCAAGATTCACCTGCCAAGGCGACCCTCCCTCCAACAATCATGGAAGCGGAGGGTTTTGGAAGCTTTGGGGAAGCTCCCGATTCTCCACTTCCATTACTGGCCATGGTTCAACACCAATGGTACCATTGGGGTTTTCGGTGACCACCCATTTTAGAGCCTATTTTAGTGGGGATTGGGATGTTCACTGGAGGTACGATTTGGGTTTTGACCCATGGCCATTCTTGAAAAAAAAAAGGCAGGGTATGGGTCAAAATTAAACCACCTGGGAACCGCAGGTTTTAGTCCATGTTTCCATTTGCCTGGGCTCCATTTTGGGTACCTTTTTTTGACCCACACCCAGCTCACTGACCTCCCTGCGCACCAGTGCTTCGACACGAAGGCCATGTCCAGCTCTTTGGGCGGACATCGAAACAGATTCCGCCTCACGCGCAGGGGAGCCGGAAGAGCCCGGAAGAAGGCGCGGTCCCAAAGCCGCACGAGAAAACTTGACAGGGTGTCAACTTTTGGACCCCAAGATAGACTCTTTGGTGGTCAACCACCAAAAAGGGGGCTTAAGTCCACCCTGCAGTCAAAAAGTGGAACCCTGAAACTACCCTGTTGTGTTTTCATGGGGCATAACATTGCCAAACAAAAGTAGGAGTACGCAACTGAGTTGAGCCTGATTCAATGCATATTCAAGACTAGCATAGCCAAGCTAGCACTGTATAGTTAGACTGTATGTCACAGATTGGCTAGGCTTCCTCCTGGTGATGAAACAGAAACAGAGGTCGCCACATTCCTCTTACCTTCTCGCACATAAATGATATGAATATTCAGCTCAATGCAATTCTGACAATCATGTGGTTTCCTCCTTCATGCGAGGCGACCACAGCAAGTCAGGCCCTGGCAACAGATCATCCGGGGAATGAAAGAGCATGCCCGATAAAAAAGGGGCAGACTTCAAAGCAACGTGACACAATCCTCAAGCTCTCAAAACTTGCAAAAAGAAACTGGGTGAGCGAGGGAGGGAGTGGGAGGAGATGGAGAGGGAGAGGGAGAGCGAGAGCGAGGGAGCGAGGGAGCGAGGGAGCGAGGGAGAGAGGGAGAGAGGGAGAGAGGGAGAGAGGGAGAGAGGGAGAGAGGGAGAGAGGGAGAGAGAAAGCAGCATGCCCATGCTCTTTGTCTGTTTTCTCTGCCTCTTTTTTGAGCGAGTCATGAAGCATACTGATACCGCAGCCCCACGATAAGACCTTTGGCAACACCAGCAGATCCTCTGAAGTTCCTACCTTAGCACCTGGGCACCTGGGTTCGTTTGGGCTTTGGGCCAGCGAAGCGTGAGCTGAGCCGCCCTGCACGGTTGGGCCGTGGTTCCGTATCTCTTCCTGCACCAAGCGCCCGGGCTCCGGCCTGGCGAGTAGGAAAAAAATGGGGCCCGGGGGGGGGGGGGGGAGTTGTTGCCCACGCTCAGGTGAGTCATGAGTCAGAATCAAAACCCGGTTAGTAAAATGGCCTACCCAGAATCATGTAAAGAATTGCCAAGGCGGAAACGCACCCATTTATGGCAAGGGAATTGTCCCTTACTAACCTTCATCTACCACCCGGGTTTTGCTTGTGGCTCAGGTCAAGCCCTTCCAATACAAGGGCCGTCCGCCTCGAGCTGCATGCAAGCAGGTAGCCGTTGATCTGCTCCTCGTGTGACACACGACTGGCCACCCTCTTTAGGTCCTCAACGTTGGTGAGCAAGCATCATTTCCGGCCAGCACTACTGTTGCATCTGACCTGCAACGAAGTTGTTCACAACTTGTTCGTAACTTGTCCTACGCAAAATGTATCGGATTTGGGATGCTGGATTTGCCGATTCTTCTGTTTGTGGCTAGCAGCAGACCGCAAGAAGCAGCTGCCCCAAGGATGCTCTTAAACCAGGGCCGTGCCTGCATGCGGCGCATGTCGCTCTTGAAGGTTTGCCGGTCCCGCTTGGCCGCTCTAGAAGGCACCTGGAGGCACGGTAACATCCTCTGGTTGTCAAAGGGGCCTCCAATCTCAATAAGGGTGAGTAACGACGAATAAGGCCAATTAGGGGCTAGTAGGGTTCCCTTTGTGGGGCTATCGAGTTCTCCTCTGTTGTCGCATCACCGAATTGATTCGCAAAGTTTGCTGATCTTGAGTCATGGCAGTCTGGGATCGCTGCTCTCTGGTAGAAAAGCACGTATGGCTCTGCGCGTTCAACCTGCAGATCAAGTAAATTAGATGGCAAACCAAGATCCTGTCAGTAGAAAGAGTCTCTGAAACAAGGGGCATGAAGCTCCAAGTAGTCACTAGAAAAGTTGACTGCCAACAGAGCCTGCCCAAACGGAAGGTAACCCAAAAGGACTCAAGCGCACGCTGTATAAATGTCTCGCAAAAGAACTGGAAATACAACATGCTCCGAATCGGTATTTGGGCCATTCAACACAGGTGTATGGCAAACCTGCACATGTTTCCGGACTTCCGGTCTGTCCTGCTCCGCACTGACAGGATTGACTTGAATGTCGTCAAACTCGTACCAATCCTGATATGTGGCCATGCAAAGAACGCAAAGGAACTTTACTGCTTGCCTGCCTTGTCCCTCTTCTTGTGCTGGCAATAGGCGATGTAGTGGCCACCACCCATTGAGCCAATGTGCTGAATCAGGCCGATCAGCCTTGGTGGCTGGGCTGAATTCTCCTACATGTCACAGGAGAAAATGAGCTTCAGACCTGTACTCGGCCGACCTCAGCACATGGGTTCGGGAGCTGCCTCTGAGGCGCACAAAATCACACAGCTACCTGCCTCTAACCTTCAGCAATCTGCCATTCGTGTTCTGGGCCTCTGACTGATTGGGCGCCTCCTCCATAAATGGTGACATATCCAGCGTCGACGTCTTGGATTGCAAGGATTGCTTGCCAAGGGCCAAAGAGCTTTCCAGGCACGTGTTGCAACCCTGCTTGATAAAAGGACCGTTCCTGATAGGTGCACATCAGTAAGGTTTCTCAAGGTACACATCGAGGCTGCCACCACTGGGAAGGTCACAACTCTGGAGTTCTTGGCGCCGGCGAACCTGCAGCCACAAAACGAATTTTGGAGATCCTCTGAGCACGTGGGAGCCGATCAGTATTCCCTTCCGCCCCCTAATGACCAAGGGGAACTTTTCACACGTGCGACAAGTATCACCTTTCTAGTGGTTTTCCATCCCACTGGGACCTTTGATCAACCTCCTCAAGAAAGCGACCATCACGGGAAGTCGAACACTGCCGACACAAGTAAAGAACGGTTTAGTCACAACAGGTGCAGGGAGAGAAACCCTCTGGGCTGCCAGGCCAGCCGTAGGCATTGTCGAACCTAAAGCGCTTGAGGTGGATGCAAAGCACCTCAGGAAGGTCCTCAGCGGCGCGGCGCGCGCTCGGCAGCCCATTGGCTCAATTGCTCTCTGCCTCAGTTGCTCTCTGGGCGCAGTCCTTGAAGACGATCCGCTTCTCGCAGTCGTTCTTCCTCTTGCAGCGCTCGCAGAAGTACTGGTCCTATGATAGCACAGCCCATGCGAATGTCGAAGAAAGTTGGGTGCTGTGAACAAGGCTGCTGCTGGTCCAGCAGTAAGTTTGAACCAAGAATGCCAAATGTTGCCCTCCCTCCAACTAACATGGCACCTGTGGGGAGGTACCTGGAAGATTCATTTCCTTTTGAAGAGAGCCATTTCCTGTCAGTTGCCATGTTCGTTGGAGGGAGGGCAGGCGCACCATCCGGCGCCCCTCCCTGGCAGCAACTCACTCCTTGCCAGTGAGGTACTCGGGCGCGCAGTACCGCCGCAGGCAGTCGGAGAGGCTCACCCCCTTGTCCTTAGGTCTCGGCCCGGGGAAATGGGAGGCAGTTCACAAAAATGGGCCAGGGGTTTGGCTCTTTTTTCCCCACTCCGTGGGGAGAAAGAAAAACCATCTCATCTTTTTGGTGTTCCAACCAAGGGTCATCCCAGGTTCATGGGGGATCTTTTGATCCAGTGTGGCTGTGGGTCGAAATCCGAAGCCCGGTTAGCCCCAGTGAACATCCCAAATCCAACCACTGAAACAGGTGCTGAATGGGGTGGTGAATTCACCCACCCCAAAATGGGATCCCATTGCTTTTGACCCACAGGCAAATGGCCCAGCGGTCATGGCAGCGGCTCTAACTTCGTCTGAGAACCATCAACACTGCAGAATTGTCTGTCATCCCTGGTTGAGGCCAAAAGACCCCCCTGCGCAGAATTGTCTGTCCTCCGAATCTACCTTCTCCCGACAGCCAACAGCCTCATCTCTAAGGCCCGAGCATAAAACCAACTCTTCACCTGCGACATCCCGCGAAAGCTTCAACTGGATTTGCTGACCTCATGCTTTTGTCGAAAGTGCGGGATTCCAGGGGCGATTCACCACTGTCAGGTGTTGCAACCACATGGATTTCACCGGCACATGGCTTCCATTCAGCTTTGCGGGGCTCCTGAAAACCTGATAACTGCGGATTCCGCGAGCGCGCAGGAGCCAGTAGACAGGTCCTTTTTTCTGAAGCTTGGCTTGGGCGATGGAAACAAAATCCACTGCTTTGGCCCTGCCAATGGCTGTGGCACATCGACCGCAATGGACCGATCGCCTTGCCAAGGCCGCCGAGGACCCCTGACCAGGAGGAGCTTCTCAGACCTCCCGACCTGCAGTCACTTGGCGCATTCGCTCAGAACACGCCGGCCCGTTGCCGCTTTTGAGCTTTTGTCGGTGCTCAGCCACACACGCCGACCGCTGCAAGGCGCCGGGTGAAGAGGGCATTGACCTCAAATGAGCAGGACTCGTGTTTGACGCTGGAAAATGTGTTTGCCAGCACTCGCATGTCGGACAATCCAACAATCGCTGCCGGGTCATTGTTGAGATTAGCACACTTGATGCATCTTTGTTTTGGCTGCTTGTGGTGGCGTGCTGGTGTGCAAATGCTATTTGATCAGATTGCATTTTGTATTGTAGTGCATGAAAACTCATGCTATGCTATTGCAACATGTCATTGTTTTCCCAACTCTTGGCGAAATCATGGCGGAAGTCTCGCAGCAATCACAGGCGACCCAGGATTTCTTTCATCTAGGGTGCTGGCACGGGGGAGCTATCCGCGCCACTCATCGGACTAGCTGGCTCATTTGCATTTGGTATAGGTACCTTGGCGGAAAAAGCGCAGCCAGACCTGAAAGCAATATCATATGTCTATAACAACGTGTCACTGGGGTGATGACATGTTTGAACACCCTTATCTGCTGCAACCAGGATGTTTCTCCCCAAACGAGGGCTGGCAAAGAACTGGCGTAGCAATGATGCTTCTTGGCTGGGCAGCGAGCAGAGATATCATAGACGGCTTCAGACGTCCTGCACAGGGAAGGGCATGGCATCAAGCAGTCAAAACAGCACGTCCCAGTCTAGGCAGTCCCTCCTTGATATCTGGTTGCATTGCAGACAGCGAACCTTGGGCTCTTCTCAGGCTGGACCCGGACCTGTTTTCTAGCAGCACTCATCAAATCCCTTCGACTGGTTGGGCAAATCGTTTCAGCCGTTTCCTCACCCTCGGGTGATTCTGTCGTCTGAGGCACCAGCACAAGACACGACCTTTCCCTGAAAAAGCTCCGACACGATGGATTCCTTGGCTGCAAATCCCACTGTGCAATCACCTGCTGACTGGTGAAAACATGGTCAAAAAACGCCAAGAGGGCGCGTTTTGCCATGCGCAACATGGGCTCCCGGGCAAAGCGTGTCTGGACATCCTTTTTCGAGGAGCTCTCCGCTCCTCCTGGCCCCAAGTACTCCAGTGGGAGGCTTGGGGTGTCAATGTATCAACCCCAGCGTCCTTCCCGAACGAACAACGCCTACACCGAGTTTCGTCTTGTTGCCGATATCAGTTGTCACTGCGCCGCGACCGTGCGACTGCGCGCCTTCTGAGCTTTCACCCGATGCCATGTTTGGGCCTCGGGGCCAAAGCGAAACAGCTGCAACCCAACGAAATGTCGGACATCTTTATGCGAAATGCGCAAACGGCCCAAGTCCGCCGCTTGGGCCACAGCATGACGAAGATGACTCCATGTCGGTGCTTTCGGAGGCTGGCCTTTCACCAAGCCAATGATGATCCCACCAAGAGAAATTACTAACACTCTCCGAACATGATGACTTTACTTGGTGTGCAACTTCCTGATTGTTTTTGCAGGAATCAACTGTGGTACTCCTTGGATGCTCACGTCACTGGCCTGTTCTCAGCGCTGCCTGCAGTTAGCCTTGCACGCTCAGCAGTTGCAACCCACTTGCATGTCTTGCATGTCTTGATCCCAGCCTGATTTCACCCATGTCGGTGTTACTCTCTGGCCCTTGACAGAACCTGGGCAAGGCAATGCGTTTCTGGCAGATGTCCACTGGGTCACTGAGCCCATCAACCACACAACACTAAGACCAAGTCGACTCCCCCAACACTCACACTTTCACTGAAGCCCGGGCTGCATGAGCTGCTGTGCCGCTGAGGAGCTGCGTGGAAGCACCTCGCCTCAGGAGGCCCAGTGACGCCGCAAAAACCCCGCGGAAGTCCGTGAGTCACAGGCCGGAAGCGAGAAAGTCCGTGGAGGAAGCAGGTGTTCCTGCCACAAAAACTTCACGCCTCCGTCCCCCCCAAAACCAAAACAACACGCCCAACCGAGGCTCCTGAACTCCTCTCTGGTTGAGCCCGTCCAGCTTCGCTGGATGCTCCTAGGGAACAAACACTCTGCACACGAAAGTTCTGAGCATGAGCTATGTACATATATATATATATATATACATATGCATACATATTTTGCTTATCTATGGCAACATCCCCATATTCTAAGGTCTGGTCCTTGGCCTGGCTTGCATCTTGCAATGACACAAAAATAAGTCAGTGTTTCCAGAATGGAAACACATTGCCACGGCCGGCCCATGACCCAAAACATGCCCAACAATAGCGGTTGGCAGTTGCTTCAAGGAAGGGGATCTACACACTTGCCACACTTGCCAGGTGCCAGAAGCTGGAAAATGAGAAAAGTCTTGTTGGTCATAAGACATTCTATGTTCAACAGACGGAAACAGGTGGGGGCATGTTACGGAACTACATTATATAGAATCAGTTGAGAACTGCGGCAGCCAAGCAAATGAAATCATGAGAAGCTCTATTCCCAAACAAAAGGATTGAAGGAAAACTGTCAAGATTCTGGACACAGTCGGGAAACCAAAGTACTTAGAGAAATGTACACACACAAAAAAGGCGACAGCAAGTTATGCTTCCCAGATTCAAAGATTGATCAATGGCAGTCCCAAGCAAGAAAAGTCTAGCAATGTGGCTTTTGTGTTTGTTTTCACGTGTCAGCTCTTTTCAACAATGTGCTCTTGCCCAGCCTTGCTACTTTTGTTCCACAGTTCCAAAGTGCTTTAGAGCCGCTTTTTTGGGCGGATATAGTCACAGTCAAATGTGCAAATGCGAGGCACACTTAAAAGCTAAGGAGGCGGAAATCATGCCGTGAGTTTCTGTAGGAGCGTGCGTTTTGGGAGGGTATGCCATCACAAAGCGACTTTCAAAGTGGTAAAATGCGGGCACACTGTACTTGAAAAAACAAAGAGAAAGAGACAGAGACCCTGTGATCGAGCAGCATGTTCCAGGCGGATGTCACCGCCAAGACTGCTTCACTAGTTGTTCATATCTACCCTTGTGCTGTGTACGTACATCGCAAAGTCAGGTATTCAGCTAGCAGCCGACAGTGAGGCTGTACATTCTTTGTCTCAGCCTCCTCTGCTTTCATTTGGGGTTGATCAACTGGGCCCCAAATGACCATGGGCTAGCTTCCATTTGTTGGGAAATATCACCTTTTTTGTGTTTTTTCCAACCAATGGTCGCCTCAGGTTCGTGGGACCTTTTCACCAACCCCCCCTGTCATTCTAGTTTGCTTACAACTGGGAGCCGGGCCGTTCTCACCAGAGAGCCCTCGGCCATCCGCCTCATCCCGCCTCGTGCCCGGTAACCCCAGACTAAGCAGACTGAGCTTTGGCACTCCGAGTAGAAGCTTCTGTTCATGTGGCCGTGGATCAACACCAATGGTACCATTTTGGGGTTTTCGGTGCACCACCCATTTTAGGCTTTATTTTAGTGGGGATTGGAATGTTCACTGGGGGTACGGGGTTTTGACCCATAGTCATGTGGCCATGTGGCCACGGATCAAAAACCTTCACCAAACTGGCACCCTTGGCAAATGGAACCAAAGACCAAAAGTTGCGTAACCCTAGCTCCTTAATTTTGAGCCACATCCATGTATGTCTCAGCTAATCTGATCTTTGCCTCCCAAGTTGCAATCAAATTCATCTCATCTAGTCTGAGAACGATTACAGGGAGGCATCAGAGTCCTACTACATTAGCACCACACTCACTCAGACATGAACTGAACATCCTCAATACACAAAGATCCTCGACTGACCATTCTACGGGCCATTCCGGCTTGAGGTGGACAAATGATGACAAAATTTACCTGCGCCTGACTTCACTTTTGAGGTATGGCTGTGGGTCAAAAATGGGGCAACCCCAAAATGGAACCCTGGTAAATGGAAACATGGACTAAAACCTGCGGTCCTCTGGTGGCTTAATTTTGACCCATACCCGTGTCAAGCATACTGGAGTCACAGCGGGGCCCCGACACTTCTCTTCGTAGCTCCTCATGGATGTTGTCCAGGACACAGCGCAAGAATTCCTCGCCAGCAACACATGCCTCTGCCCAACCTTTCGGCCACATGGTTTAGGGGGTTCAACTCCAGCGGGAAAAAAAGAAAAGCCGCGGGCAACACGTTTTGTCATGACCGTTTCTACTTCGCTCGCCAGGCAATCTCTTGGGGCCCGAAAATGTGCTCTGCTCCTGCGAATCTTGCTGTGAGTAGCCCTGGAAGGTAGGATTGAGCCTCGGCCCAGAACACGGAATCAGGCACGACATGCTTCTTGAAGCCCAAGGAGTGTTGCACATGCTTTTGCTGGTGACGCAAAGTCTGTCACACCTCACATGGTAAGTAGGAAGGACATTGCTTGCATCCGTCGGAAGCAAATCACTTCATGAAGCGGTGGAAAGTGATTCCTGGAAGGACCGCATGCCCCAAACTCTCCAAAGGTTCCCTGACTAATGAAATGGCTGTGAACCAATGGTGCCATTTTGGGGTTTTCGGTGCACCACTCATTTTGGGACCTATTTTAGTGGTTGGATTGAATTGGATGTTCACTGGGGGCTAACCGATTTGGCTTTTGACCCATGGCCAAACTCCTTGAGGCCGCCGGCTGCTGCACGGCCCGAAGCACATCCTCGGGCTGGTGGTAAGGTGCTGACCTCAGCTGCCGCGCTGCCCCCGGCTCGAGGCTCCGGATGTGGCCGCCCACCCCCAAACTGGCGCAACGGTGGTCCTGGTGGCTTCCCTTTATTGTTTGTTATTTTATTATTATTATTATTGTTTTCATTATTTTTGTTAAACAAAAAGCTCCCTCAAAAAAGAGATGACGCGATGTCCTTCCCACGGACGCGACAAAATGGACTGTAGCGTGTGTTGGTCCAGGTCCCCTCTGAGCCATGGGCACATTCTTACCTGAGCCCGGGCTGCAATCAAGTGAAAGGAAAGGTTGGAAAGCCAGATGCTTCATAGACTGCTGGATGTCATGTTTGGCCATGGCATGCTTTCAGAAACATGGGGAGCACATCTTTCGCATGCAAGCATGTTATATCGGTTGCAAACTGCGGTGCTGCTGAGCGGCCCCAGTCCTGCTCAAACCAGTGCGCAAACGCCATCAAGAGCTTTTGTCGGCTGCCTTGAGCTTTCAGCCTGGGGAACTGTCGGAAAGTGCAAAACTGCGAGCTCGAGGGTATGGGTCAGCCTGCCATGCCACCTGCAACACGCCTGAAAAAGGGAACTTACGTGTGACACGCCTCTCATGGGGAACTTCTATAAATGGGTCTGGGCGTCAGGGCGAGTAGGCATGCGGACAGTGGCGGAAGTACTTCTGCAGGCCATGCGTGTGCCTTGCCGACAAACTCACAAGCAAATCACCCGGCTCCAATCAGAATTTCTAGTTCAAGTAAGTATTCCTATCTAGAGAATCAAGAGCTACTTTCTTGCGGAGCAGTAGGTGTCCTTTCAGTTGCTGGGATCTTTTGGAGGCTTTCGTCGGCCTATCTGTCGCGTGGATTGGAAAAGAGCGATTCGTGACTGAGCATCTGGCGTCAAACACTGCAAGGCTGCGTTCATGAAGCAGGTGTTGCCCAGATTACAAAGCCTCGGCAACAGAAGGTCAGCTGCTATTCATTCATCCCCAAAGCGGGCCGGGTTTCGCTCTTTTCTAGCCACGCCTTGATATCTGTGCGCTTCCCGCTGAAGTCCATGTAAAGTACAGTTTCGTGCACACGGAGTAAGCACTCTGCAAATTTCTCCGTGAGGTCAACAATCGGCATTGTTGAGAAATATGGCAAGAGTGACGCGTAGCATTTGCATCCTCAGCCCGGGATGGGTTTGTTTTCTTCTGCCCCGCTCTCAACAAGGCCGCGAGGAGCCGAAACCGTGACGCACCAAAACTGCATTAGTGCAAAAAAGGAAAGAACCTCCTGTGCTCCTCTTCTGGCTCTGTATACTATATCTCTATCTGAGTGCAAGCCTTGAAAATTCCCTGACCGGTTGAAAGCCAAGCGCCACATCTGCTTGCACTCAGAAGCAATAAGTGCTGGCGAATCGATTCCCTGCGCGCCATGGGGCATCACATCAACCAAGTACCTGCGGGCATCAAAGGTTCTTTGCTCGATCTAGGTCCATTACCTTAGGGACAGCTGAATGAAACGCTTCCCAGCTATGTGGACAACTGAAACATGTGCTTCATGAGTCAAGAACGGCTAAATACCTGTTGCGGGACCCTCAACTTCCAACACAAAATCAAATAATGCTTCACTCCACGCGCTGCTCACAGCCAGTTAAAATCCTACAGCTTGACTTCGAAGCACGTCCGAGTCAAGTTCCTTGACACGATTTCCGCATGCCCCTCCTCGCCTCGATGTTGCCAGAAGGGAAGCATCCTGATACGTTCAATTGCAAAGTCTTAGTTCCGATCCAGCTAGCCTCAACTCTTGCGGGCCTTGGCTTCTCGGCACAAAACCCAAAACCGCAGCTGTCCGCTCTAGCTTCCTCTCCACGACCCCACCCAGTCGCCGCCTCTCAAAACCGATGCCGGTCTGGCCTGTCTTCACTTGGCCTGCTCCAACACACGCAACGCCTCATCCACCTGAGGGCAACAAGGGGGTCTTGCAGCATGCGTCGCTGTAGAACTGAAGCTCTGCAAATGGAATTATCTTCGCCCAGAACAACCTTACGCCCTGATTCGACCCAGTGCACCAGCCTTGGTCTTGAGTTGCGACTCGGAATCCAATAAAGAGAGCAGCTCGGAGTTGTCCATCCTAACAAGCCGGTCTGCGCTCAAATTGTACGCTGCTTTGAACCTCGTTTTTGGTTCAAGTCTTGGGTCTTGGACTGCTTCTTGAAGTGGGGGATTGAGATAGCACAGAGCTTCGAAACAGGAATGCGAGGGAAGGAGGGAGTGTGGCTATCATTTGCTCTGACGTGTAATGGGAGCACAGCAAAGACTTGGGGCCATACTCGAGCATCATGCCTTGGGCAGTCTCCATCTCTCACGTCAGGAGCCCTGCGCTACCGTAAGAGGCGGGCCGGTGATCTTGCCAGCCAGCTCGGGCTGCTGCTTGGCAACTAATGGGTAGAGCCTGCAAGGCGCCGGAGGACCAACAAAAAGATTGTCCAAGACTGCTCCAAACATCAACAGCAATTACCTGCGTTGCTCTTTCAAACTCGGGCAAGAGTTGCAGGCTGAGACTGTTGCCAGTCAAGCCTTCTTGCAGAGAACCACAATGATCTTTACATCTCCAATGTCCAAGCTCTTGGGTTTCTGATAGGCAGGTCGTGCCTCTCTCCGATGATCTGCTTCTGAACTGCTGGAGGCGCTTGAGACAAGCCCGCTGGGGTGAGTGGCTGGCCTGCGAAAAACGATGCATGGCTGCCTCATGCCCCCGTACTGGTGTCACTCCGAACCAGCTCTTTCGTCAAGAACATCGGTGAGTCGCAGCAAGAGTTATGAACCGACTCTCCTTTGGCTTCTACTGACGCCAGAGAGACAAGAATCTGCGGCTTCTGAAATGGCAAGAAAGGTGCAGCGTTGAATAACGTGGCATCTCTATTTCCTGACCATAGCACAAAACACATAGTGAACCGCCAGGGAAACCCATCTTCGCCTGCAAAACAAGAGAATCACAATATCAAAACTCTAGAAACTATGCTCCTCCCCACCTCCGGATGTTGGCCCTCCGGTCTGTGGTGTCGGCGGCCGCACGTTCTGGGGCATCGTTGGCATGCCTGGCAAGGTGATGAATCCAAAAGACCTTGACAACTCTGCTCCATGACTAAGAGTGAAAGAGGCCATACATTCCAGAATAACCGAGCCAGTGCGTGAAATTCCCCCAAACCCGCTGCCATCATTACCCTGGACTTGTGAATCCCTGATGGACACAAGCGCGAAATGCTCCCGCTCGGCCTGGACGCATCATGGGCATCTGCATTGGCGGTCGCATCATGCCCATCATTCCCATGCCCATTGGGCCCATGCCCGTCATGCCCATCCTCGGCAACCCCGGCAAAGAACTGGCCATGGGTCAAAACCCAAATCGTACCCCCAGTGAACATCCCAATCCCCACTAAAATAGGCTAAAATGGGTGGTGCACCTGCCCCAAAATGGTACCATTGGTTTTGACCCACAGCCAACTGGAAACGCTTGACATGTCGCCGCTCCGGCACCAGTTGCAGGCAAGTCTCGGGCCCATCATGCCCTTGCCGCCCATAGGGGGCATGGATCCCTTACCTGCTCCTCCCATGCCGCCACCCATAGGCATAGTTCCGCCACCCTGCCCAAGGATAACGAACGCCACATCTGCGAGCTGACTTGCGAAGCACACGTCAGCGGCAAATGAACATATGACATCGGTCTGGGCTGCGTGCCTGCATGCCCTTACCCATCATGCCCATCGGGGCACCCATCATGCCCTGGCAGTCTTGCTGGTTCTCAGCAGGGAATGAGGGAATGACCCCTATAAACGGATTCCTTATTTCAGGAATCCACAAGTTCATTCCCAACACCCGGAACGGTCAATCCCTACCTACCAAGCACCAGCAAGCAATAGCGCAGAGCATGAGCGACCCAAGGCCAAGCCTGGGGACCGCCCTTGCCCATCTGGCCCATCATGCCCATCTGCATGCCCATCCTGATAGCCCAGCCAGCAAAAAAAACACAGCTCTGGTCTTTGCAAAAAAATGTCTGAATGATCCATGTCCACCCCAAAGGCTTAGTACATCAAATGACTTGCAGGTGGGGGTGGGAAGTCACAGCATCAAAATGCGTGCCGTCTTTTAGTTGGCCACGCGGGCCGCTCCATCCACTCTGCTGCAGGCAAGAGGGAAGCCTCCCAACATTCTCGATCTGGGCTCAGAACGGGTACATCTGTTGCATGCCGCAGCCTTGGATCTCAGAGAGGCTGCCCTGTCCATTTCTCTCATTCTCTGCCGTGGATCGGATGAAAGTCGCTCATACGACGAGCGCCTTGCTGTGACCGGGGGCCGCACCGCCTTGGTTGCCATACATCTGCATGCCACCGCCCTTGCCCTTGCCTGCACGCTGACAGCCCAATGGCCGCACATGCAACCAGGGAGGCATTCCTTCTTGAGGCCTTTGGGAGTTGAGTATCAAAGTGAGCTGGAATCTGGAGGTTGCAACTCCTCTATCCATGCCGCAAGCACAAGACTCTCGCGCAGAAAGGCGGAGCCACTCATTCAAATGGCCAGGATCCAACCCAAAAAGTTTCACGACACCGGCGCCCTGGAGCTCTCCCAAGCCAGCCTTTGCCACCCACGCCACCTGGCCGGGTGGAGTCTTGCAGATCAGAGTCAAGCAACGCAAAAACCATAACCTGTGTCCAAACACATCAGTCATCTGCCCTTGATCTATACAGCAAAAACAAACCTGCAAGTGCAATCAAACTGCTTGGGTTTCTCCCTGAACCTCCATCTGCCCACATCAGTTTTCAGCACGTGGCTCACGTCCGTCGCTCCTCCCTGCCTTTCCCTTCGTTCCAGCCGCCCTTGGAGGGCGAGTAGCGCTGCCGCAGGCGCTCGGCCCTGACCTCTGCAGCTCAACCAGCCCCTGTGCTCCTGAAAACACCTTTGGGTCGTTTTTGGAGTTGGTACCCCCGGATCAAGGAAAACCACAAAATTTGTTTGGGGGGACTCGTAAAAAAAACGACACACCCAGCATGGGTACTTACACATGCCACACACTCCCCGTGCACTCATTTGTTGGAGGTTGCAAAGGGAAACCACAAGGAAAACCACACAATTTCTCGGGGGCGGTCCAACCTGAAAACGACAACACCCATGGGTTGCACACATGCCACTCCCCGCGCGGCGAGGCCCAAGGCCGGCCTCGCGCTTCTCCGCCAGTCCGACCTGGGCAAAAGCTGCAAAAATGTCCTGAGGCAGCTAAGGTATGCCGAGGTCGCGGCATACAAGGGCTTCCCTTTTACCACTTTGAGGTGCATCTCCGTGACAGCCTCGGGGATGTGGCTGTGGGTCAAAGCCAATGGTACCATTTTGGGGTAGGTGCACCATTTTAATCTATTTTAGTGTGGATTTGGATGTTCACTGGGGGTACGGGATTTTGACCCATGGCCATGTGTCTCTTTGTAAGACTTGTCACTTCTTTGTGCAGCGTGCAGATGTATTGCGGACAAGAGCACCGAGTTGGACGTCCTTTTGGACGCAAAAACTTGGGGAAAGAAACGCCCAGGCCTTTGTAGCTTCGTCAGGAGAGGCGAAGCAAACGAAGCCGAAGCCCTTGCACTGGCCGCGCTCGTCCTGCGGGGTTCCCTTTCGAAACCTTTTGCAGGGCGAGCATTTGCCCAACTGAGTGGGTCAAAAATAGAGTAACCCCGATGGAACCCTGGTAGATGGGTTCCAGGACAAAGCACCTGCGGTCCTCTGGTGGTTTAATATTGACCCATACCCAACTGCTTCAACATCTTTCCTAAAAGCAAGACAAGCAAAGCCTCACGTCTGTTCTTCAAAACCCGTGACGTGCCTTCATGGCAGCGACGGATGTGACGGTGCCAAACTGCTCAAACAGCGCCTGGCTGCCACGGCTGCATTTTTCATCCAGCTTTTGGGAATCACTTTGAGAACCCAAGGTGGGTCGTAATCAAAACCCGGTACAAAAATGGTCGTGATCCCAGAACCATGCTTCAAGAATTCAGAAGGCGGAGATCCGCAGCCATTTATGGCAAGGGAATTGTCCCTTCCTAACCCGCATCTACCCGGGTTTTGAGGACGCGGCTCAGGTGATGCCCAACAGCAAAGGTTTCGGCAGCAAAAGCTCGGCAGAACAGCCCTTGCCCCCAGCTGTCATGTTGCTCGGCCGAGTTCACGGTCGCGGATAGCGCCGGCCTTGAGAGATGCCTCGTCGGTCCCCTCGTCCAGATTCTTGATGTAAAGGTTTACATTCGCCTAGCCCAGCGCTGCAAGCACAAAACACGTGGATACAAAACCAAAAGCAATACACGGTGACTCCGGTGAATGCTAAGTCGCAAGAGCTCTGGGTTTTTGTCGGGAAAAGTTGGACATTGGGTGGGAAGAATCAAAGCGACTCCCCGCAACAGGCCGCGTTGCGAAGCCAAGGCACAGATCCTCCTCCTCGGGTGGGTGCTTCCTGCAAGGGCTCGGCTGAATCCATCCAAATGCCATCCCTAGGGCCCCCAGTTTTGACCATGGGTAACTAACTTCTTCCATGGGAAGATCGTTCATCTTTTTCTCGGTTTTCCAACCAAAGGATTTCCATCCCATGGAACATGGGACGCTTTGGCTCAACCGCCAGGCTCTCTCGGCTGGCGGCTCGCTCCTTCTGGGGCATCTTCTCCTTCAACTCCAGAGAACGCTCGGACTTGGACTGGGCCCGCCTGGCAAGAGCTGGGTTGCCAGTCTCAAAGTCAGGCCAGCAGCTACCATTATAGTTGGTATCTAGGGGAAACCATCCTGTGAAGCCTAGAGGTAAACAATTCCTGGTTACTACAAAAGCAACTAAAAGCCCTGGGTTAAGTATGTGCTAACTTGGCGACTCCAACAAGTTGGAGAATCCCTGTCGGGCATTCACCCTCAAGTGCCATGGCCGAGTGGTGACGTTAGAATCGCTCAGTCCCTGGCTGCACGTAGAGCAAATAGCTCTTGATGTCCTGCCAAAGTTGGGCAACTTTAATGGCAACAGTTGGCTCAATGCGACCAAATCGATCCAGTCGCTCTTTGCAAGCCTTGTCTTTCTCTTCCTCTTCCTTCTCTGCATCGGCTTCTTTCTGCTCCTGCTTCGGTCGAGTGCTATTGGGCAGGTGATAGAGAATGCGGACCAATGCATTTTCTGGTCAGTCTAAGTCAGGACTTGCTCGAAAAGCATGCACGGAAAAGATCATGTTGAAAGGTTACCGGATTGAAAGAATGAAAGGTCCGCGCCACCAACTGCATTTCTGGCTGTGGGTCAAAAATATGTACATGGAATCCTGGTAAATGGAAACAGGGACCAAAACCTGCGGTCCCCTGGTGGTTTAATTTTGACCCATACCCTGCTGTTTGTGCTTCCGTACTTGTGTGCTGATGCCCGGCCCTGCTAGCAGCGCCTGTGATCGGAAGTCCTTTTGGTGGTACATGTCCACAGCCTGCGGCAGGATGAGGGGTACTCACCCAAAATAGAAACCTCTAAGCGCCGGCTGCTTCCAGAGCAGACTGCACGCACATAGGCAGGTGGTCATGGCGCACAAAGCAAGCGCCTTCTTTGCCTGGTCGCTGGTTTCAAAGTTGACAAAGGCGAACCTGATCACGGGAGATTTCAAACAAGACGCCTCCAGTTGCAAACACTTGCACACTTGCAGGGGGCCTCCGGCCCTTTGCATCCTCGACAAAGTGCGAGGATGTGATGGTGCCGGCCTGGCAAAGAAAAATCCTCTTGCCGGATCCGCTACGCAAAACCTGAACTTCCCCATCCAGTTGATGTGCCAACCTCGCTCAGCTCGGACTTGATCTTGTCTTCGTCCCAATCCTGCAGAAACGGGGCATGGTTGCTATGCGAAAGGAGCTTCAGCAGACGTCCGGTCCGTGGGGAAGTTCTTGATGTACAGATTTGTGAAGTTCCTCAGTGCCGGAGGCTGACAAATATTGCAGCTTCGCTCCCTTCTTTCATCCAAAAAAGGAAGGGTTCCAAGGATGGCCGAATTCCCTTTCATCCTCTACCAACTTCAGGAAGGTTCTTACTTTGACAGCGACATATATGGCCATGGGTCAAAATCCCGTACCCCCAGTGAACATCCCAATCCGCACTAAAATAGGTTCTAAAATGGGTGATGCACCTATGCCAAAAAACTGGGATCCCATTGGTGTTGACCCGCAATAGGTACCCCAAATGGAACCCTGGTAAATGGACACATGGACCAAAACCTGCGTAACCCCTGGTGGCTTAATTTTGACCCATACCCATATATTATGATTGGACCAACAAAAAAAACATTGTACAGCCCAGCCGCTGCAGGGCGGGACGGTCGCGCTCGTTGCGCTTCAAGAACTTGCTCACGTGGACCGTCTGCTCACCGATTTGCATGCCGTTGACACCTGACTTTAAAGGAGTCTGGCGGGCAGTGCGACTCATTTGGCTGTGGGTCCAAACCCTGGTGAACATCAAAATAGGTGGTGCATGGGTGTTCATCCGCCCCAAAATGGAGGCGTAGGTTATGGCCCATGGCCATTTCGAGATGACGGCATGCGAAGTCGAAAAGGTTGCATTGCATGCCTTGCTTCCCCATGGGCTACGAGTTTAGGTCCCACAGGAAATTACACCTGTAGCTTGAACTGAAGAAACAACGTCTTAGCACACTTCTAGAATCCGAGATACAAGCAAAAATAACCATAGCAGCTTTACTACATAGCTGCTTATAGCTTGCTCTGAAAAAAGACGCTTTAGCACACTGCTAAATCCAAGATACCAAAGAAAATTACCATGCAGCCTTAGTGCTGAAAGCTTGCACTGGTAAAGACGTTTTGGCACACTGCTAGAATCCAAGCTGCCAAACGTTTTAGCACACTTCTAGAATCCAAGATACCAAAGAAAATTACAATAGCAGCCTTAGTGCCGAAAGCCTGCACCGGTAAAGACGTTTTAGCACACTGCTAGAATCCAAGCTGCCAAAGATAATTACCATAGCAGCCCTACTGCCTGTGGCTTGCACTGAAAAAGACGACGTTTTAGCACACTGCTAGAATCCAAGCTACCAAAGCTTGCACTGAAAAGTTGTTTTAGCAAGCTGCTAGAACCCAAGCTGTCATTGGGAAAAGGTGGTGGTTGCTTCAACTGGCAAGGTTTGACAGTAGACTATATCATGCCACAACAGCCTAATGTGTTCAGCTCTCTGGCAACTTACGCGAGATTCATGACAGGGATGAACAACTTGTGAAGTCAAAGAGGGTCCGGTGCTGGGTGCCTTCTGCATGCTGGCTAATCTGTGCTTCTGCATGCTACGCATTCGCATGTGCATCTGCATGCGCGTGTGCATGTGTAACTGCAATACAAAGAGATGCTTATGTATGTATGTATATATATATATAATGTATATATAATATGTATATATAATATGTATATACAATATGTATATATAATATGTGCACATGTGGCTTGCATAACATGGTGCCAACAACACTCACACAATTGTGTGTGTGTGTGTACCTGCAGTGTAGTCATATTTAATATGATCCACGGAGGCTGTCCTCCCCGACATGCCGAACGTGTGCAAATTTAAATGTACCTTGAGTTCGAATTCGACTTGCGGATGCCAACTTGTCAGGCCATGGGTCCAAATCCAAATCGTACCCTAAGTGAACATCCCAATCCCCACTAAAATTGGTTCTAAAATGGGTGGAGAATTCACCAAAGACCCCAAAATGGGATCCCAAAACAGGTTTGACCCACAATAGGTACCCCAAATGGAACCCCGGCAAATGGGCACATGGGCCAAAACCCGCGAAACCAATTCCTGGTTCAATTTTCACAACCACAGCCATGGGTCACCCGAGTTCCTGCGTTGCTTCGGCTTGTGCCTTCTCCCGATCTCCCGACGCCGGCCCTCGGCTCCCGGGGGCTCCCGGCGCTCGATGGCTTGCTGCGCGGCCTCCTCGGTCTCGTAGTGCACGAAGCCGTAGCCTCAGAAGGGTCGCCTATGGGTCAAAGTTAAACCACCGTGATGCCTACCACAAGTGGGTGTGGTTGAAAATTAAAGGCCTACCTAGGGTGTGTACGTCAAAGTTAAACCACCGAAAGCTGTCGTACATACAAATTGTAAAAGAATTAGCCAGGATGGATAGGATGATGGCAGATTGCTGCCCATGCCGGTGGCCAATACCATATTGTCGCCGGGGGACCGCAGGCTTTAGTCCTTGGTTCCAGTTACCAGGGTTCCATATTGGGTACCTATTCTTGATCCACAGCCACCTGCTTTCTTGCTGCTGACTCCGAAGCTCCAGTCAAAAAAGTCATTGCGTGGCAGCTCCTGTCGCTCTCATGAGCATTGTGCCATGCTCCGAAAAAGCATGCTCTCATGGACATCAAAGGCTCCATGCGTCGCTTATGCAATGCACATCTCACAACTTTTGCAGATTCGTGATGACCATGTTCAGCATTGCCGCCATACGTTGGATATCCTGGTTACACCAAGGATACCATGGCGGCGGCAACACCTTTCTCTTTTTGTCCGGAATCCGAGAGTTGCCACGCCCTTGAAGCGATCAAACATTGTCAATGCCTGAATGCCGGGCAGAATGACAGCTTCAAGGCTGCTGCTCTCGCGACAAGTCAATGCCAAGCTCTGGTTCCCTAGCTCGGTTGCTTTCTGCTCCTGCTAAAAGTTTAACGTTTTAGCAGTTTAAGGGAAAACCCGTTGGTTGGCAAAAAGTTCAAGTCCTAACATCCCCTGGCAAGATGCGCCAAAGCTAAGGTCAGCCTCTCAAGGCTCGGCCGCGCGAGCAAGTCAGCACCCCAGGCCATGGAGCGAGGAATAAGGCTTGCCGGGGCAAGGAAGCCAGCCGAAGCTCCAGGAATCGCCCAAGCTGAAGCTCTACATCCCTGGCACCTCAACCCCAAGCTCTCCGAGAGCTTGGGCCCCAGGTTTAAAGCTTGGGAGCTCGGCAACAGAAAACCGCTGCCAAGCTGCGTGTTTCGCCTGTTCTCCCATCTGGCCTTCCCCAAAGGCCGCCAGCCAAAAGCCAAGCTCGAAAGTTGAGCTGGAAGCTTCAGGCCCGTTGAGTTGAAGTCCTCTCCCAGCGTCAGAGAGGCCGTCGAATGGATTCAAGTTCATCAAGTTCATCTGATGTCCACACTTTGTGCTTCTGGGGTTCCGCCGGCGCACGGCGAAGACTCAAAGCAGCCGGCGCTGCACCAACTCGCTTGGCAAGGGTCACTTGTCGCAGCACTGGTAAGGCGACCGACATGGAGGAAGAGCGAAGAAGGAAAGCCTTCATGGAGGGCAGAAGAAAACAGCAAGAGCCGAGCACTGCAAAGATGCCTTTTGGCTTATAGCACGTATGAAGGCGGTCCTGCTGCGATACTCCTCCATGTTAGTCGCCAGAAGTCACGAGCATCAGACCTTGAGCTCAGCTCTGCAAGCTCCTCAACATCCTGCTTTGGCCCAGGATGCGAAGCACCACAACCCATTCAAGCAGAGCCTCGATTCGGAACGCGGTGAAACGTGTGCAACCGTTGGATACCGGCAAGCCAAGCTGGAGCCAAAGCTCAAGCATGCTCAAGCATGTACCATAGAAGGCATTGTTTTTCGTCCGCCCGAAAAAGCCTCCAGCTATGCTACCGGCAAGCTCATGTCACCCGCACGCCAATTCTCCACCGCCAACTGATCCGAATTAATCATGTGCTGAGGTCGCCACCTCGCGACTTTCCATTGGCATCACATGCCACCTGCAAAGCAGAAAAGAGCGCGAAGAGCCCGTTGACTGAAGGTCTGGCAGTGACTCACTGTTGTTTCAGAAGCAATGAAGTAATCATAAAAGGCTACAACAAAAGGGTGCTGGCTGCCTTTTGCTTGTCTGCATAGTCCTTGCTCGGGTTCGGGCCGTGCAATGCTACAACTTGCATTCGGCAGGAGGAGCATGTGTTTCGCATTCTGTCCAACCCTTGCCTCACCAACTATCTCACAAATATTGTGCAAAATGGCGGTTGATTGAAAACCCTTGTTCCGGGAAATGCCATCTCGAAGAAATAAACAACCTTCCGAAACCTCCACAACGCGAGGTGTAGCGCAGAATTTGTGCGGGGCAACACATGAAACCAACAGAAACCATCCCCCTTCAGATCTCAACACAAGGACCTTTCGGACAACTCCCAAAAACGGAGTGCAAATCAGAATGACATCTTAGCTGCGTTGGAGCGGTTTTCTGCTGCCCCAGGCTTCTCAACAACAATTGCTGGACACAGGGTAGGAGTCTGATGCGCGCCTTGCAGGAGAGGATGTTGCCGAAGAGACTGAAGGTGTCATACAACGCCTTGCCGATGCAGCTTGCAGCTGCACCCACACAATGCCCTTTATTTGTGCCAGACAAATATCCACCGTGTAGCCACAAAATATTTCTCTCTGGCAGCAGTCTGGATTTTAACCTCCGGGTCCCTAGGTCTTTGGTTGCATTGGCACTGGCAGTCCCGACTCACCAAGGCCCTGTCCTTGTTGTCAATTGCTTTGTCCAGGTTCTTCACAAATACGTTCCCATGCCCGCTCTTCCGCAGACTGGGATCCCTGGCCGGCGCAGGCTTAGCTACAGCCCTATCTGGTCATGTTCGTGCAACTTGCAGCCGAATCCCTTAATTGTGCGCTGGAGGGATTGAAGGGAAAGGCGACTGGGCACCTCCGCCAACATCTGCCAAACCGCTTTTCGTCGTCCCTATTAAGTAGCTGAGTAGGTCTGTTCGCACAAACCAACCTACTCTTCTGGCTCTTGATGACAGCAGCTGTCCGAAACTCTATTCTTCGGCTTAAAAGCACAACACAAACAACAGCTGGGCAACACGCTCATGTGCAAAAGTCCAACTCGATTGGCACTTGTTGGTGGCTAAGAGCCATCGCCGCACCGCGCCTCTGGCTCCACATGATGCGGCAAGCTCGGCCCTCGCAAGGTCACTCGGTGAGAACTCCGTGCGTTAAGCAAAAATTGAACATGGCCGCTGTGGATTGTCCTCTACTGAAAACCCATGGACGCGTTTTGTTCACATTCTCCGGCCTTGATACTTGAGTAGTTCAGCGTATCCAGGGCACGCTCGGCATCGGAGACGCTGTGAAAGTTGACGTATCCATAGCCCAAGGACCTGCCAAACACCAATAAAACGCTACATTGTATATCAGGCTTGTTCTCATCTATGGCAGGGCTATGCCCAATGATGCATGCACATCCGTTTCTGCACCAGTCCCCGGAGCCTTCTGGTCACCGTGTCGCGACAAACCCGAATAGAAGCCACGGGCCCAACGGAGTTGAAGATCTCGTACAGCATGGCCTGGCGGCAATCGAGCACCATATCACCTAACATGGGATCAGCATAGATGATGGCTCATTGCTTGAAACTTTACAGCCCTTTGCGAGAAACAAAGCTTGGAGCGTCGCGAAGAATCAGAAACGAAGAACGTGTCCAAGAACTTTGTTGTTGCGATGTCTAACGAGTGTAAGTTGTGGCTTTGCCAAACAGTTGCAAAACCGATCAAATGCATTCCGAAGACAAATTTGTCCAGCCGAAAGAGCTGGTTTTGCAGCGACAGCTCTGTGCATCCTGACGTCGGTAGTGGCGATGGCTGCGATAGTTGCAGTATTTATCTGACTGGCTCGTGGTTGCTGTTGTTGGGAATAAGAAGACCCACAATCCAAAACATCTTAAACTTCCTCGTGCCGCTGCCATGCCCGGCTTCCGGAACGGATTCCGTTTGCTACATGGGGAATTTTTGACCCATCAGGTACGATCTACTTGATAGATAGCCCCGCCGAGTAGCTTACGCTCGAGAGTGTGGCTGCACTCCCTAGATGTTCGACTTCATCAGGTTTGCCGGATCTGGCTGGGCAGGACTCTCTCGACTACACGTGTGTTTAGGAACTACGATGACATTTAGCCGGCACTTCTCTAGCAGACACAGCGCTTGTGGCTAGCCGGCTGCACTGCGAGGAATTCGGCGCCCCAAAAATTGTGAAGCGTAAAGCCTTGGACGGCTCCAAAGAGACGCATCTAGCTTTCCCAAACGGAATTGACTTCGAAGGGATTACTACACATTATTAGCGTTGTTACCCTTTTTTCAGCATTGTTACCCCATATGTGGCGTGGTTACCTCACCATCTGGACTTCGAAGGTACCTAGACATCCAAGGCACAACTCCCAGATTTTGAGTGCAACCCAGCCTTGCTTCCCGACCGATGCTCCAGGAATCCAGCCCTTCAGTTTGGAGTGACAACTATTACGTCCCGGCTCAACTTTGCACACACACACACGCACACAAATGCACACCTAGTTTTCCTTTCGGGCGACTGGCAAATCTTCCAAGTCCTGTTCCGTCTGCCAAAAGGAAAAAACAAAACTAGACGACGAGTGGCCCGGAAGCATAGAGGCAAGTTGATGCAGGTGAGGTAACTCTCGCAAAGTTAGCATGAGGAGTTGGCAGGCGAAGCAATTCTCAAAAAGTTGGCATGAGAAGCTGGCAGGTTAAGTAACTCTCGAATAGTTGGCTGGCAAAGTTGGCGGGTGAAGTAATTCTCGCAAAGTTGACATGAGAAGTTGGCAGGCGAAGTAACTCAAGAGAAAAGTTGGCATGAGAAGTTGGCAGGTGAAATAACTCTCAAAGAGTTGGCATGAGAAGTTGGCAGGTGAAGTAACTCTCGAAAAGTTGGCGTGAGAAGCTGGCAGGTGAAGTAATTCTCGAAAAGTTGGCACGAGAAGATGGCGCGTGAAGTAACTCTCGAAAAGTTGGCGTGAGAAGCCGGCAGGTGAAGTAACTTTCGAAAAGTTAGCATGAGAAGTTGGCAGGCGAAGTAATTCTCGAAAAGTTGGCGCGAGAAGTTGGCAGGCGAAGTAACTCTCGAAAAGTTGGCAGGCGATGTTGGCAGGTGAAGTACCTCTCGAAAAGTTGGCATGAGAAGCTGGCAGGTGAAGTAATTTTTCGAAAAGTTGCCACGAGAGGTTGGCAGATAAAGTATTTCTCGAAAAGTTGGCATGAGAAGTTGGCAGGTGAAGTAATTCTCGAAAAGTTGGCAGGTGAAGTTGCCACGAGAGGTTGGCAGGTAAAGTATTTCTCGAAAAGTTGGCATGAGAAGTTGGCAGGTAAAGTAATTCTCGAAAAGTTGGCATGAGAAGCTCGCAGGTGTAGTAACTCTCGAAAAGTTGGCATGATAAGCTCGCAGGTGAAGTAACTCCTCGAAAAGTTGGCACGAGAAGTTGGCAGGTGAAGTAACTCTCGAAAAGGTGGCATGAGAAGCTGGCAGGTGAAGTAATTCTCGAAGTTTCGGCATGAGAAACTGGCAGGTGAAGTAATTAACCCTCAAAAAGCTGGAGCGGCGGAGGCGCTCCGCGTGCTACATTTGCAATTTACAGTTGCGATTTTCCAGCCATTTGTATCTAAAAGTTGCGATTTTCCAGCCGGAGCTGCGGGAGCACGCTCCGCGTACTACGTCTGTACTTAAAAAGTGCGATTTTCCAGCCGGAGCTGCAGCAGCCTCCGCGTACTACGTCTGTACTTAAAAGTTGCGATTTTCCAGCCGCTCCGAGTACTACGTTTGCGCTTAAAAGCTGCGATGTTCGAGCCGGAGCTGCCGCGGACCAGGGGGGAATCGAACCCGCGACCGCGGGATTGCGAAAGCAGGCGTGCAAACCACGAGACAACTTCCAAAGGCCGTTTCGCGAGCAAGAAATTCGCACGGCGCCACAGCGAGAGCGCTTCGACACGCACGATCTCCGCAGAGGGTTCGCCAAGGTCAAGACAAATTCGCACGGCGCCACAGCGAGAGCGCTTCGACACGCACGATCTCCGCAGAGGGTGCGCCAAGGTCAAGTCAAATTCGCACGGCGCCACAGCGACAGCGCTTCGACACGCGAAATCTCCGCAGAGGGTTCGCCAAGGTCAAGACAGATTCGCGCGGCGCCACAGCGAGAGCGCTTGGACACGCACGATCTCCGCAGAGGGTTCGCCGCGACCAAGACAAATTCGCACGGCGCCACAGCGAGAGCGCTTCGACACGCAGGATCTCCGCAGAGGGTTCGCCGAGGTCAAGACAAATTCGCACGGCGCCACAGCGAGAGCGCTTCGACATGCACGATCTCCGCAGAGGGTTCGCCGAGATCAAGATAGATTCGCACGGCGCCACAGCGAGAGCGCTTCGACACGCACGATCTCCGCAGAGGGTTCGCCAAGGTCAAGACAAATTCGCACGGCGCCACAGCGAGAGCGCTTCGACACGCACGATCTCCGCAGAGGGTTCGCCAAGGTCAAGACAAATTCGCACGGCGCCACAGCGAGAGCGCTTCGACACGCACGATCTCCGCAGAGGGTTCGCCGCGCTCAAGACAAATTCGCACGGCGCCACAGCGAGAGCGCTTCGACACGCACGATCTCCGCAGAGGGTTCGCCGGTCAAGACAAATTCGCACGGCGCCACAGCGAGAGCGCTTCGACACGCACGATCTCCGCAGAGGGTTCGCCAAGGTCAAGACAAATTCGCACGGCGCCACAGCGAGAGCGCTTCGACACGCACGATCTCCGCAGAGGGTTCGCCGCGCTCAAGACAAATTCGCACGGCGCCACAGCGAGAGCGCTTCGACACGCACGATCTCCGCAGAGGGGTGCGTTTCGTAAGCTCCTGTCGGGCCTACCCCCGCCAGAAAAAGAAGAAGAATTAAGAGTCGAGAAGTGAAGGTAGAACAGAAAAGTTAGCTTGTGTTTTTAGGATAGTGAAGTAACACCCGACAAATTAGCTTGTGCTTTTAGTAGAATGAGATAACAGCCGAAAAGTTGACATGAGAAGTTGGCAGGTGAAGTAACTCTCAAAAAGTTGACATGAGAAGTAGGCAGGTGAAGTAACTCTCGACAAGTTGGCATGAGAAGTTGGCAGGTGAAGTAACTCTCGACAAGTTGGCATGAGAAGTTGGCAGGTGAAGTAACTCTCGACAATTTGGCATGATAAGTTGGCAGGTGACATAACTCTCGAAAAGTTGGCAGGTTAAGTTGGCATGAGAAGTTGGCAGGTGATGAAGTTGGCATGAGAAGTTGGCAGGTGAAGTAACTCTCGAAATAACTCTCGAAAAGTTGGCATGAGAAGTTGGCAGGTGAAGTTTGCAGCCGCTTTTAGAAGAAGAACCCTTCGCAATGCTTCCGGGAAAAACGGCCTCTGTAACATCTGGATGCAGGTCTCCCACATAAAGGGAGGCGAATTGCGGGACTCCAGCCATCCTGAAGACGAAAAAGGGAGGACTCTTGTCCTGTCAGGAAAGCAGAACAAGAATCACTCATTTGGCTGTGGCTCAAAAAACCGGTACCAAAATGGAACCCTGGTGAGTGGAAACATGGACCAAAACCAGCGGTTTGCCCCTCCTGTTTAATTTTGAGCCACACCCATGTCGTTCAAAACGCATTGGCATGCACAAGTCAAGGAAACTTGGTCCTCAAATGCTCCTGGCAAACAAAGTTATCTGCAAGTTGCAGAAATTTGGAGGCCTCGGCAGAAGGGGCGACCAGCAGTCTCTCTCTCTCTCTCTCTCTCTCTCTCTCTCTCTCTCTCTCTTTCTCTCTCTCTCCATGCAGCATCCATCGAATCCCAGATGCAGCCAAGCTGCCTTGGCGGGAGATCTTTAAGCTTTTGGGGTTATGCGATTTTTATGGTTTGCTTTCAGCCTGCTGTGGCAGGCTTGAGCCAGCCGCAGCACGACTTGCAGTGCAGCCCGCTGTTTCATGGCGCACGTCATGCTACCGTCTTGGCACAAAAGCGATGTGAAGTACACCGGTGAAGCTTGTAGTGGTGAACGTGAGAGGCAGCGGTGAAGCTTCATTGCCGACTTTGAACCCATCTGGGCGCTATGTGCCCTGCCCGAGCAAGCCCTTCCTGTTCTTCTGTATCCTGCAGAGCAAGGGGACTTTGCAGCCTGACAAAGCTTTTCCAGCACAAAGACTCTGCATGCCCAACAGGATCAAATATCTTCCAAATATTCAGATGATGCTTGAAAGCGACAACTCAAAGGCCAGATGCTTGTTCGCACTTTTGGCAAAGCAACGTAATCTTCCTCGTTGCTAGTGCCTTCAAACACGCCAACGAAGCAGCCACATGCCAGCAAGCTGAGAATGCGGCAAGCTGGGATTCATCCTTGCTCTTCTAGGTAGTTGGAGCGAGCACGTGCCCAGAATCACAGAAGTGTGCGATCCAACGTTATCTAGCTGCATCTTGACTCTACCATGCAAAAGATGGCTGTGGGTCAAAAATGGGTATCCATTTTGGAACCCTAGTAAATGGAACCAAGGACTAAAACCTCGGTCCCTTGGTGCTTTAATTTGACCCATACAGAAATAGAAACCAAGGATCCACGTCAAATGCGTGCTGCGGCTGCTTCGGCAGCAGTGCTGCACCCATTGGTCTCGACACCTCGCTGCGGGCAACGAGAACGGTTCCTTCCGTAGCGCGGGTCGCCGCTGTAGCTGCTGCTACTGCGCCTGGCAACGGGCAGAGTCGGCTGCAAGCTTTCCCAGGGCAGGGGTTTCCTGCAGTCTGCTCAAGCCGAGAGGCACAGTCATAGGTGTCCTGTTAGGGGAATTAGATGGCCCTGGTACATGCCGGTGGTGGGGTCATCCGCGCATTCAATCTTGGAGTCATTCGCGCATTCAATCCCGCAGGGTCATCTGCGCACGCAATCTTGGAGTCATTCGCGCATTCAATCCCGGAAGTGCCCACCACAGCAGAGGGTTTGGGGGCTGGGGTTTGGGTTTGGGGTTGGCTTACATCACTTTAGGTTTTTGGGTTTGGGGTTTAGGCTTTTGGGTTTGGCTTTAGGATTTAGCCTTTTGGGCTTGGCTCGCATCACTTTAGGTTTTAGGTTACTGTAGGGTTTAGGCTTTTGGGTTTGGCTTTAGGATTTAGGCTTTTGGGCTTGGCTCGCATCACTTTAGGTTTTAGGTTACTGTAGGCTTTAGGGTTGTGGATTTGGGCTTAGGGTTTAGGCTCTTGGGTTTGGCTTGCATGACTTTAGGTTTTAGGTTACTGTACGTTTCAGGGTTCTGGGTTTGGGTTTAAGGTTTAGGCTTTTGGGTTTGGCTCACATCACTCTAGGTTTTGGGTTTTGGGTTTAGGCTTTTGGGTTTGGCTTTAGGATTTAGGCTTTTGGGCTTGGCTCGCATCACTTTAGGTTTTAGGTTACTGTAGGGTTTAGGCTTTTGGGTTTGGTTTTAGGATTTAGGCTCTTGGGCTTGGCTCGCATCACTTTAGGTTTTAGGTTACTGTAGGCTTTAGGGTTGTGGATTTGGGTTTAGGGTTTAGGCTCTTGGGTTTGGCTTGCATCACTTTAGGTTTTAGGTTACCGTACGTTTTAGGGTTCTGGGTTTGGTTTTAAGGTTTAGGCTTTTGGGTTTGGCTCACATCACTCTAGGTTTTGGGTTTTGGGTTTAGGCTTTTGGGTTTGGCTTTAGGATTTAGGCTTTTGGGCTTGGCTCGCATCACTTTAGGTTTTAGGTTACTGTAGGGTTTAGGCTTTTGGGTTTGGTTTTAGGATTTAGGCTTTTGGGCTTGGCTCGCATCACTTTAGGTTTTAGGTTACTGTAGGCTTTAGGGTTGTGGATTTGGGCTTAGGGTTTAGGCTCTTGGGTTTGGCTTGCATCACTTTAGGTTTTAGGTTACTGTACGTTTTAGGGTTCTGGGTTTGGGTTTAAGGTTTAGGCTTTTGGGTTTGGCTCACATCACTCTAGGTTTTAGGTTACTGTAGGTTTTAGGCTTTTGGGTTTGGCTTTAGGATTTAGGCTTTTGGTCTTGGCTCGTATCACTGTAGGTTTTAGGGTTCTGGATTTAGGCTTAGGGTTTAGGCTCTTGGGTTTGGCTTGCATCACTTCAGGTTTTAGGTTACTGTAGGTTTTAGGCTTTTGGGTTTGGCTTTAGGATTTAGGCTTTTGGCCTTGGCTCGTATCACTGTAGGTCTTAGGGTTCTGGATTTGGGCTTAGGGTTTAGGCTCTTGGGTTTGGCTCACATCACTCTAGGTTTTAGGTTACTGTAGGTTTTAGGCTTTTGGGTTTGGCTTTAGGATTTAGGCTTTTGGTCTTGGCTCGTATCACTGTAGGTTTTAGGGTTCTGGATTTGGGCTTCGGGTTTAGGCTCTTGGGTTTGGCTTGCATCACTTTAGGTTTTAGGTTACTGTAGGTTTTAGGCTTTTGGGTTTGGCTTTAGGATTTAGGCTTTTGGCCTTGGCTCGTATCACTGTAGGTGTTAGGGTTCTGGATTTGGGCTTAGGGTTTAGGCTCTTGGGTTTGGCTTGCATCACTTTAGGCTTTAGGTTACTGTAGGTTTTAGGCTTTTGGGTTTGGCTTTAGGATTTAGGCTTTTGGCCTTGGCTCGCATCTCGAGAAGGGTTTCTTGCAAACATCACACCAACCAGAGGAAAATCAAACACATGAGACTGAGAAATGATGCTTAAGTCACGCACAGAAGGAGACTCAAGACCCCTGACGAAATGCCTTCTTCAAATCTACTTGTCTACACTGAAGAATCCTTGGACACACGCTCAGCACAACTCAAGGTAGGAAGCCTTTGAGCAGAGCTGCCTAGTGCTTGCCAGTAGCTCCAATCAAACGTGCGTTCCATGGGCAACACTCCCGCGTAGGATGCTTTACAAGGGTTGTCTAAAAGCCCTATTACAAGATTGACGCTCGTCCCTACCAGCCCCAAGTAAAACGGAGACATGTCAATTTGACCCGCTCCAATTTTTCAAGCAAGGCTTACCTGCAGAAAGACCGCCAAACGTCTCTGCTTGTCAGAGGCCAGATCCCAAAGCTCCAGTGGACACAGAAACAACGCCGCCCCCTTGTTGGGGTCGTCTCCAAAACAGGCTTTGAAACCCCAAAGCAGCCCTCGAAATAGCAACAAATCAACCTGCAGTGCATTTTGCTCTAACGACCTCCAGCTACTTCCAGAACCAGGCCATGCCAGCAAATCCAACAGCAGCAGTCTCCAATGACCGACCTACAAACGTCGCAGCTCGACCACTTTTCCTGGGCATGGCTGAGTCTTAGGTTTGGCCACTTTGTGACTCTCGCCACTTTACTGCGACTTGTAGGCCGCCGCGTATGCCCAAACACATCGACATATCACGACACATGTGACCACACATCGAGTCCATTATCATGCCTGTGAGCCCAAAAAACAATGAATGCACAAACGACCCCAGGATTGAATGCACAGACGACACCAGGATTGAATGCACAGACGACCCCGTGAACGATGATTAAACCACCAGCTAAACCAGGGCCATATATATTTTGTTCTACCAAAACAACCAGAAGGGACACCTATGGGCACAGAGCAGACTGTGCGATCCCAGTACGTTGCCACACTGATGCAAATCATCCATTGGCAAATGGCCATGGGTCAAAATCCTGTACCCCCAGTGAACATCCCAATCCCCACCAAAATAGGTTCTAACAACCACAGCCATTTCGCCGAACGCGCAACCGTCATAGAGCGTTACGCGCGCTCGGCCTTTCGCCGATGGGCATGCCCGGCTCTTGCCTGTAGCTTCCTGAGCATGCAACAAGCAAAGAACTAGAGGTGAGAGGCCTCAACAATTTGTGTGGGTCAAAATTAAACCACCAGGGGACCGCTGGTTGTAGTCTAAGTTTCCATTTGCCAGGGTTCCAATTTGGGTACATATTTTTGACCCACAGCCAAATGGAGGCAAAAGTCCCACAGTCCATCGTTGGAAACAAACATGTCTTGCCGATAGCGGGATTTTAGGACTGGTCATTGCAAGAAATTGTCCACGTCCGACCCAAGCTGGGACCGCAACCCATTGATTGCCGCCCTTCCTGGCCGCTTTGCTGACAACACACATCTATGGTACATCATCATACTGCCAATGGCACGGAAACACTAGTCCTATGGGGTCTTGGCGGGTGAGCTTGCGAACAGAGAGATCCAGCGGTAGTTTCGCCAATTCAAAAAAGCGTTGGGGAACAGGACCCAAGCCACTCACATCTCTCAGAAATCAATGTCGTGCTAACGGCAATCACCTCGTTCACATGGCCATGGGTCAAAGTCCCGTACCCCCAGTGAACATCCTAATCCCCACCAAAATAGGTTCTAAAATGTGTGGTGCACCTACCCCAAAATGGGATCCCATTAGCTTTGACCCACAGCCACATAGGCCATGCGCCTGCGCACTCTCCCCGTGAAGAGCACAGCTGCCCGCATAGGACACACTGGCATAATCCCACCCATCACTACGCTGAGAGCGAATGCGCGGCATGTTCAAGCTTGCAACCTGCTTGAAACATCTTTGGAAGCTAGCCAATAGAATCCATGATCGGTGCAGCTCGCGCAAGCTGGACCAGCAAGCAAGACTCATGAGAAGTGTCTGGCCGGTCTTCATTTTCCAATGCAACATAGGAAAGAGCTTGTACACAAACCCAAGCAACCTGATGCCGCTTATTCTGACACTTGGACCCTGGAGTTGCAACAAATGCTTTGTCTTGGTCTTGGAAAAAATGTCGTGCTGGGCTGCTTGGGTGCCACAAACAACTTCGCCGCCCCTTGCATAGATGCCGTAGTGCCCTCAAGCAGCCAATGCTGCAAGTGCAAGGCTCTATGCATATCCCCAAGGTGGATGGTAAAGCCAGCCATCCACAGCATAGCATGAATAGCATGTACATGCACTGTGCTCGAGCAACCAGTTGTGGCCTGGATGCTCCGCTGTATTCAGGAGCACTTGTCTCAATCTACCTGAATACAGCCCAGTTCGGACAATGTGATGGAAGCATAAGGCTCCGGTTGGTGGACAGCAAACTCACCTGCAGTGGCTAAAGCCAGCACTGCTGCAAAGGTGAGCGCTGCAGTAGCCCGAGTGGCTTGGCCAGGTGGCACGATCATATCCAGCGTCACGGTCCCTTCGCTCCGCAGGCGGCGGCAGATGTTCTCCCCCAGCTCTGCCGTGTGATCATCTTGCGCCTCGTTGCCAAAGGCAGGACCTTCTCCGGCAAAAGCCTCATGGTCCTCATTCCTCATCAGGGCGTCGATGACCAGGCTCTCCTCAACTGCCTCATGCAACTTTGCAGGCTCAGCTCCAAGATCAGGTGCAGGCGCGCTGAGCAACGACTGCATCTGCGGCAACTCTGTCAGCCTCACCCCAGCTCCATGCTCCATGTAGAGGGTGCTGTCTGGATCCACCAAAAGCCGTAGACTGCATCCCAAATGGTCAGCCGCCTGAAAATCCTCCTCCATCGCCTCTGCATAGGTGGCTGCCTGCAGCCGCGGCCGGTTCAAGGCCTCCCCGGCCTGCCACTCCTCGAATTCCTGGGCCGAGACCAGCGGGTTGCAGTCGAAGCCGTAGACCATGCCCGGCTGCAACAGGGGCGCTGCCCGCTCCTTGCGCCGCTTGGACGCCTGGATCGCCGCCTCCAAGTCGCCAGGAGCGCCGGGCGCCGGATCCCTCGCCTCCAGCGGCACCTGCGGCTCAAAAAGTTCAAAAAGCTGCCGACTTCCAAGGGAATCGAACCCTCACACTTCCCCCCCGCTCCCAGCAAAACTCCCCAGGCTTCAAACCTCAGAATTTCCCCCCCCCCCCCCCCGCATCCCAGCAAACCCAAGCGGCCTCGACAGGCACCAGCTGCGATGGCACGGGCTCCAGCAACGTCACCTCCGCCTCTCGCGCCTGCGGCGCCTCTGGCGCCTCTGGCGGCGGCACCTGCGGCTGCGGCTCCGGCGGGCCCAGCTCCGGGAAGCGTGGCAACCAGTCCTATCGGCCAGCTACCGCTCCCGTCGGACCGTGGATTTAAAAATCACACGTGAGTCACAATCAAAACCCGGTATGAAAATGGTTGACCCAGAACCATGTAAAGAATTAAGAAGGCGGCCGCAGCTATTTATGGCTGGGACTGGCCCCTACTAACCTTCATCTACCCGGTTTTTATTGTAGCTCACGTGGTTGTCGACACTTGAGTCACAATGGGAGATTTGTGTGTGTGTGTGTGCGAACATTGGCTGTTTGACTTGATTGCCGAGAGATCTGCTCTTCCCGAAAAGCGCTCTGACACGCAATCCACGCAATGCATTGCAACGGGATTACAAAATCAGAGAAAGGCAAGAGCACACTGCACCACTGCCCTGCCTCAAAACTCTCACGTACAACAAAACGTAGTTGTAAGAACATAGGGCATTATATATATATATAATATCACATATAATCGTATTTTTTATTTTGTTACACAATTATTCTATTACATGAAAAAAAAGGCGAGGGCCTTTGCAACAATGACGGCCGTGAGACCCAGAAGCGGCCAAAAAAGCCCGCCCCCCCAGCCCCAGCCCGCGCCCAAGCCCGCGCCATGTGAGTCCTTGGCTTCGCAGCTGGGGTCCAGCAGCTGCGGCGCCGGCAGCTCCAGCTCCATAGGTACCTCCCCCAGCTGCAGCAGGGCGCCCTCCTCCAAAGGCGCCTCGCCCGGACGCTCTCGCGCCCGAGAAGGCTGTATCGGGGGAGGACCCCGCGTTTAGACACTGATGTTAGCCCCGGATTAATAGACTCCTGGTTGATTTTGATAGGGGGTGTCCCCTTTTAGTGGGGATTCAGACCACTTTTGGAGGGAACACATAATGGGACGGGCTTATTAATCCTGGGTCAACACTGCAGGGTTCCATTTTTTTTCGCAGACTTTGCCTGCTGCTAGCATATTCAGGGGCCATTTGGCTGTGTAAGAGAGATACCCCATAAACGGGTTGGTCGAAAGGGACACCCATTTTGGGGTCCCGGTCCCAATCCCCGGTAGCAAAGCAGTGGCCATTCCCTCGTTGACTGATTTTCCGGAGATGTGAGAGGCTGCGGGTAGAACGGGAAGTGCCAGAGCAGGCATGGCAAGATCCCCACTGGAGCATTGAAATAGGAAGATGGCCTTAACGACCGTATATGCGTTTGTGGAAACGCGATGAACATTTCACTAGTTACGGCTTTTGTCCGGGTTCGGCGACTCAGCCAGGTTCTGGAGGATCAAGCGCCATTTCTCCTTCCCTGCATCTCTCGCACCAAGACCCCCGAAACTCCGCCGACTCGCCTGGGTCCAATCGAAGGCCTCGGCTTTGGACACATCCAGGTCCAGCGTCAGCGCCGCCTCCATGCGCTGCCGCTTGGCTGCGGGCAAGCGGATCTTGCTGTCCTCGGGGCGAGCGAGGCGTCCGCAAGCGCTGCGGTTTCAGTGTGTGAAGCAGTGTGGGGGTTGGATCCAAAGGTCCCATGCGACCATGGGACCATTGGTTGGAGAAAACCACGAAATAAAAGGATGAGATGGTCCAACATGGGGAAAACAAAACCCATGGTCATTTGGGGCCAGGAATACTGATCCACCTTGATGTGTATCTGGCACTGTTGTGATGAAAGATCTCGACCTGGCCACAAAGCAGACAATTCAAGGTGCGCAATTGATGGTCAAAACCAAGCTATGGCAATGGTGACCCCATATTTATCAACCCCTGTTTACTACTAGGAAGGTGTTCACGTCATCTTTATGGTCTTCCTGAGGGAAACGTTCGAAAACTTCCTGTTTTGCATTTGCAGTCCTCAGTGAAGGGTTGCCGAGCGAACATCAGCACCACCCTTTCTGAGTCATAGTACAGAGACCGGGCTCGCTCATTGTTGATCACGCAGAAGCCTTTGCATCCATCGGAGCGAGAGACTCTCAAATTAAAACGGCGCCTGGGCTCCCTCTAAAGACAGCCAGCTTTACATGTCAAGAAGTGGGCAAAGAAGCACAAGCACAACAAATCGGAAGATTCTGTAGCACAGGCAGCCAAAACTCACAGCAGCTAAACCTGGCTGTGGAGCCCTTGATCATGGTGCCATACACCCTCAAGGTCAATGGCTTCTCCGTGTTCGGGCCGTGGGTCTCAATCAGCCGCTGCACGCGGTTCTGGATATCCATATCCACTTGCTTCTTTCTCAGTCGAGCTGTCGAGGTTGCCGCAATCCAGCAGTCCCTCCAACGCTCATCGTAGAGATCGAACGCAGCATCTTGTGGCATGGCTTGTGGGTGTGGGAGTTCACTGAAGAGGGCCTCTGGGACAAGGTTTCCCAGAATCGGAATTTGCTTCGGGCAATGGACAGGCGACTACGAGCGAGCTTCATAAATCATATTCCAACCAGCTCTTTGGAGTTTCTGCAGGGAGCAGGGCAAGCGCTTGACCAGGTTTCGCTTGTCGTTGGCTGCTCCGTTTGGCTGCGGCGAATACGGCTTGTTCATTGCAAAGGCAATGAGTTCCTTCCTTGTGTACATTTGCCGGCCCGGGTATTCCGGCCTGGCTGTGAAACCATAGTTTCATAGATCATAAGCCATCAGATGAATCACAAGCTATCGTTCAGCTCATTTCAACAAGGGCGGCAGAATGACCTTGGCAGTCCAGTATCCCAAACGCAATAAATTTAGGTCGAGGGCCAAGCAATCAAAGTGTCATCCAGATACCAGTTGATCTGTTTCTCCTGGCACTCGTCAGACTCAGGCTGAAACATCCTGGAAACAACTGAATGATACCATCACACAACCCTCAGCCAGGTGTCCAACTGCTAATCATGCAGCAACTGATCTTATCCAAAATCAGGCATGCCAAGATTCTCATCAACTCACGCGATTGGCAAGGCATCCAGTTTCAACCAAGAAGGCCACACCAAAGAGCTTCGACAAACATGCTGGCGCCTGTTGTACGGCACACAAAAAAAGAAAAGGCCCACGCTGCACCTTGCCAATGGATGGGGTGAGCTGCCAATCCAAACCCTGGCAGCGGGGTGCTTGTATGTGCAAGCACGCAGAACACACATCGGCCTGATAAATTAGCACTTTGGTACACATCCGAGAGTCCTTGTTTATCTTCCCACATGGACGAAATACTTGAAACCGCTCTCCAGTGTGTTCTTCCTGTGTATCTGTGAGAATTGAGTCAAATAGATGTCCACTTGGATCTGACGGCCAACCGAAAGCAGCTCAGCAGTGCCTGGGACCTGGTCTTCCAACCCACCAACCTCAAGGGTTGCACGGCTCACGGCGCACATGGCCGCTGGAGAGCTTCCTGAGGTACCGGCAGGCCTCCATGCTGCCGGATCACCTCCTAAGTCCACCAAGTCTTCGAGTCTTCGGGATCCGAACCATCAAGACCTTCCATGAAGCTTCCACACCTTTGTCCTTGATTTGTCCCAACGCCGAGCCGGATAACTGATGGCAAAAGCTGACAACAGCTGCCGCTTGAAACCAACTGTTGCAGCCCATGTCTGCACTCGGCTGGTTGCGGGCAAGCCGCATTCATCTCCCTCCAACTTTTCCGACCCAGGCACGAGGTTGCTCCTGGCCGGACAGCACAAAAGACGTGGTGCGTAGACAACGCAACCAAAAAAGAACGTTTCAACTCCAGCGTACGTTTTCCGTAGCGCGCCTTCCCGAGGAAAGCTCCAAAAGCGCAAGACGGGCACAGCCTGGCTGGTGGGCCACTCGCGCGCAACGTTCGCGTTGTTATAAACATCAGGAAGATGTCGACAAAAAGGGGCCACCCCGATGGCCAAAAAAGTTGCCCGACGCCTGGCCGCGAACGGCACTGAAGGGCAGACTTGAAGCTTCACCGCTCACGTGGAAAACCCAATGGCCAAGCCGGGTTGCCTCGGCGAGCAAAGCTCTAGTTAGCGCTCGGCAGACCTGCCGCGCCTGCTCTGACGGCCTCGCGCGCCTTCGCGGGCAAGCGCCAAAAGCTCGCGGGGGCGCGGCTCGCGTTCCCGGTAGCCCGCTGCGGGCGAAGCCCAGCTGTCCAGACGGCTGGCGACGCCCAAACACCAAACGGGAAGGGCCAAAGCCGGACAAATGCCTTTTCAAGCCTGTCGTTGTAAAGAAGCCTGGAGTTGCGTCAAGATACACCCATCAGAAAGAAACTGAAATCCCGACTTTCTCGCCAAACTACGCGGGGCACAAAAAGCGGAGAAAAAAAACGAGCAACCCTGGCAAGTTAAAGGCTGCCCCAACTTTGACCTGATCCCAAGCCTTGGTGGCTCTTACACCAAACATTCCCTTTTTGGCATCGACCCGAACAATGAGCAAGCATGGCGGCTTGCCGCGCCTGCTCTGATGGCCCTCACGCGCCTTCGCGGGCGAGCCCCAAAAGCTCGCGGGGCGGCGGGGCCCGCGGCGCGCGTTTCTGGCGGGCCAAACAGAAAGGGCCAAAGCCCATCAGCGCGCGCGTGGGGCATCAACGATAGCCACCTTGGTCGTCATGTCCTCTTTCCACTCACCTCAGATTGCAGCAGGGCACAAGGAGGATGCATCCCCAGCATCATAAACCAAAAAACTAAACGAGCTGCATCCCCAGCATCACCAACCATTGCTGGTTCACCTCTTTCCGTCTCTAAGTCAAAGGGTGTCCGAGGTGGTCCCGTAAATTAGTGTAGTTTGAGATACCGCGCCCAAAAAGGTAGCCCTAAAAAACCTCCTGTAAGAGCTCTGACAAGTGCGTGAAGCCCGTTGTACAGAACCCTGGAGTTGTGTCTCTTGGCACTTTGCGGCCCCACACAGCCAATACCCATCAGAAGGAAAATGAAACCCAGGCTTCGTCACCTAAGGCCGCTTAGGCATATGGAGCTCTTGAACCCTCACAAGAAACCTGGAGAAAGCAGAAAGAAGCTATTCGCCCTGTGAGACCAACCACACCAGCTGCGAGAAAAAGTTGATCAACGGATCCCATCCCAGGCCTTGAAATGGCTGTGGTCCAAAATGGGGCAACCCCAAAATGGGTTGCCATGGTAAATGGAAAAGTAGACGAACACCTGCGTAATCAACCCTGGGTCTTGATTTTTGAGCACCTAGATAATTCCTACTGAAGCGTACACCCAACCCGACCAGAACACCCTCCTTTTGCCGCCCTTTGGGCATCTACGCTTTTTGAGAACCGTACGAACAGCACCACTGAGCTGCACTCTCTGCTGGAACCTATGGAACCTACACGCCCAACTTGGTGGACTTCAGGGTTGGCTCGCCACACTTTTAGTGGGCATTGATTGTTGCAGCAAACTTGCCTTTCAGATATTTGGAGCTTGTTTGGCAACCCCCGCTGGGCAAATGCTCTCCCCAACAGTCCAATTCCAATCGCTTATAAGCAACTTGCTTCTCGACTCCACTAGGCCGATTTGTCCGACGACTTTGCAAGCCTGCCCATTCGCGCCTCGATCATTCTCCATTTTCTCAACTGGTAAACCTGGATTTTCCAGCACGCCTGCCTGCAGGGATGGGCAGCTTGGCGACATCAGCACCATCAGGGTGTTGAACCTCGTGATCGAACAATCACGGCATGCACCGCGAGCTGCTGCTTGCCATGACATAATCTTGCAGCTTGAGGAGTACATTGCGTGTCAAAAGCTGCTCGCAAACCCTGGTTTCCTCCAGTGTACGTGTGTGTGTGTGTGTGGGTGTTGCGGGAGCCAATCATGTGCCATGAGATCCAGGTGAATCAACGCCTGGTTTGATAAGCATATCCACGCATCAAATTGCAAGAACGATGCAGGCTTCTTTCTGAAAATGACTTGATCCGCCACACCTGGAAGAGGTGAGCCTCTGCTTGATATCAGATGACAAAAAGAGCGGGAATACACATCGTCAGACCGCAGTTCCTTCTCAACACTGCGCGACAGTCTTGTGGCACAACCCTCTAGCTTTGCTGGTCAATGAAGTCAAATCCAAGCAGAGGGGCACTGCTGGCTCAGACATTGCCATCATAAAGATGCCGCTCTCGTATGCCTGCACCGTAGAGTGACTGACCGCTCTGCCTCTTTTCTCTGGGATTCTCCCGAAATCAACCTCTGAGGTTTGGGTTCGGCAAAGACAATGAGCTTCGGCACGCGACAGCTCACTCGGTGCCTTGCTGCGGAAGAAGAAGGCGGTCTTCTGCAGGTAGCGATTCCGCGCCACCACTTGCTCAGTTCGGGGGTCCAAAACCTCCGCGCAGAAGCGCTGGTAATGTGCTCCGGAAAGAACAGAGAAACCAAGAAGCACTCAACAGGTGGCATCTTTGATCCTCAACCCATGTGCCTCGCAAATGATCTTGCTCTCCTTCTTTTCCCTCGGCAGGAAGCTAATTGATGGGTACAGTCGAGTACAGCTGGCTGGAGAGCAAGTGTGAGTCACATGTCAGAACCCTGGGGCTGCAACAGCGCTTCCTTTGTTAAGCCACGCCCCTCAACAAGCTCGAAAGCCTGCCGCGGGCCGGCCTGCACGTGGCAGCTGCAGAGATGGCTTTATCTCAACGCGGCCCAGCTGAAGGCTGAAGCTCAACCAGTTAGTTGAACCGTCGCACCAAGCAAAAGATGCAAAACGATACTAGCAGACCAGTAGGCCTGCCCTTGAAAGCCCACACACTTGCTTCAAAGGCAATCATTGGCGCACCTTCACTTCTCCTTCAAACGATTCATCTCTGGATTCCAAGATGTCGGCAATTACCTGCAGCAATCCACCAGTCCAACAATTCCACCCAGTTAAAGCAATGCTGGCAGATACAAGCACCAGCACCATACATGTTGACCAATTCTATTGCAAACCATGTTGTAAACACAGCTTTTTATGGACACCTTGCTTCCGTGAAAACTTGTCAAGATCTCAAGTCTACTCCGGAACTCCTGGCAGACTAAGCACGACACCAACAGCGAGGCTAAGCATGCTGAATCCTTGGAGCGCAAAATGTATCAGGCGAAAAGCAGAAGACTTGCAAGGCCCTTTTTTTGGCTGTCGCCAGCTTCCCTCAAGCTTCTTTCTTTACAAGCACTCGGGATTCGATCGGCAAATCCGGATGCTGGGTCACTGGCGCTTGTCAGTGAATCATCGCCTTTGGCAAATCCACAGAGGATAGTTCAAGTGGAGGGGGAATTAATCCTTCCCATAGCCTCCATGCACACGTTTCTCACAGTCAACATGCCCCTGGGGTCCGCACCTACCTCATCATCTTCCGCCATCTGAGCAGAGCAAATGTGCCCGATGTAACTCCATCCGGTGCATCTCGCGTTCACAATGTGTCCAATGCATGTAATGCATCCGTGCAATGCATCCATTGCCTTGAACAAATCCCATGCATCTGTTTGAGGCATTCAATGCTTTCAGTGCATCCACGCATCTGTGTGCCCAATTTGTCCAACGTGTTTGATATATGCAATGTGCTCAGTGCATTCCATTCGTGCCATGCGTCTGATGCATCTACTATACGCAATGCGCCCAATGCGTCCAGTGCGTCTAACTCATCCAATGCAGGGATTGCATCCAGCCAGATGTGTCTACTGTGTCCAGTGCACCCAATTCGCCTAGGCCCAATGCATCAGCATCCGGCCTCCAACTCTCCGTCATCTGCACTCTGGGAGCGCAACTGGGCAAGGATGAGGATTGCGCTGGCCTTCAAACGTCTGACATCTTTCACGCAGACACATCTTGGTCTAGGCATCTCAGGGTACATCGCAGCCTGACCAATTGCCCACTGATGACTTTGCCGAGAGATGTCACTTTCGTGACTGAAGACTATTGACCAGATTGCACAAGCCATCTGGACTCCCAGCTTAACAAGTCCCATCCCCCCCATACGAAACACAATGCTTGGAGCTGGCCAGGCCTGATCCTCCCTTCCACCCTGAGCCCTGTGGCCTTGTCTAGAGGTAGCATGCGCAGCATCCTGGCAGAGGTCCGCGGTCCGTAGTAGTGCTTCAACACCTGAGTAAAGCAATTCAGGCAACGGGGTGGCACACTTGGGTACTTCCCGCTGCAAACTTGCGCAGGTCTGTTCGTTGGAACCGCTCAGAACAACTTCGCTCATTTATAGCCCTGGCTTCCCGTCTGCTGCAAACACACAAGCAAGCGTTTAGGCAGGCAGGCAGGCAGGCAGGCAGGCAGGCAGGCAGGCAGGCAGGCAAAAGCAGGCGGAGCAGCCGGTAGGTGGGGCAGGTACGTGGCCTTGCCTGACACGACAAACAAACAGAACACAACCAATCAACCCACCCGCCGACTAAGCAACCAACGCACCCACCCACCACCCATTCAAAGAATAAACTAAGCAAGAACACAAATAAAACTCTACCAACACAAAAAAGTTGGAACAAACAAACAATCTAACAACCCAATAAGCACAAACCGACCGACCAACGACCGACCAGCCACCAACCAACCGACCAACCGACCGACCAACCCACCAACCGACCAACCGAGCGACCAACCGACCAACCGACCAACCGAGCAACCAAACAAACAACAAACAAACAAACAAACAAACAAACAAACAAACAAACAAACAAGCAAACAAGCAAGCAAATCTGCAGACAGCGCATGAACAACCAAAACACTAATGCAAGTAACCAGAAAAAACAATGACCCAACAAGGCCCAAACAAACCTCAGCAATCAATGACAAAGAAAGACAAGCAACAACTGTCAAGGCTGATGACGCAAGAGCCAGGAACAGCACCTGCTACAAAACAACTGCCATTTGTCTGCTCCTCTTTACTTTCATGTTGTTCACGAACAAAAATCTTCTGATTGCAAGCCGGGGCACAATGTTCTGCAGTTCCCGCTGGCCTGCCAAAATGGTTGTCAGGGCACACAAGCAATGTATCCATGGGCTGACATGGTGAAATGAGGGGCTCTCTATCCATCAACAGTTCTTGCCCAATAAGCGGATTGGCAGCTTCCCGTTTCATCTTTTGACACCGGCACGTTGCCTTTGGAAAGCGCGTCGCGCTGCTCTTTCGTCCGCTCGGACAGCACATGCACCTCGGTACCTGAGTTCTGGCGATAGGTTGGCGCGCGGATGTCTTCTGGGGTTCAAGGTAACCGGAGCCAACTAGCGAATGCCCCAGCCAATGGGTCTGATGCAGCATTCGGTGATACAGCCGAACATCTGCGATACAGTGAAATACAGAAAGCCGACATCATCGCGCCTTACAGTTCCATTCTAATCTCATTGGATCATTAAGTTGGACAGGAACCTATTAAAACGGACATAATGCGTGAAGCCTGCGCACGGCAGCAATGGTGCAAATCGACAGCCAGCTTTCTCTCAGCTAACTTCCTCCCCAAATCTCCGCTCAGTCTGCGGCCCTTTGGAACCTTCTCATCCAGCAGCGCAAGGATGTCGCCGAAATCTGCCAAGCTCTGTACCGTACAAAAAGATGTTTTAAGGAAACGCTCAAATATCCACAAAGCAGAATCGTCACACGGATGCTCTGTACCTGAGTGTTCACTGTTGTCAGAACCGGCACACGTTGTAGGGTCAGTACAAACGATAAACCTGGTTCTCAAGCTGTGTTCCTTTTTGTGTCGGCAGTTTTCCAGGCTGGCTTCCTAGAAATACTGCTTACATTGAAATGGACTATTGATGAACGATTCGACTTCCTCCTCATATGATGGCGAAAACAAACACCAGGCTTGGATATTCTCTTTCGCCAGCTCTCACTTGCCTTCGTGACGAGTGCCCGAACCCTCGACTGCAAACTGGGTCTCGACAGCCCACCCTTTCTTCGAAGTAGTCTCTGCACGGTTTGGAGCGCCTGGGAAAGAACTGAAACAACCTGCTCCTCCGTGAGTAAGAAAATGGTGGTTGCGCTTCTTTCTGAGTTACGCTGGTGCTCTTGTTCCTGCAATTCATGCTCTTTGGCCAATTGGGTCGACAAACCGCCAATTGAATTGCAAAGAACATGTTGGTCAAGAGACAGTAAAGGTAGATTTTGGTTGGCTTAGGATAGATGTTTGGTTTGCTGTGGGTAGGATTTATGGTTGCTGTGCAAATGGCGGACGGACTGTTCAGGTGGGCATAGGGATACAGGCTGAGCTAGGACCTTTTTCTAGGATTGATTCGTGGCGTTGAGCTGGTACTGTAGGACTTGGCTGTGGGTCAAACCCTGTACCCCTGGTGAACATCAAAATAGGTGGTACATGGGTGTCCGGCATAGGTCTTGACCCACCACTTGTTTTGGTGCGACTGGGCTGGGCGTCGGAAAGCTGGGAGTTAGGTCTTGGGATGGCGGGAGCTGGTGGCGGAAGTGCAGAACGCCGTGAGCGAAACACGAAGCGCAGAAAAGCAAAGGCCAAGCTCCAACGACCCAAAGCCCAGCCTCGAAGCCAAACGAAGCCAAACGAAACAAGATACCAAACATTCAACGCCCAAGCAGAGAGAACAAACCTCAAACGAAGAATTAAAGAGGAACAAACAACATGCACGAAAAGGAAACACTGTTTTGCCATCCCTTTGCGCTAGGTGCAAACCGAATTGTCCCTTTTCTTGGCGGCAAGCTCTCGCCGAGTGCAGAGTGTCCCGCCTGCAGGCCATCCAACAGCAGCGTAGAGCTGAGTCTTGTGCTGTGACGATACCGGAAACTCCTCCCAGGAAAAGGTGACTACACCAACAACCTCCAGCTGTCACTGGCAAGACTCCAGTAGCAAATAGAAATGATAAGCTTCATTTCTGCACCAATGAACAAACTTGATCATGGTTCTTATCCAGTGCCACGACCCTTGATTTGGTGGACAGCATTCACACCTTGAGGGGGAAAGAACTAAACTAGGTTTCAGAAAACATCTAAATAATACAACACTAAGGATAAGAAGGTTTGAGAAAGAGGCTGGCACTGGAGCAAACTCATTGAGGATTCGCAACTTCGAGAAACAACTTCATCTGAATGTCTCGACATCAAGGATGCGGATACCTGCAAAATGAGTGTGTGTTGCTACAGTAATGACGACCAACACAAGACCTCAAATTGGGAGCAATCCTCGGAAGACCCAAACATCAGAAGAAAGCACTTGACGAGGGATACGAGGGTAAGGGCAGGAAGCAATCACACCAACCGCACGGAAACACTCTTATCTTTTCACTAGCTGCCAAATGCGGGAAGCGCATCACAAATGAAGCTGGAAAAGCTGGATTGCTTAGAAATTGAGAGCACGGAATCTACAGGAGCCTTGTTCAATCATCAGTGCTCTTACACGCCATGGACCACCCGTCATTAGCAATTTGCTGCCTGTCATTCAACACGAAACAAAGTAGTCCAGGAGGTCCAATGCTCAAGCCAACTTGATCCGCAAAGAGTCATCAAGAGGTACAATAACATGCAAAGCTGAATTCCCTCAAAAGCATTGCCTCAAAAGAGTCATGCGAGCCCAATCGGCTTGTGAGGAAGCGGAAGCACAGATTTGAGGGCTGCGGAAGCCCAACAAGAGTGTGGATTCAAGCCAGTAGGTGATCCTGTTTTTAGCCTGTAGAACCGATTCTCTCCTCAACCGAACTTCCGCCCTCGCAGAACTCATATGAAAGATTTGGCTTTTTGCTTGTCTTTTCTATTTTCTTAGTTGCATTCAAGGATTTATCCCGTGGACGAGAGAGGGATGACGAACGAAGGAACGGGTTAATCCTCATTCCTCATCTCTTCGTCATTCACTTTGTCCTTGCATTTGAGGATTCTCTCCCTTGACCGTTAGCTCGGAGAATCCTCAACAGACAGAAATAGACTGAGAGGTGAGGGAGATGAAAGAAGCAAGCCATCTCCTCACCAATCAATGTCCTTTTCTCTTGTCCATTCGTTAATCCTTTCTGTAATAGCGGTTCATCTCTGAGATTTCCCATCACTTTTCATAATTCCTTGACTGCCTTGTGTCCTATCTGTTCCTGAAGATATCCTCAAATACAGATAAGAAAGGGGGGATATTTCTCTTGATGACAGTCTATCATTTATCTTCAAGAATCTAGATGAGATGATAGACGACAGAAAGGAGGAAGGAATCCCATCGCCCATTCCCAGTCCTCTCTTCGTTCGGGAGTGAAAGGAGAAGGGAGAAAGAGTGGGTGGTTTCCTTCGTCCATCACTTCACTCTTGATCAAGTTCTGGTCCTTTTCATCTCTTGGATAATTGCTTGACTGCCAATGAAGGATATCCCAAACACAAGAAAGAAGTAAATAATCATCCAAAAGCATTCTATATTAATATCTGATATGCTTTTTGTCCTTTCCCTTCCATCTCTTTCTTATCATCTCCTTTTCATTTTGGATGTGGTTCCTAATCCAAAATGAGATGATAAAAGAGAAAAAAGAGTGCTGTGTCTATAGGTGAGTCTCTTGACCTGGCTATTTCCTTCGTTCATGAGATTTATTATTGGCAGCTCCCATCTTCATCCTCATGTCACCTTCATTCACATCCTAAAGTAATTTGTAGATGGATGTGGATAAAGAATGACATTCCTTTCCTCTTCTTTTCCTTGCATTTGAGGATTCTCTCCCTTGACCGTTAGCTTCAGAACCTGACCATGAGACGGTTAAAGATATGAAAAGAGAAAGATGTCAATAAAGGAATCTCATGAACGAAGGACATAATTATGAATGAAAAGATGTCCTCCCATTCACTTCGTTCACTCTTGGCCACGTGCCTGCTAGCTCAGAATTGGAACCAGATGCCTGGTGGGTGGGCTGTGATCAAAAGCTGTGATTTTAACGCCGCCTCACAAGAGAATTTGGTTTGCGATCGATTTACCATTCTGGAAGAAAAAGTCGGCCAAGGCTGCGAAGAAGGCGGCTAGGATGGGCTGAATGAGCACCTTCGTCGCCAGCGTCCTGCTGTCAGAAGGTATCCTACCAAGTGTTCCTATGTCTTGCAGGTGTACACAGCGGTGAACCGCGACATCGTGCATGGCACGAAAACTGGCAAATGTTGGATGGCTCTGAACTTCCTACTGTTCCCCAGGCACGGCCTTTCTCCGAAATTCACAAGCGCACTTTTTTTGCGCTGATTGTGCCTGCGCATGCGACGACGTGGGCCCATGTTGCACTACGGAGGATATGCCGTTGCAGAGTCGGCTGCAGAGATTGCAACACATGGACGCAGAAGTGGGTCTTCTGTCCGCAGCCAGAATTGGCGCTGGTTGGTGTCACCATGAAGGAGTTCGCTGTGTGGCTGGTGGAGCAACACTATCGGCACATTCCTGGAAATTGATTTGCGTTCACACTTCTATGCAGTGGACTCGCTGTTCAAGGCCGATGCGACCTGGCACAAGCTCCTTGGTAAGAAGTACAAGGAGGTGTCCCCGGCGCCAGAGACGTCACAATTTGAACTCCACGTCATGGAGGTCGGTCAACCTGTGGGCATTCACGAACGGAGCTCCGGACATGAGGAAAAGCCAAGCCCAAGCCATCGCGAGCGAAAATTGCGCAGACTTACGGCGGATTGAACTGAAGAGGCCGCAAGGCGGGGTCAAGCGTCGTTGGATGCAAAAATGCCTGATGTGTCCAGACCCTGAAGCTGCAAGACTTCGCATCCGGCTGCGATTTGGCCAGTCTGCCAGCCACTGGTCTCCAATAACTATGATCAGGCTGTCTGGCACCTTCCGCATGGGTTGCAACGAACGAGCCAGCGGCTCCATTCTTCGGGAGCCGCTTGCCTTGAAATTAGCTTGACCCATACCCTAAGTGCCCAAGCTGGGCGCGAGATCCGTCAGGCGTCCGCGCGACGTAGAGCAATATTGACTTTCAAAGCACGATCTAGAACCACTTTCGTGTTATGCACAAACAAAAAGCACTAGTTGTGGGCCTCTCAGAAGACTACATTGTGGTCAGTGGTCAGAAACTAACGCCAGGCACCACAATTATTTTAACAAACAATATCGCGTACAAGCCATGTGGGTCCACCACCGTGGTGCCGTTTTGGGTTTTCAGTGCACCACCCATTTTAGGCTGTTTTCGTGGTTGGATTGAATCGGGTGTTCACTGGGGGTACGGGCTTTGGATGTTGACCCATGGCCATGTATAAAGTAACATGCACCTGGACACACAGTCTCTCACACACACACACACACACACATTGCCGGCCTCCAGAGGAGGCAATATTTCTGCAGCTGGCTCCTTGATGAAGATTGACCTATTGCCTTAGTGCAACCCAGGCTACGGCACAAAGCTTCGAAGAACCAGACAGTTAGAATCCGGATTCAAACGCATGCCTTGGATGGACAAGCCATCTCTCTAGATGATGCATTCTTCTTCAGGGATGTGGTTAATTCAGTGTAAGGCCACTCAAGTTCAAAAAAAAGGAGAAAAAAGGAAAAAAGAAGAGGAAACAGAACCAGGCTGCGAACAGCTGAGAAAAAAAATGGCTCCGGCAGGCTGCCAGGCATCAAGGTCGTGGGCAAGACCTCTGCCTTGCCGCTGCGGAAGTGCCACAAAGAGCCCATGTACAGCTGGACGTCCTGCCAATTCCATCGATTCCGCTGAATCTGGCGAGATGTCCGCCGATTCTTTCTGGGAGGTGACGAAACCAATCCACACCAGCACTCTCCCAAGTTCTTTTGTTTTCCGACACGAATGTTTGCAACTTGAGCCTCTCCCCGCGCTTCAAATTCTGAGGAACCGCCCAGAAACTGTGTCAGAAAGAATCGTCCCAGCCTGCCAGCATGACGCCATCACCAGGATTCTCTCCCCATCCTCAAACCAAGCGAGTCACAATCAAAACCTGGTACAAACATGGTGAACCCCGGATGAAAATCACGTGGTCCTGGTGGATTCTTAGGGTTCCCAAAGTGAGTCACAATCAAAACCGATCGGTACCAAAAATGGTGAACCCGGAACCATGCTTTCAAGAATTAGAAAGGCGGATATCCGCAACTGTTTCCGGCTGGGACTGCCCCTTACTAACCTTCATCAATCCCCGAATCGGTTTTGAGCACGTGGCTCAAGTGCAGAATCCGGCGCCACTCTCGGCGCGGAGCTGAGAGTGGAACCGTCAAGGGCCTGGTGTCCTTGGGAGCCAGCTCGATGCGCGTGTTGTGCGCGCCGGCCACGGCTTCTTTGGCCTGCGTTCAGTCCGGCAACTGGCCATGGGGCAAAATCCAAATCGGTTAGCCCCCAGTGAACATCCGATTCAATCCAACCACCAAAATAGTTTCTAAAATGGGTGGTGCACCGAAAACCCCAAGACGGGATCGATCCCATTGGTTTTGACCCACAGCCAACTCACTCAGCACAACTCGTAGCCAGCGCACTCGCAACCAGCCCCGAGCTCGGGCGCATCCCGTGAAATAAAATTCGCGCACAGACCGATCAGCCCAAGACCAAATTGGGATGCCTGCACACCGATGCAGACTGCTTTGTCGAAGGCCCGGCACGCGTCGCTGAAGTTCAGCCAGGTCTCCTGTTTATCCACCACCTGAGATTTGTACCCGAGTCGATGCTCAACGGAACCGCTGGAATTGGACTTGGCTTTGATTCCCATGCAGCTCATCGACTCATCCGCAGCTTTTGACCCAGAATCTGCGCAAAGACCTGGACAAAAGGGTCGTGCCGAGGCTCATAGAGCTCGTCACCCGCGGCAAAGGAGCAAAGATCCGCTAGGCAGCGACCTGCGCCAATCTGCGCCAGGAGTCTCTCGCAAGCCGCAAGCCGCGGACGCCTACGAGCTGGTCAGTGGCGAGCAAGGACAAGATGTGATTGCACGCAGCACGAGCGTGGATCACCTGGCGGCTCACTGGATGTCCCGGTCACCTATTCATTTTGACAGAACAAATGCAAGCCTGGCGATTCACTCAACCCCTGCGAGATCCAACAAATCCGCAAATGGGCAAAATATTGGATCAACTAGTGCACCAGGCAAAAGAAAAGAGCAGGAACTTTCCGTTTGGGCGACCAAGTGCTCCATGCTCAAACTTGATGCTCAAACCTTTGGGGGTGGCATCTCCCATCAAGCGCCTGGCAGCTAGGATGCAAGCGCTTCAGAACTGCGCCCACTTCGTGGACCTGCACCTGGCAGATGGAAGCCGCCAGGACTCAAACGAAGGTGTCGAGTAATCGAGGGAAAGGGACTGCTCAGCCTGCGAAGGTTCCTAGGAGTCAGCAAAGAGCAATTGAGAGACTTGCAAGCGAGGATTCTGAAACTACCCTCAGCATCGCAACAGACTTGCTCATTCCCATCGCAGTACATGAATTGCACGCAGTGCGTTGCTGATTCACTCTCAAATGGCTGCGTCCTCGCGTCATCATGTGTTTTTCGTTTGCTTAGATAGCACAACTGTCAACTAACGGCCCCGGGCCCCAGATAATTAGAGAATGGGCTATCGGACTTTAGAACTGAGTTCAGTCATAGGATGAAAATATTTAGCCCCGTATGTTCCAGTCCCCCCAAGAGTTGGGACATATATCCTTATTGTTTTGAGGACGCCGGTAAACCGTGTTTTAGGATGAAACCACTTGAGCCTCCAAGCTGGGCTCCGGCAAACTTGGTGCCTCCGGGTTTCCTCCGAAAAGCTGCCCGGTGTAATTAGTCCACCCCTGTGTGCCCAATAATTTTGTGGACAAACCTCTAAGATGCTTGTTTGTCGCTCGCTCCTTTTTGTTGGTCTCTGTGTGTGGGTGTGTCTGTTTGGGGGGGGGGGGTGTTGAAACGTCACCTTGTTGGCCAGCTTGAATTGTGAGTCTCCCTAGTTGTAGGTAGGCTTCCCTTGAACTAGTCCCCATCCTTTTTCGTTGGGCTTTCCCGACATGTCACCCGCTGAAACCTTGGTTCCCCCAGCTAGTAACCACCGCCTATTTGCTTGCTGGTGCTCAGAGAATGAGGGAATCAGCCTTATATACCATTCCTAGTTTTTAGGGGAATCCCTGGGTTCATTCCAGCACTACCTGTCGCACCTGACAATTTGGTGGCTGTGCCATGGCCTCCGAAAAGATTCGACCGCGCACTGGCTGGCGCAAGGAGGACAGCGCCACCATGATCCGCACCTTGAAAGAAACTGCCAGCAGTCCCCCTGGCGCTTGACCACTTCGATACCGTGATACACATGGTGCCGCTCTGGCACTTGGAATATTAGGATCATTTCACGTTTGATTCAAAGCGGGTGTCCGTTCCCATGATGTTGTTTTCAATGTTGCAAGTAGAAATGGAATTCAAAAAGGGAAGGATTCTAGTAGAATGTCTAGTTGCAAAGATAGTCTAAATAGGATGTCTTTCTTGAAGAGGATGTTGATTTGGATTTAATTCGAATTACTGTTTCAAAATGGTTTTTACAGGGAGGTCCTTTCCCAAAGAAGTTGTTCAATTTCTAAGCGGAATCTAAATGGAACTCAGTAAGGAAATCATTAATTTCAGTAAGGAAATAGTTCTAATAAAATGAATGCCTTCAAAAGAAGAGAAATTAGTTGTCCCTCAATTGTTCTATCTGTGTCTGATCCCGTGAAAGGGTGTTCCAATTCCAAGGATGTGCACAGAAATTGCAAATTGTGTGGTAATTCTAACGGTCTCATTTATTCATATATATATATATATGTAGTCATATATGTATCTACCTGTCCTGATTTATTCTAGCTGGGTTTTTGGTGATCAACGAAGTTGTTCTTTCGTCTGTCTGACGAGCGGACGGAGTAAGTGTTATTTTATCTGTTAGATGTTACTATGTACTGTGTATGACACTGTGTATGTAAATATTCAAATCCCGCCCCCGATTGCCAAAGGCCACCATTTTTGGAAGTGGTCCTTCTTCCTTCGTACTAAAATGCCTAAACCGCACAGCGACCAAAGTTTGACTGCACTCAACTCAGGCTAACACAACCAGATTTCGACCTAAAATCAGGATCAATCGACGTCTTGCCCTTCTCTAGTAAGGTTCAGGCCGTCTCAAGATCGGCGCTGCGAGGATCTCCATCTCGGCTGAGGATAATGATATCCTCACTGGAGCATGTCGCAGCTATTCTCGACGGGTGTAGGAATGTCAAAAACCATTCGCCAGCGGGAAAAAAAGAAAAGAAAAAACAGATGGGGGCTCCTGAGCTGCGCTGGCACCAGATCTCTCCAAGGAGTCGCTCTCGTGCGTGATACCCTCTCGCAGCGTCAGGGCTTTGAGCATTCGCCAGCGCCTGACTGTGAGCTGCATGTCTGGCTTGCCCCATGGGGTGCGCAAGCATGAATCCTGCTCCCAGTGCTTTGGTCCTCTGTGTCGAAACTGAGGTGATCAGTTTCAACAAATCGGTGACTGGAAGCTGCACGAGTCTAAGGTCTGAGGTGCTGTGGGGGTTCTACTAGACATGAAGCCCTCTCGATAGAGCAAGCCAGTGTGCAAGTGACGACTGCGCCACAGAAAGACAGCGCCCTTCGGCTTTCAAACTTCAACATCTTTGTTTGAATACTTACATGCACTAAATGGCCATGGGTCAAAATCCAAATCGTACCCCCAGTGAACAGCCGATTCAATCCAACCACTAAAATAGGTTCTAAATGGGTGGTGAATTCACCTGCCCCAAAATCGTACCATTGGTTTTCACCCACAGCCAAATTACCGTTGGAGACACAGCGTGCCCTCACCCGCCGCGCCTGTCAAAGAAGTACAGCTTCTCCCACAGAGAATAGAAATATGTTGTGATCTCTTGACGCATCTCTGCCTCTTCCCGGTCCGCCAGCACAACCACTGGATATCTCTTGCCATTTGAGTTCATTGCTTCGAAGAGCTCATTGATCAGGTAGAGAGTTTTCTCGCTCCAGCCCAAAATAAGAACGTGATTTCGGGACCAAACGCGGCTTCTGGTCTTTGTCCACTGGTCCATTGAAGATCGAATCCACTCCACCTGGGGCAAATGAAAACCGGCTCTCGTAGTTTTGCCTTTTCTCTCTCTACCTTGCATGCACGATGGAACTGGGCCGAGAGCAATAATGCCAAGAAATGTCCTTGGCCAGCAGAAACGGAATGCGTCTTCAGTGCAACGGGTGGTCAAAAAGAAAAGAAAAGAAATCAGCATCGCGTCAAAAAGGCGTAGAGTGAGATTGACTGCAAAGAAATAAAAAACTTGCAGCTTGGAGGCAGATTGTATAGAAATCCCAGCACGGAGAAGATCAAGGCGGTGAACTTCACTTTCAAGGCAGCATCTGCACTAACGCCTCCGCACGTTTCAACCGAAGATCATGGGCTGGTAAGAAGAGAAAACAAAAGTGCACACTGTCTGCCTCACATTCGCCACTGCAGCAAACCGACCGCCTGTCTGCGTGCCAGGGTCAAAGAACAGGCCCCAAGATATCCACAAACTTTGCTCCCAGGAAGAATCCGCATTCTCGTCGCCGCCGATGGCAGACCATGCCGCCTCAGGTGTCCAGAGTACAATGGGACACCTGAGAAGGTGCTCAAAGCAACCAATCTGCGCAGTCCAGCAAGCAACACCACTCCAAATCATGGGTGTGATTGTTTTGTTTCCCAAAAAACATCCTCGCAACACCACTCACAGCTCACATTCTACTCAAAAAACCACGAAACTGGCTGTGAGATGTGCTGTGGCCCAAGTCGCAGAGCCAGAGAGGATGAGGACAACGGCTCCAACCTCAGGATTATTAATCGTCCATATGTCCCTTTGAATCCATGGACTATGCTATCCGTCGTAACATGCATCTTCTGTATCTCTCCATGCTCGAATTGTCGACTTGGCAAACGTTTGCGCCTGTCGAGGCCCAAGCCATTAGAGACACAAGCTGACCTTGTGCGTCACCTTGAAGCCAATCCCGCCTTAGCAAAGCAAACGCCTGGACTTTCGCAATATCGAAGGTTTTCCGCATCATCCTGTGCAAACCATCGTAATGATTTGTGCTAGTGGTTGTGGGAGTAATCATGTTGCATGTATCGGTTGGGTCATCATCAAAGAAGAAGAAGAAGAAGAAGAACTGCAGTGGACCAAACGTCGAGGGAAATCGGTGTTCTCGTGATCAGATCGGATGGGCCGACTCAAAAGCCTTGAGAAAGGTCGGCTTAAATCAAGGCCTCGGAGCCATTTGGAAACCACGGAAAAGACACAGCAGGATGTTCAACTCAACCTTGGAGAAGTGGTGCTATATACCGGCGTCAAAGAGTAAACATTGTCTGGGTTTGGGCAAATTAAAAGATGACTACACCTGGAAACTCAAATCACAGAGGGCAAAACATTCAACCACTCAACAGGTTAGGTTGTAGGTCGTACTGCGCACCCAATCAGAGAGTAAGCCTCCCACCATCTTGAGAAGGAAACCCACGTCTGGAAGGCTTCTGGCACAAGTGAACAAATGCATGTCCGGCTCTTTCAAGCGGCACTTGTGTTTGCTGCAATCCCAACATGCGCCTCTCAGGCTGCAGCAGCAGCAGCAGCAGCAGCAGCAGCAACGAGTTCGACGTCTTCTTGGAGCCCAAAAGCTTTGGCCTACGACTTGTGGGCAGTCTGTTCACCCACGTCTCTGGTTACCCTCTGGCCCTATACATTACCTGTTACCACATAAACAGAGTTGTGTGGGATGGGCAAATGTTCGATCTACAGCAAGTGCGGAAGCCTGCATGTTTCTTGCTGCGCACATGGGTGCCAACGACAACCGGCCTGAGTGAAGTTCGGACGTAGATATTTCCTGCCATCAGGTTAATGTCAAGTCGATTTGGCCGATGTAACTGCTTCGCTTGCACACCGTCGGACTCAGAGAATGCCCACAGCCTTCCACGCCCCTTTGATCTCCGCCATCAACACCTTGGACTGCATGAACAAGCAAACCCAAACTGTTTCCAGCGCTGAAGGCCGCGGACCTCTGGCATGTTTACCGAGCATCCATCAGCTGCACATGTTTGTCTTGTGCAGTTTGTAACAAGTTGGTCCTATCAGCACCAATTGCAGGCAATACCACTTGTACGACAAGGTTTATAAACCAAGCGCGCTGTCTCGTAGCTGAATGGGCTTGAACAATGCATCATCCTTGCACACAAGTCACGAGAAGCACTAAAAAGGTTGTTGCGTGCATTTGTGAAAATTGACCTGCATGCGTTTCTGAGGGAAGCGTTTGACATGCAAAGTAGGACAGCGGCACACTTCTTCCCGCGCAGAAGGCTGTAACGAGGCGTTCTATGCGTTGGCCAACCAGGATGCACAGCATTGCAATCTGCTGCATCCTCATCACCTGACTAGTCCCCAGCTATCAGCCCAATGCGCTGTAGAAACCATCCTCACAAAAAGGCAAACACTCGAGCGCAAGAGCGGAGTGGCAGGAACCATAGCTCCTCAAAGTGGACGTTGAACCCGGCCAAAGTGAACGAACAAATGAAAGCATGGCGAATCAAAGCGACCACGTTCTAGACGCGCCCGTGGCTCCGAAAGCTGGAACAGCAGCAGGACCAGCTGGGCAATATGACAACCATCAGGCCTCCACAGCCTGTACATCCCCCACTCGTAAGGGGTGGGGACCTGGAGTATGCACTCTCGAAATCCCCATTTGCGCCTTGGAAATCCCGAACTTCCGTAACTGCGCCTCTTTGTGTTTGGACGGTGCCCTCTTTAAAGAGAGGTGGTTGGTTGGTTGTTTGGTTGTTTGGTTGGTTGGTCGCGACTCCGAGCAAGACATATGAATCACCATTTCGGTTGATGAGCCAACACGCCAGAGCTAGTGTGTGTGTGTGTGTGTGTGTGTGTGTGTGTGTGTGTGTGTGTGTGTGTGTGTGTGTGTGTGTGTGTGTGTGTGTGTGTGTGTGTGTGTGTGTGTGTGTGTGTGTGTGTGTGTGTGTGTGTGTGTGTGTGTGTGTGTGTGTGTGTGTGTGTGTGTGTGTGTGTGTGTGTGTGTGTGTGTGTGTGTGTGTGTGTGTGTGTGTGTGTGTGTGTGTGTGTGTGTGTGTGTGTGTGTGTGTGTGTGTGTGTGTGTGTGTGTGTGTGTGTGTGTGTGTGTGTGTGTGTGTGTGTGTGTGTGTGTGTGTGTGTGTGTGTGTGTGTGTGTGTGTGTTGGGTGTGTGTGTGTGTGTGTGTGTGTGTGTGTGTGTGTGTGTGTGTGTGTGTGTGTGTGTGTGTGTGTGTGTGTGTGTGTGTGTGTGTGTGTGTGTGTGTGTTGTGTGTGTGTGTGTGTGTGTGTGTGTGTGTGTGTGTGTGTGTGTGTGTGTGTGTGTGTGTGTGTGTGTGTGTGTGTGTGTGTGTGTGTGTGTGTGTGTGTGTGTGTGTGTGTGTGTGTGTGTGTGTGTGTGTGTGTGTGTGTGAGTGTGTGTGTGTGTGTGTGTGTGTGTGTGTGTGTGTGTGTGTGTGTGTGTGTGTGTGTGTGTGTGTGTGTGTGTGTGTGTGTGTGTGTGTGTGTGTGTGTGTGTGTGTGTGTGGGTGTGTGTGTGTGTGTGTGTGTGTGTGTGTGTGTGTGTGTGTGTGTGTGTGTGTGTGTGTGTGTGTGTGTGTGTGTGTGTGTGTGTGTGTGTGTGTGTGTGTGTGTGTGTGTGTGTGTGTGTGTGTGTGTGTGTGTGTGTGTGTGTGTGTGTGTTGTGTGTGTGTGTGGTGTGTGTGGTGTGGTGTGTGTGTGTGTGTGTGTGTGTGTGTGTGTGTGTGTGTGTGTGTGTGTGTGTGTGTGTGTGTGTGTGTGTGTGTGTGTGTGTGTGTGTGTGTGTGTGTGTGTGTGTGTGTGTGTGTGTGTGTGTGTGTGTGTGTGTGTGTGTGTGTGTGTGTGTGTGTGTGTGTGTGTGTGTGTGTGTGTGTGGTGTGTGTGTGTGTGTGTGTGTGTGTGTGTGTGTGTGTGTGTGTGTGTGTGTGTGTGTGTGTGTGTGTGTGTGTGTGTGTGTGTGTGTGTGTGTGTGTGTGTGTGTGTGTGTGTGTGTGTGTGTGTGTGTGTGTGTGTGTGTGTGCTGCGCAATAGACCTTGACAGAAAAACCGTCCGCGACAGGCCGCGATCTGGCCCCGATCCAGCCAAAATAACAATGATTTCGGCGGTGGAAATGTCTCGTCGCCATTGTGTGCCAACTCTGCTGTTGGCCGCGGGGCGTAGGCGGATTTGCCAGCCCGTCAACGGATGTTTTGAGGGTTCCAAGAATCTGCTTCTGGACGCGGGGCGTAAGCGAATTTGTCCGAAAGCACTGAGCGCCCGCACAGCGATGCAGATAGCACACGCGGAGACAGGCGGCATTCCACATCCTCGGCGCGACACTTCAATAGCCAGGGCACAGCGCGGCTGTCAACACCGCAGGCCCAGGCACAGTTTCCAACCAGGCCGTTTCCAACCACGCGTGCGCAGCTGTCAACAGACCGGGACAGCTTGCAACGCGCGCAGCCCATCAACCTGCAGAGCTGTCAACAGCCCAGGCACAGGGCGCAACGGCCCAGGCGCAGCTGTCAACATCCGAGGCACAGCAGGCAACCGCCAACCAAAGCGAGCAACCGCCCAGCCACGGCCGTCGACATCCCATCACTAGTCAACAGCCCAGGCCAAGTTTTCAACAGCCACCGCGATCAACATCCCAGCTTTCAGCATCCCAGGCACAGCAGACAACCGCCAACCAAAGCGAGCAACGGACATGCCAAGCTTTCACTAGCCAAGGCACCGCAGTCAATTTCAACAGCCCAGACGCAGCTTCAACTGCCCAGGCACAGCATTCAACATACCGGGCATGGCCTGCAAAGATGCACGCCTTAAAATGCGCAAAGCCAAAACGCACGGCCCCCCCCCCTCTATGCATTTTTGTGGAATGGACGGCAACCGGCTCATTCTGAACGATCTGGAGCTGCAGCAGCAGTTCCCAGCCGCTGTGGACTACCCCACCTCGCCGGCCGCCTCGCCATCCAAGCCCTTCAGCATCGACCACATGCTCGGCCCGAGCTTCGTCTCTGGCGGGCAGCAGGTCTTCGAATTCGTGAGGATGATGGCAGACAACGAGGTCTACCTGCGCTGCCCCCAGCTGGCCAACGCCAGCCGCGTGCTGGGCAATCTGGGGGACGACATCCTGTCCAAGATAACGCTGAAGAGCGGCGTGGGCACCATCGTGGAGACCGGCTCCGATGACGGGCACTTCATGGCTGTTAGGGGCCCCATCACCCTGAGACACCTGCGCTTCCGGCTGACAGACCTGGAAGGCCAAGTCGTCCGACTGCGGGGCTCGTCGTTGTCCTTCGTGCTGTTTTTGGATCACGTCTAATCCCCCGAAGGTCTTTTAAAAAAATATTTTCTATTAAAAAACCGATGAAGCAAGCGCAACCGGCGCCAAGGCCTAGAGGCAGGCCCCCGGGCAGCAAAAACAAGCCCAAGCCGCCCGAGCTGCCCCTGCCAAAGAGAAAAAAAATGATCGCCGACCTGCCCACGGAGCCGGCGTATGAAGCGGACTCCCCCTTCCGTCCCAAGAGGGTGAGATTTCCCACAAAGCCCAAGACGGCGCCCAAGGCTGCACCCAAGGCAGCGCCCGCGGCCAAGGCAGCACCCAAGGCACCGCCCAAGGCAGCACCCAAGGCAGCGCCCAAGGCAGCACCAAAGGGCAGCACCCAAGGCAGCACCCAAGGCTGCGCCCAAGGCTGCGCCCAAGGCAGTTGCCGCGCCAGCTCCCAAGCCCAAGGCAGCGCCCAAGCCCAAGGCAGCACCCAAGGCAGCGCCCAAGCCCGAGCCGCAGTTAGAGCCCGAGGTACAGCCCGAGGTACAGCCCGAGCCCGAGGTACACAGCGAGGTACGGCCCGAGCCCGTAGAAGCGCCTCGGCCGAGCGAGCGCGCCATGCGCATGCTGGAG